TAGGGAGACTCACGCACCCTGGGGAATGGTAATTAGTGGGCCTTCCTCAACCGTGGCACCAGCGATGTGGCCGAGGCAGCGATAACGAGACGCCGCCGCTGGAGTGACTTTGCGTTAAAGCCGTTAGAAGCGTGCCGAAGTTGAAATACACCTTCGCAAATGAAGCACACGACACTTGACCTCGCTTAATTACCACGGCGGCAGCAAGAATGTGGTTCTTTCTGGGTCAGTACACAGAACCACGCCCTGCGGCACCACAAACTAGTCACACTTTCAACTTATACCTGATAAAATCGATATTTTGGGGGCAGAAACAGGGGGAAAGAGAGGTACAAGTTGTGTGCTCGTGTATAGGCGAGATCATTCCAAGAGATACTTACTCCTCAGCTTCAAGGGACCCTGCGACGGCTACGTAGGAGGATGGAACGTAGCCCTTCTCCAATGTTCTGCAGTGTTCCACAAACCACCACTCAGCATCACTAAAAAATAGGACGACGCGGGATCAGAAGACGTCAGGGGTTGTGGTGTTGGTGGAGAAGGAACGCATTACAGGTTGAAATTCTCACACACCGAGAACACTGGAAGCAGTACTCAATATAATTTATAATTGGTCGTGTTTAAGTAAAAATAGATGCAATTAAACCTCGCAGAATATCTCCAAAATGAACAGATTATCTTGGTCAAGTGAAACGGAAATAGGAAAAGTATATATTAACTTAAATTGAATTGCACATCAACCATCGAAGGAAGCTTGCAGAACAAGACTTCATGAATGTGGCAATTTGACAACCTAATACAATAATAAGCGATCTTTTCAAGTCTAGTGCTTGAAATTTTTTTCCACAGTTAGGGCTGGATTTATGCAACAAAGCTAAAATAGATTTATCTTAATTTAAGCACCATTTAATATTTTGCAGGAAGCTGGCAATGGCCAACGTTTAGACTTTGCTTGGAACATAAAAGTGCGAAATTTCCCAAGAGAATACTACAACGACTGCTTTGTTCTGTTGAAAAGAAAACCAACCAAACAATAGTAAAGGATTACAATAGCTTATTACGTTGAACAAAGGGACACAACCCTATATCTACAGACGAACAATCAACCACGAACACCAAATCAACCACTAATGTCGTTGGGATGAATGGATTATGCCTAACTTTCGTGTTGAGTAAGTAATGACCACGCTATGATAATAATAATAATAATAGGTAAACCTAACAGAAGTAAAACTGATTACAACTAACAGGAATGTTAATTTGTATGGCCTTAAATGTGGAAATAATAAAACTTGATTCCTCACGGCCGAATCGAAATACAAAAATTTACCAAATTCTACGAAACAGAGTTGACAGAATGTAGAGAATAATTTACCAGCTGCACGGCTATCATCGTCGATACTGATTGTCGAAATAAATGACCGCATATATTTAAAAACATAAGCCTAAAAATGTCCAAACGAACAAGAAATGTCATCAAAGAAAATAAAATTAACACTACAACTACTCATAAAACAATCCAGAAGTTGAAAAAAAACTAGAATGTAGTAGATTATGATTATTTACCTGTCATTGAGGACCAACATGGAATCACCCTTTCGCAGCGAGACTTCCTCATCAGTCCTCGCGTTGTAGTCAAAAATAGCTACAAGCCGATTCGAAAGTTCAGACGAGGCAGACCGGGGATCCCCAAAAAGATGCCGCTGAAACTTGCGAGTATCGATAGAGGCGCCAATACTCGCTCGATGAAAGCGTTCAGCGACCTCGTTCTGATGCGCATGAGGAGACCTGCGGAATTCGATGCTCCGATTAAAATGAGAATCCGATTCAAGGTTGCGTGACATAGCAGGGGAGTAGGGAACCGACGGTTTTGATGCGCTACCGTTAGCATTTGGTCGTGGAAGAGAATGAGACCTTGAAGTGTGACCAGATATAAGATTACCTGATAACCGATGAGCCATGGAAATAATTGGAGGGTGGAACTGGGGACAAGCTGACGAAACGCATGGGGCGCAAGTAACAGCAACAGGTCGATTAGCAGAAAATGCAATAGGGGAATCGTGGGAGGGAAAAATGTTAATTTTTTCTCTCGGCTCGTCGCGGTAGGCAGAAAAAGCCGGACAAGATTTCATTGGTGGCGTGTTTACGAAGGAAAACGGATACTGCTCATTATCTGTAGTATGCTCCATTAGCTGATTTTCAGGCGATGTATTCTGATTAGTAGCGGATAGGGGTCGTGGTGGAAGAGGGCGGTCAACGTGGGGAGTGGTCGAGAGGTTTTCATCCGCTCCCATTGTCTTTTGACATTTATTTATACAATTGCCCATCTCGCCAATTAGGTCTCATTTGCGCGAAATAATAAAAAGAAAATGTGCATACAGAGCTAATTTAAGAGACAAGTCAAAACGCGCACTAACGACCCGTCAGCTGGACACATGAATGAGATCGTTATAACGGCGCCGCTGCTCTCATGTAGTTAAAACGAATGTCTCAAGGTCATAATGAATATATTCTCCTAGTAATTGTTCCGCATTGCCCTCTTACAAATCATGATGCAAAATGCCTAAAATTAAATACATTTTTTAGAAAATGCATTCTGCATATTTCGCATATTGAGAGATTTTAAACCATAGAAACAATGCGTGATTAAAAACACAATTTGTGCAAGTTATGTCAGATCCATCCCAGCTCGAGTAATTCAAACAAGTAAAGAATAGACAAATTAAGCATTTTTTTCATGCAAGTTGTTTCAAATCAATTCATTCAGATAGCTGTGGTGTGGAATTAAATGACATTGCTTTTTCTGTAGTTAAATCAAACCAGTAGTGGCTGAAATTCCTTCTGTGATATTGCAACGTCTACTTTAATAAAACTTACCCACATTTCCATTTTAACTTCACACTATTCATTTTGCCGAATAGCCTTCTGCCGATCTATGCCAACTTGTATTCGATTTCGTTTTTGTTACACATTCCCCAAAATGCTAGCAAAAACATTTCTGACTTTAGGCATTATCTTTTTAATTTTGCTCCGTAATTCTATTTTGCTAAAAATATCAAGGATAAGTGTGCATAAATGAAAATCATTTTGAATCTCAAATTTAAAAAAAATATCACTGTGTATTAAGTTATTGTTGACTTACTATTTATGTTTCTTACTTTACGTTCATTGAAGCATTAATGCCAATGTTTAGTAGTTGGCAAAGTTTATGTAAAGTCTTTGACATAGTAATATTTTCACAGTCACAATGACATTTTCTAGTTACTTTTCTTTCTTTTGTTTTGGAATTAAATTAGTGCGCGGAAACCATTAATGTGAAGTAACTTCAATTTAGTGGATTACACTTCTTCGTTTAGACTTTTTAAAGAATATGGATCCTTCAATCCAATTTTAAAATTAATGCTACCAGAATTATTTGATTTTTTACGGGGTATAAAATGACTTTAGGACTTTTAGGATTTGAAATTGTACATACTGATTATTTGCGTTTTAAGAGAGGCAGCTTTGAATCAAACTTCCGTATTATTGTTGCAAAATAAAGGAGCCCTAACTACGAGAGAATGTAATGAATACAAACTGATTCAAGCGCATTATTATGTGCTTTATCGGTTGCGTATATATGGTTGTTGAAACATTTTCAAGAACAAGAAATCATGTCACATTTGACGATGTGGTATGAGGATTCCACGATCTCCACAATTAAAACTAAAGCCTCAAGAAGACGAATTCATGTATTTGAATAAGGCAAATGTTTGCAGTGAATAGTTATAAAAAGTCAAATTCTGGAAACAAAAATAACAAAAACATTTGAGGCCGCCTCTAGCATATCACTTAGTTCTGCATCTTAACAAGTCATTCATTTTTTAAATCACGCAAAACATTATAGGATAATGGGTAAATAAAAGAACAAAAACTGACCCGTAAATAGATTGGTATTGATTAATTCATGCATAAGTATCACCAATGGAGTACACGATGCAGAGAACAGATAACAGCACTAAGGGTTAGAGACGTACGAATTAGTCGTCCTGCAATTTTTCAAATAAGTAATAAAATTTAGCACATTGATAAACTGACTCAACATTTATTGGCTTTGGGAAACCAAATAATAGGTGCTCTTTTTCTGAATATGTGAATTCTCATGTAAGTTCGAAGAAAAAACTAATGAATGTTTCGTAAACAGGGAATGTACATTTTGTGAATTATGTCAAATAAATGATCAACACTGGGTCTGCAAATTTTTCCAAGCCGTTTTATGCAAACATATGTAGTTTCATGTGTTCATCTTTGAATGACATTCTAAATCAAGAATCGGGTCTGAGGTAATTAATGATTTACAAAGTGGTTTGACTGCGCAAATCATAAGATACTCTAATGTATTTTTCTATGAAGACATTTTTATGGAACCATTATATAAGTGATGCTATTATGCCAAGTATTGGCTAAAAAAGTTCAAGGACGAAAAGGCAATATTACTTTACTTAAAAGCTTAGGATCTGACTAACTTTGTAACAGATAATTTTTAGGATCCGAACCCCTCGAATGGGTAATTTCGTCAGTATCAATTCATCCTTGATGCTCATTTTTGGGAATCAGGTGGGGACCTCGATAAGAGCAGGATATGTCGTGAAGTGCATTGTATAAAACAAAGAAGTAATATAATTCAAGAAGTTTCATGTTATTTCTTTAATCGTCTGTAGGACAGCGTTATAAGAAATTTGAGCATTTTATGCAGCCAAATATTTTTGAAATTGTGGTTTAAATATATGTGTTAGACAGCAACAGAGCTGCCGAAGCAAATGATAATGCCATTCGTACTTTTAGGTTCAGTGCTGATAATTTAGTTTCAAAAATTTTTCGGCCACTTAATGGCGCTGGATTCCGGATTTCAACACCAAAAATGATTTTTTTCCGAAAACTGGAAAAAGAATAGTACTGATTTTATTAAAGCACTAAAAACACATAACTTATAGTATAACTAATGAAATGTCGTCTTGTCTTAATTATAACTAATTATATGACTAAACGAAAAGCAATAGTTTCATGATTCACTTTACAGCACGGTGTTTCAATTACATCAGACCCTAGTTGTGAATGTAAAAGACATCTAATTTTATAATTATTGTATAGGATGACTATGGGGCTAAACGGGATAAATGCATGTTTCGGGAAAATGTCCATTCATCAGTAACGATGTTTGGAATAACAAAGAGTGGTTGCGTTTGACCTTGAGGCTAGCTCAAGCGATATACTAGATTCCGCGGGGAAAGGTTTTCATCAGCTATGTCATTTTGCGTATACCCATGGAATACGAAGGCCAGAATTCTTAAGGTTAAAATTTATAGTGGTATTTTTATATTTACAGGATCACCAAGATATACTCAACGACCACCTCGACAGTTGCACTGTTATTTTGCCTTTCGAAAATAACGGTAGGAAAGCTTAATAATTTCCATGTTTTAAGTGTTTTTCTGGAAGGTTATACTGTTTGGACCAGTAAGGATTTTAGTAAATTGTATTTTGTATATAGCCTTACACACCATATGAAGGAGGAAAATTTGTGTTGGCGGTTCGCTTCCCCACAGACTTCCCTCAAAGCCCACCCAGAATTACGTTTGAAACAGCGATTTTTCATCCAAATATAACCCTAGATGGAGAAGTTTGCCTCGACATTTTGAAATCAAGGTGGGCTCCGGGCATTACCATGTCGAAGGGTAAATCCCACTTTCCTAACCTCCCTACAGTGATTTTGTCGATTTGTTCTCTTTTGGTCTTTCCAATGTGTGAAAATGCTATAAATCCAACAGTAGCTAAGGTACTTAAGGAAAACAGGGAAGCATTTGAGAAAAAAGCAAGGGAATGGACGATATGCTATGCATACAGCTGAAGAAGACTGACAGAAATCTTGGCATCAGGATAACAAATTTCAAATTTATTGTTGATTTGGAAGACTGGACCGTGATAAGGGAATTGTGCAAGCCCTTAAATAGTCCTTGATTTTCCTGAAATAAATTTTTTTTGCGTTCGAAGTTTTTCTGCCCTTGTGGTTGGGCACCACTGAATTTTTTTCATTGACTCTAGAAATGAATTTTTGCCAAGAATGCAGAAATAAGTCAATTGAAAAACAAACGTGGTTAACGTTAGATAACTGAAGTTTTAGCCTTACGTGTAGCGAATATTTCATAACATTTGCGAGTGGATTTATTCCACATATGTAAAAACCACTTTCCTGTGTTGGTAAGTCTCTTCAATGTGTTTTGCTAAGTTCATGTAACCCAGTAATTTTCCTAACTGCATTAAATTGCGGCAACCTTTTTTTGTAGCACATTTTAGGAAACTTAGTCATGCCACATTGTTCTACAGATAGTTCGAATACTATAAGTAACTTGGGACCCGCGTTCTTACTGATATAAATAGTAGGATGTTGGTAAAATCGAAATGGTAGGATTTTATAAAAAAAAACAAGAGTTACTTGCCTATATTTCGGAGCAAGCATTCTGCTTATTTTAAAAGCATTCAAGTACACCAGTAGAAATCGGTGAGTTAAGCATTTAAATTGTCTGTTTGCGACCTATCGGATGGGCAGAGTTCAAACTGTTCAGTGTTAAAAACTCCAGTTCGTAGCTTGTTTCATATCTGCAGCAACAACCGAAGTTGCAGATAATTGTGTTTAAGGTAACCACATGGATTTGCATAAGCACAATTAAAGAAACTTGATCGGCCCAAGAAACTAAGAGGTCATTGATGCCAAGGGTTCTGGAATGCATAAATAGTCAACCACGCTGTCCACATAAATCAGACCCAATTAGGTAAACAGTTAACCTGCCCACCGAGTAGGGACCTTGGTGTGTAGGTTACTATTAAGTCGTCTCTCTCTGAGATAGCCAAGCCATTGGGATTGACTACCAGGCATGCGACAGAGGAACAGCAGGAAACGCAGAGGGACTACAGCTTAGGACGAGAATTCGTGTTGGGATCGGAAGAGGACGTCCCTGGGGGAGGGGGCGGGAATAAGGGTTGCACTTAGACTCACGGATGTGTCTCAAGAAAGGCAAGATAGTAGATGTAAAAGGGGTTGGTTGAATGGCGCGTGTTACACAACCAGAATACGTACGCTGGTAACGGTAGCATGTTTTAGCAATTCCAAATGGCAGATGGAACGAGCATCATTTTTCACAGTTCAAATGTGATTAACGTTTTGCCAGGATTTTGGTGTCACAGTTCAAAGTAAAATGAACGATTACATTCCATTCACTTTCTACATAAAACGAGAAAAAATATGCCCATTTTTTTACTTCAGGATTTTTGGCACACACCATTAAACGACTAAAAGAGTTCGTTCGAAATCAATCTATTTATCTGCGTTTAAATCAACCGTCGTGTCGGCTTATGCTTGACCCAAATTAATCACGAAATGAAATGTTCATTCTTTGCGCACCAAATGTCGACAAAACGAGTAATTTAGACACGTACAGACTCAGTTCCTGATATTCACGTCCTGGTTTCTCGCCGTGAACTTGTGCATTAGAAAACAACCGACAACCTGACCAAGCAAAACTGTCACCAGACCCGAGCTATAAACGCTAACGCCCTATAAGTATGCGTTAAAATTCATGGCACCACACCCCCAAATTCAGTGGTTCAAAATGCAGTTGAGCTTTGGATCAAACTGCGACGATCGTTCACCAATTCCTTTTACCAAGGGAGAGAGCTGTGGCGAGCAGTAGGTGAGCACAGTTAGTAGTCGTGAGCGAACACAATTCAATCGATTTTCGTGAATGCACTTCACGCAGCTACGTGCGTTCACAGATCGATACTTAGCGAAGCTATATAAACGCACTCGTTATCCTGTACACACTCACTGCTGCTGCTGCATTAATAAATTGGTTGAGTTACGCGCCATCTGCATTTTTGACTCCTTCTTTCAATCGGGGCCTTGTCGGTGTAAATGGCCGGCCCTGGTGTGGTTCCCCCAAAACCACACCGGGGCTCACTACAATAGTTTAAAATAACGACAATTTATAGTGAAATAATGCAGTGATTTTTAATGGACCGATTCCATACTCTTAATTGCCGTGGAGATATGACTATCAGATTTCAAGTTATAGAAAGTCAACTCTATCAACAATTCCAGTGAAAAGTTAACGAACGTAGATTGTCGGCCCTGGTGCGGTTTCCAGAACCGCACCGGGGCCCGCTACACACTCAACAACCCCCAGCAGTTTCATTAGATGTACAGCACGATTTTTATTTCACGAGTAAAATACCAAGTCCAGAAGTGAAAGGAATGAGAGAAAATTTCCATTGTTTCGGTAGATCTAAACCTTCTTCAAGGGGTCATACCTTCAACGGCCTGAAGAGTTTCAGAGTAGGAAAAATACTTTACTAAAAAGAGTGGTAAAATGGAAATTATTACAAGATTAGACCCCGATATGTGGGCTTGTAAGCGGTAGATGCAAAACGCGCTGTTAAAACAGCCACGAAAAAGGGTTTCTTGATGGTTTTAAGGTCCCTGGACGTTACCTCACTTGCGCAGCGAACGTTTCTCCAAAATGTTTATGAACGACTTGTGCATTTGTTACTTTCCGCAGCAAAGATATACCGAGTCTCTCGTGAATACATTTTAGTGAATAAGATTAATTCACGTCCAATAGCGTGGTTGTCTCATTCCACTCCGTCCCTATCGTCTGCTCAAACTTCCAGCCATTTGTACTTCTACAGGTTTACCAGAACCGTATCGATCGATAACAGTGGGTAACAAGGTAGCTCAGGCTTGCTAAAAGCACCAAATACCCCTCAACAAGATTAGGCATTTTCCTGATTCTGAGTACAGCAAGTGTATCGATCGCAGGGGTGAAGACAGCGGTCCCGTCTGAATTGTCAAAAGATTTGCGTGGGGTAATCGGTGCGCCTAGCCAACTCGCCGTCATACCGATCACGTGACTCCCAGAAATCAATGAACTCCGCCAAACCGAAGCACGCTTTCGCCGCGTGCTATTCCTCGCCTTGTGGTAGGTCAGTATTAAAACAAACTTCGGCGTAACCACATAAATCATTCTATCCCTGGTTTCCCTTTTATGATATTTTCGTAAGGCGGGGTCAGCATGACTCATATTTCGACCATTTTAAAAGTTGTCATCTCCTTGTCTTCGCGAATTTTACAGCAATTCTCAAGTCACGTATACTTTTCTTCTTAGGTTAGGATCGTAAGTAGTAACTCAAGGTAGCAGAATTTGCCATCTTGAAGACAAAGTATACCATGTCTATTTTAATTTCCAGCAACTGATGAGGAATTAAAATTTGGGACGACCTAACTTCATTGACGGCTCTAGGAATGCCTAAGAGTCATGACTAGGACCGTATCAATGTTAGTGGGTAGTGTTGAATTACGTCTACAATCTTCATCCGTCATGGTCACCTATAGTTTCCACCGTCTCACACCTCATTTGTCCACACTCAAGCAAGGACACACGAGAGCGTTAAACTGATTGGCTGAGAGGTCAGGTAAATGCAGAAGCAGCTGTCTCCTCACCTGTGATACAGCAGATAAATTACTTAAGTATTGTCTGAGATTCAAAAGTCAGAACTTGGGTAGTTTCTGTTTGACCTGTCTTCCACACCTCGCGCTTGCCCAAAGGCGGAATCAAGTCGAGGTGTTGCAATCTACCTTACATCGATCGATTTTGTAAAAAGGCGGGCCGGTGTTTGCGATCGAACCTGAGGTTTATTCAATGCCACCACGACCAACATGGAGCCCATGTTCATCATGGTAGTTGTACCTGTGCTGGTCTAGACGATCCGGTCAGATATCGGGTTCCTGAGTTTTGATTGGCTACCACCCCACCGATCAGCATCAACGTCTACCACTCAAACAAAACTGCCATGTCGACAGCCTGCTCCCGGGTTTTTAATCAGTTTTTAGTATCCATTTGGCCTAGTTCAAACTGAGACGTCAGCAGCGTTTCGCTTGGGAATGCAGATCCATGTTCAAATGTAAGGAGATCATTGGACAAGAAATACCATTGTTGGCGTTCACTATATTCTTCCAAATTGACTCCCTATATGTAATTATGGGTGCTATCGAAGGGAAACAGATTGCTGCCCTCGCACTCAACCAATAGAGCGGTTTTCAGCAGTGGTTAAAAAAGGGTTCTTACACATCACCACGTCTGAAGCAGGGCCTTGAAACTTGTTCTTGGATTTTCTTGTCTTCCTATTGAAATGCAAACCAACTAACTCCGTTTACTCTGCCAATCTAATTTCGCCCATTCGGCTGAATTCATGTCGATAGGGCTTCCAACTAATGTATCTTACTACGAGGTCCACGACGTAATCTATAATAAGTGCCCTCCCTCGAAAACCTGTTGACATGGTAACCATGTGCTGTTAAACCCACCTCTAATACGATTCATGTTCCAAACCACTTTTAGGATGCTACTGAATGTCACCAAAGTCAGTAGACAGTCGTTACTTGCTGGTCGACTGGGCGACTACCGAGTACAGGGACCAGCTGTCGCTGCTCCTCCTCCTTCTGACAACGGTCTCCATCAAAATAGTCCATTCACAGTTTCTGGCAAGCCGATTTCTCAACCTCCTCCCTGAGTCACTGTTGCTCATCTGCAGTGGAGCAATCATTGGTGCACTGATGACCTACGTCCTTCCGGAAAACCTAGACGGCGGTCTGTGGAGGATAACCCCGCGCTCGTTCTTCCACTACCTCCTTCCAATCACCGTGCTTGACGCCGCATATCACCTCTACAACCGGGCGTTTGCCGACACGATAGTTGCTGTCGTCGTGTACGCTGTCTTCGCAACCGTCCTTAACATGATCCTAATCGGCGTCTGTCTGATTGCTCTCGAGAAGGGCGGCTTGTTTGTTGGAAAAGGCGTGGTTTTTGGTAATCAACTTCTGTTTCTTTACGCCTCATTTATCGTAGCAGTGGACCCTGTCGCGGTGTTGACAATATTTCACGAGATTGGAGTCGACCCTAGCCTCTACTACCTGGCACTTGGTGAATCCCTCTTCAACGATGGGGTCACTCTGGTCCTCTACAAGATCGTCAAGGGTTTTCTTGGGGTGAAAGAGGTGACGCTGAAGGGCATAGTTGCAGGCATTGGCGCCTTCCTCACGATCAGTTTTGGAGCAATTCTCGTGGGCCTGTCGTTGGGAATAATTGCCTGTCTGGTGACGAGGTGTCGATCGCAATTCGAGGTCGCCTTTCTACTGGGCATCGCTTACGCGTCCTACATTGTCGCAGATGTACTTGGGTGGTCTGGTCTGGTTGCTCTGATCACCTGTGCAATGCTCCAGGCTGCTTACGCCTTCCACAATCTGGAAGAGAGCGATCTAGGTGCCTTGCGATGCATCACCAGGCAGCTAAGTGAGCTCTGCGAAGGCATAATTTTTCTCTTGATCGGGATCAAGTTCGTGGAGAAACAACTCAATTGGCACTTTCCATTCAGTCTCTGGTCTCTCCTTGCATGCCTTGTAGTTCGAGCTCTTGTTGTCTTCCTGTTGACCTTCGGCTTGAATAAATTCTTCCTCGATTTCTCCACCATAACCTTCACGGACCAGTTCATCTTGGCCTACGGTGGCCTGCGGGGGGCGGTTGCGCTGTCCCTGGCAATCATGGTTGACAGGAAGAAGGTGGGTCAGAAGGTGTACGACATCTTCGTCACCTCAACCCTCTTTACAATCCTCTTTACTGTGGGCGTAATGGGTCCTACGATGCGTCCACTCGTGAAGGTGCTCCACGTGAAGCTCGCCCAGAACAAGACCATCAGCCTTGTCCGCGAGCTCAACGACAGGATGATCGACGAGATCACAGCCGGTGTGGAAGCCATCACGGGGAGGTACGGAAGGAATTCCCTCCGAGCCTGCTTCGTTCGGCTCGATGAGGACTACATTCGGGGATTTCTGCAGCGCGATCCGTTCACTTACAACGCGGGTATAGTTAGGGTCTACGAGGAGATGGCACTAGTCCTGCACCACGCCTCCCTCCAATCCCCGCAGAGAGCCGCAACAATCATGCGGAACCTTCCATTGACCATCCAGACACGTCAGTTCCAGGTGATGGACAAGGAACACCGCGCAAGTAGGCTGGAAATGCGACGAGTGAGGCGTTTGTCGGCGAGTTACTCTCTCACTGGCGGTCTCCGTCGACGCAGGAACGCCAGATTTTACTACGAGGAGACCCCTGACGGAGTGGCATCGCATCGGTACGGACGGTTTCGTCGATTCAGCTTCTTCTACGAGTTGCCTCGCTTTCTTGCGGCGAAAAAGGCCCTTGTGCTGAAGATGTCCTCGCAAGCTGAGGAGACGTCTGCGTCCGGCGTGACGCTTACTTCCAATGCTTCCGAGATTCGATCGGAGAAGGAGGAGGAGGAGGGGAATAAAGAAAAAAATCAACTTACCAGAAACATCAGCGAGGAGGATCAGAGGTAGCGACAGAGGCATCATGCATTTTTCCAGGAGATGTCTTAAAATGTGTACTTATAAAACTCTCATCTGCACAACTTTCAATACGTTAAAAATCTCACTTTTAAATTTGTTTAAATTTGAGTGAAATAAATTGGATAAATGAGAAGCGCTATATAGATAAGCTCTACGGCCAGGCGAAAGGTTTTGGCTTGTGGTTGGCCAAGAAACAATGGCTTTCGTCATGCTAGGGCTCGGATATTCTACGTCTAAGCTAAAACGGCTGGATGAAGCAAGGCTAGCAAAGGTCAATAACTGATTGGTCAAAGTTGCGTTCGCTTCTAGATTCGGAGTCTGATTGGTTGGTTTCGCTGTCCGGTCAGTCGACCCACCAATGACTGTAGGAGTGGCCACATGCTCACACAGGGGGAAGATTATTCGGAGGCGTGCTCTGAATCCTTATCTCTGCTCACAATTTGTGGCAGTGAAGCTAACGGTCAAAATTCGTCCTACAGCCATCACACATCACCAACCCGACCAGCGACGTTTCTTATACAGACCCTTTATTAAGTGGTAGTCGTGGGAATGCGTCGTGGGCTAACACCCATGGAAATAGATAAACTCGTGCGGTGGGGAGGGGGTTTAGCTTCCAAAAGGGAACATGAAAATCTGCATTGTCGTTTTGTCAAGTTTCATAACTTACAAAGAGATTAGAACAGAGGCCTCAATTTAAACGACTGACGTCGTTCTGATAATGACTTCCGACGTAAGTCAGTAAATAATAATAAGTGAGCTTCCATGAAAGAGATAGACGAGGGGTTGAATGCTGTCAGTTAATGGGGAGTGTATTATTGATTTAAAAATGCTATTATTCGCGAAAGTGTATTGTAATTAAATCGGCTTGAAAACGGACACAAAACCCTGTAATCAGCCAATACTGGTGAATAAACGGCTCTTTAGAAATGAAGAAACGATGAACTTTGATGGCAAATATAAGCTGCAGTTACTGGGACTTCTGGTTATTAATAAAATGATTCAACAAAATCCCTGTTCACTCGAACAACGATCGAATGGACTGAGGTAGATGTGCGACGCTGTTATGACCTGTCGGTCATCGCGCGAGAGTGGAGGTCGCCTAAGGGATTATCGATTTCCATGACTCATACCAATTTTGTATTGGCTACTGTTACTAGTCATCCGTTAGGAGCCACGCGCACTCATCTGCTCTAACTTACGAACCTTGCTGGTTAACAAACCTTGACGACCGCTAAGTGGCGTCATGCCAACCAGGTGACAGCATTGACCAATGACAAATGCGGATGAGTCATTGAGACAATAAACCTGTATGCGAGCTTAACTCACGCGCGATCGCTGACAGTCCACTATATCACCATGACTACTAGTTTCCGACAAATAAATAAATCAGCGCTCATTTGAGTAAATTGCGTCAGAAATGAGTCGTATGCACAAAAACCTTTAACAGTTAACATTCCACTAATCGATGATGAAATCATTTGAACCAATCCGGGATTGTAATAGCCAATGGTTCGAACAATGCATGCAGTTGTACCCCTACTTACGGACATGCGATCACACACACGAACGTGCTTTCCACCATCAGAAGTAGGTAGAGAGCAAGTGCGGTGGATTATCGAACCGTGCTCTCAGGAATCGTCGCGTCAAACAACGGGTTGGCAAAGTAGCCACAAAACTGGCATAATCAACGTAAGAAAATGCTTTATTTTACATAAAAAGTTACACGGATGGACGTGGCGACTTTCCTTCCTTCTCGCTCTTCGAACCACCGAAATTGAACTTAAATTTAAAACAAGAAAGACCCTTTGACTTGTTCGATTCGGACGCTTTGGGTTCCACGGTCTTGGGAATGACAATCGCCATGGGTCTGCGGTTGGCATGGTCGTAGCGTCTGGCCTTCGTGGTGATGTCCTCCGCCGTTAGCTCCAGCACCTCCAGCCGCTTCCTCTCTATCATCCGCTGGTATTCGTAGGACGTGGCCAGTGGAAATCGACTTCCCCGACGCATCGCGGATCTCCGTAGTTGCCGTAAGTCCTCCACCTTGTCTGCCAATTTCTGCGTGTGGTAGGCAGTCTTCACCGTCGTCGGTAAGTCGGTCATAATCAGGTCAGCCCGGCGAGGATCCAGCGACGCCTGATGCAACACCAAGGCCATGTCTTGGTACACCTTGATGATCTTCTGGTTGTGCAACTCGGGTGTGTTCTGCAGCACCTTGCGGATGTACTTCTCGTCGATGCGTTGGAACCACGCCCGCAAACGGTTCCTACCCACCTGACCCGTGATAGCTTCCACGCCCGAGGTGACCTCATCGATTATTCGCTCGTTGAGCTCGCGCATGAGACTGATGGTCTGCTTGTCGGCCAGTTTAACGCGGAGCAGTCGGACCAGCGGTTTCATCGTTGGACCCATGACGCCGACAGTGAAGAGGATCGTGACCAGAGTGGCCGTCACCAGGGTCGCGTGGACACCCCTCTGTCCTCTGTTCACTTTCTCAGGGTCGACCATGTAGATGAGGGACAACGCAACGGCTCCACGCAGACCGCCGTACGCGAGGATGAACTGTTCAGTGAGGGTGATGTGCGCGTAGTTGATGTTCCAGCGATTCAGACCCCAGGTGAGCACAAACACCACCACAGCCCTGACTACCAGACAGATGAGGAGCTGATATAGGATGAACGAGGTGTGCCAGTGGAGCTCTCCCGTGGTCACGTGAATGCCAATGAGGAGGAAAATCATCCCCTCACAGATCTCGGCCAGCATTCTGGCCACAGTTCGGCAGGTTTCCACAGCGGGAGGATTGAGGTTGTTGAAGGCGTAACTTCGCTGAATCATGCCTGACGTAATCATCGCGACCAGACCAGACCATCCTAGGGCATCACCAAGTAGGTAGGCACAGTAGTTGGCCACAAACAGGAAAACAACCTCCAAATGGGTGTGAATCCTTGTCAAAAGACACGACAAAACTCCAATCACCATTCCAATCAAAATTGCGCCGGTATTGATTGTGAAGAATGCCAACACTCCAACGCCGATGTCATGCGCGGTAACATTCACAATGCCGAGGAAGTTCTCCACAATGTTGTAGAGGACTACGGTTACGGCGTCGTTGAAGAGGGATTCACCGAGGACGAGAAAGTAGAGATTCGGGTCTACACCGATCTCCTGGAATATGGCCAAGACTGCCACGGGGTCGACGGCGACGATGACTGACGCAAACAGCATCATCACCTGGGTGCCGAAAACCAAACCCTCCTTCTCGAAGAGGCCCCAAGTTTCGCCTGCCACTAGTAGGCAACCAATGAGAATCATGTTCAAGACAGTAGCTAGCAGTGCATAGACGATGATCGCTCCGATACAGTCGCCGAAGGTGCGGTTGTGGAGGTTGTAGGAGGCGTCGACGATGCAGAAGGGCAGGAGGTACATGAAGAAGACGGTTGGTGTGAGGGCCCAAGTGCAGCAGTACAGGTGTCCGTAGACCTTGAACACGGCTCCAAAGCCCACACCAATGAAGATGGTGACCAGGGACTCGGGGATTGCAGTGGTGATGGTTCGGCGGATGAAGTTGTTAAGGATTTTGATGAGAAGAACGGCGAGAATGAGCAGGAGAACGGAGAAATGTCGTCTCACGTGATGAATTCTCCAGGCCGCCAAGAGGGCCAGCAAGTCGGTTGAGGAGGTTTCAGCCGTCTCCGAATCTGCAAAAAGAGTTGGCGTCTGACATGTGACCTTGCGCATCAACGGCACGCCATTTTGACCGGTCAACCTCCGTGACACGATTCTGTCAAACCGAATTATAAACGGACGATTAAACGTAGCGTGATGTCCGTTTTAGACAAGGTGATGGTCAAAGAATCCACTGATCTGGTGTAAATTTACACCCTAAACTATTGTCAGCCGAGGAAGTTTAGAGAAAGCTCCATCCATTATTCGTAAATGGTACTATTTGTAGTTGGTGAAAGGCTAAGTTTGTTGGCTTTACACCAAAAGTGCGACACGCAGAATCCGCGAATTGGGAATCGAGACTCACCATTAGCCACGTGATCAACAGAAGACAAATTGAATCCGAGAACTGAATAACTGGACATTTGAAAGAATTAATTCAATCTAGAGACACAAAATGAAGAAGGAGAAATTAGTTGATAGGGTTGCGTTGGTTGCTTAAGGTCTGGAACATCAACGACGCTAGTCTGTGCAACTTCACACAACTCGAAATGGATGACTGGGTGACGCATCAAAGTGCGTCACTTCGAAAACGTGGCCTCTAAATTTAAAAATGCCTTTAACAGGCATTGTAAAACGCATCAAAGTATTCCTCGACGCTTAAAATACGCCCAATATTCCACTCTATTGATGGACACCTCTAAAACTGTTTTGATTGGTTGGGTGACTATTGATTAGAACGAATCAAAAAGCAACAAGTCTTTTGATTGGTTGGTTGGCTATTGATTAGAACGAATCAAAAACAACAACTGTTTTGATTGGTTGATTGACTACTAATGAGAACGGTTCAAAAAGCAACATGACCAAATTTACCCCTGGCCATCAATGCGAGCACCCTTGGGATGGCGTTGCCTGGGTGGGCTTGCGGAGGTGCATTGAATGAGCTACAGGGGAAAAAACAGTTGAATGAACTACTTGCATAGAGAACACATTCATGGTTTCGATGAAGATGGCATTATTCGTGACACGTTGGTGACTTAAGCAAACACATGACCAGTTTTACAGGAGCTGGAAGTGTAGTGGCGTAGGAAGAAGACTTTCACAGGACAACGGCGCTGTAGAAGTTGTTGACAACGATTATCAGTGAATGATCGACATCATCTACATAAAGATACCACAGTTTCAAAGGGCAATATCATTTGAAAGGTTGGGGCCTAAGCTTATTAATCTTCCGCATTCTCGAAACCACGCCTTCGCCGTCTAGCCATATTCGTTCACGTGAACACGCAAACTAACAAGTTCGAGTGATTGGCAGATGGAAATGCGCGGAAATCCAAAGTGTTTGCAAGTTGGTCAAATCCCCACTGTATACCAAGCCGGCTTTTTCTACGAATAAAACTGGCATTCAAAGCGGTACAGTTCAACGACTTGAGGGCCTAGATGTACGTTTTCATCTATTTATCAAGTAGCACAATTTCCCCGTCATGTTTTCGTTAACGGCTGACCACAGTTCGGAAAATTGCTTTAATTAACGATTTCCCAAAATGTCACGCCATTGTCGAGGCACAGGGGGACACGTACCGACTGCCAGGCCTCAAGGACAAGTGCATGACCTTGAAACGGGGCCCCAAGGTCGTGATCCAATCGATATGCCGCCCCAATCGCCGACTTCAGCACCTCCGCCATTCTGCTTACAGTAAAGTTTGCGAATTGACGCTTGGAAACCCATGAATACTCTCAGGAGTATAAACTAATCGATCGCGCCACCAACTCTTCAGTGTTTGCACTCACTGCATCCACCAAATCGCTCCCTCCTTCTGCTCTACAATAGGCATAGTCCCTGACGGACGTAATCACGTGACATTATCATTTTTTTCTCTAAGCATGCAACCACCATTGTGGAACGGTTTCATCAGTGGTTACCACTTGCATCCCAAGCAATTGTGACGGACATTTGCGAAATGCGGTTTCGTGTTAAAGGCAAACACTTGAATGGAGGATTAAATCGGATTTTTTTGTACAAATCGGTGCTTTAGCAGGGGGGGGGGTTAGCGGACGAGGTTTGAGGTGCCCGGTGGGTAACAGCGGATTGTCTTGCCTTCGGCTCGGAAGTGGAACTTTTGCGGTCTAGTGTCCTCTGCGCCATCGTCCAGGAGCTGGCAGGTGAACCTTGAGATGGTTATCTAAAAAGCACAACAAAATCTGTCGGGAAAAAAGGCATATTTACCTACTGAAAATGAAGATTCAAAGGACTAACACGGACAAAGTATGCCCACATGTATCAAAAAGTGAGGATATATTAAGTTCTCGATAATTCAGACGGAAAAGCATTGGATAACGGAGTACCTGTCCGTCGATGGATGGGGTGTAGCCGGTTTCCAGAGGAGACACGTCGACGCAGCAGAAGGCACGCCTTCGCAGCAGGCGGAGTAGGTAGTCGTCGTCACATTCCCCGTCGACATGATAGCCAATAACGAGGTCGTCGACGTGGGTTGACTTCGGCAGTATCAGCTGACACAGTTGGCGCGGTGTGAGGCCTAGATCAAGCAGCGCGGCGGCATCGTCAATGAAGAGGGTCCGGCGATGTTGTTCCGCGGCTGGAGCTTCCTGAGAGAAGGCGTTGGTCTAGCAAAGAAAGCATTTCAACCAGCTTCGGTCGTCTGTGTTTTTGGGTGAAGACTTAAGGTCAGTTGGTAAGCATGGAATACGGAGGAATACCAACCAGTTCGCGGAGTTTCTCATGAAGCAGGTCATCGTGGCTTAGAGTGGGGATGAGATCGCAGGCCACATCGACCATGGCCATCCTGTGTCCGTTGTTTCGGCGGAGGTAGGAGTCGAGGAGGGACCTGTATCGACGGGCTGGATGGTAGACGGCGAAGAGCAGGCTTGCACCCGACGGCGAACTCGCGATGACATTGGAGACAGCGGTGGAGAAGATCTCTTCGTGTTGGGCGTTTACCTCACGGCTGACAATCAGAAGTAGGCGAGGGGACTGGCCAGAATCGTCGCGTTTGTTGAACACTTGTTGAGTCAGAACACTCGACAGGTCCATCGATGTTGGGCTAGAAGGAAGACGCACGGACCTGGGTTTGGTTATCGGCCAGTCTCGTTGAACCAAGGGACTCCAGTTTAATTCCGTCGCAAGGTGTTGTACGTGTGGACCCGACGTACCACAACAAGCGTCAGGTTGTGGGCGAAAAAATACGAAGCTTCCCATGCACTGTTTAACAACAACGAACAACCACACGAAGTGCGCTGATGGCCAGGACAGCACAGGAGGTTATTTCGGACGCATCGAATCAGAGTTCGTCAGAATCGGGGTTTGTTTTTTAGCTACCAAATGGAAAGGCGGGCGAACGAAGCCAAGTACTTAAAAATACGGCGTCACTGGACTGTAAATGCGAGCTAAGGCTTGATATCTGGATGATCGATTACTCGATAAGTGACCACTGGTTGGCGAGGCAGTAATCGTCAACTTGACTAGCTTGGTAGAAGTTTCAATTCCGGACGGAAAATCGTGCACAGAACGGTAGAGATGAAGATTCAACGACGGAACAGACAAGAGCGAGGAACCCTGCTGATTTCAGGAGTAATTCGATTAAATAATAAAAGGAGATACGACAGTCGGCCTCAAGGTGAGGCTAGGTCATTCAAACAAGCTCTGATTCGTTAGACCACATCTGACTTAGTAATCGTGACCTGAATGTCCATAAGCCGTGACACCTGGACTCCCTGACTCACCCCACACTCTGGGTGATGAGTCGTCACCTATCGATTTTGCACTCATTTAAAAAATCAATTACTCAACGACGAAGATTCACGATGAGACGCAGGACCTACATTGAACACCGGTTTGAGTTGGAGTAGTAAGCAACTAACGACACCTTACTTCCTAGGACATAAAAGATTAAAAGCAGGAAAACTGTTCAGTCGTTTGCGGATGGAAGGAGTTGGTGCAAAATGCGTTGGCTTGAGGTCTGGACATAAGACTAAGTCTAATACATTTCTACGAACACTATTTTACCCTAGCAAATGCTGCGGTTATAGATGGCACGTTGTTAAAAACGCGACTTGCTAAGTCCCAGCAGAACAATTCCTTCGTTTGTCAACATCCATGTTGTGCTCCAAATGGTTGTGCAGGTGTCATTTCCATTAATCGAACGAACAGGAAAGCGCTGACAGCCAAACCAACCCAAGAAAGGAACCCCAGTTCTTCGGTGAATAATAACTTCACACCCTAACCCCATAGTTCCGAATTAAACAACCTGTCGGACGCTAGCGACGTTTGTGCAAAAGCCTCGTCACAAGACCTTTAAATGGCGCTGGCGAGGCACTTTATCGAGTTCGATACTTGTCATGTAAAACACGAGTGATTCTGAATAAAGCAGATTGTGATCCAGGCCTGCAGATTGGCTAAGCACCTCTGGAGGGCAATTTTACGTTTAGAAGCTTTGTATATGAGGGATTTCTGTCTGTCAGATGTGGAAAAATTACTAGGGTAAAGCGGAAAACCCCCAAAAGTCAGACTAAAGATTGCTCTGAAAAAATATACCTATCACACAAATAGGAGCGGAAATTTGGTATTCAATTCAATCAATTTTAACACCTAATTGAGACATCGAAAGGACCTAATCCTTTTGTAAATAGAAAAGAAGCATTATGACGTAGGATCCTCGTCTAGTGGCAGTTATTTTGGATGGTACCAAGAGGATACCGACTACAAACATAAGATTAGCAAACTATTACTTCTAATGATGTAAACAAGAAGTGAGCAGTAAAGGTACAAGCAAATACAGGTATTGGTAAAAGGCTAACCAGAATTATTGTTAACTAAAAAAGAATACCGATCATTTGCTTGATTGTTTTACAATGAGAGAATGATAAGTGCTACACATACTCGGAAAACAAACGTCAACATTAAAACTAGTGTATTTCATAAATGAGTACAAAATAACGGATAGGATCCAGCAATATCATTTTTTCTTCCCTTCGAGGAAATCGTTAACCAATTCAACGGCTTTTGTGTATAATTCCTTTGGTTCCCTTATAGGCGTTACCTGATAACATAAAATAATAAATACCGCTAATTACCTTGTATTTATCTTGATAATAGGCCCCACAATAGAAACCAGCACAGAAACCGAGTACAACTTTCAGCATATTCAACCTAAAAAAGAAACGATCGTTACTTAAGGATTGCCTAAATACATACGTAGGCATTTTTTTGTATAAATCGATAAGCACTAGATGAAATAAAGAAATGGGCGGTGACGGATGCAATACCTGAAATAACTAAGTATTGGACTGACTTAAAGACATGAAAAAAACTCCTTAGCTTATATATTCACATGCTACTGTTGCTTCCTACATAAGTACACATGCATTCTGATAGGGATGATGGTGGTAGCAAACGAGCGTCATACGCATAATGGTGTTAGGACATTGTCTTTAAGCAAAATATGTCAATGCTTAAGCAAATGCCTTTACAAAGACAAAATCATCTTACTCAATGTCTCAATACGACCACAAAATCAGAGATCAGGAACGAGACTAAGACACCAAAGAAGCGCCACTCATATTTCTATAGAAAAACAAATTAATGAAAGCCTGCATTTTTTCTCAAATAAAACTAGCATTCTAATGGTCCCTTGTTTGCTCTAGGTATTTTTTCCAAAAATGCTTTAATGATCACATTTATTGCCTTGGAATATCAACTACAGCAAAATGAATTAACTAATTATACGGACGCATTTGTGGTTCATCAATTAGAAGATTTATGTTTCTGATAAGATTCATTGACTAAATTTTGACATCGCTAATGCAAACACGTTAAATCATGCACGTCCAGTGTTATACCTAGCAAGCATCTCACCACTTAGATACTCTCTTTGTAAATTAATACAATTGGTTATCGTCTATCTTTTCACAATAACACAAAAACTCGTCTTTACCGGGTTCTTAATGGTGAGACAATTTCTAGGTGTCTTCGCTTGCTTTAAACATGTGAAACTGCGGAATGCATAGACGGAAATAGCCTGTAATTATTTTATGTAAACGTTTAGCAGGTAAATGTGTTAGATAGTCATTTAACATAGATGCTCATTACTCTTGTTCCGTAAGTTATTGTTGACACAGATTTTGATTAGTTTGCTTGCTAGACAAGCTTTTACTAGGTAAAGCAGTGTAACAAATAATAGTGAAAACAATTATATGTGGCAGTGGGCGTTCTGGAATTATCGAACTATGTATTCGTTAGAAGGGTCACTACTGTGAATGATGTTTGCAAATTGGGCAAGTTTGCAAGTGCAGTGAGATTTTCCAACTCCTGATGGAGTTCCGCTAGTTTTTTCATAATTTGTCGAATAGCGTTTTAAAGTTCGAATATTTTATTTATTGTAATCATAACGTAGTTTGCAAACTAAGTCTCCTTTCCATTGGTTCCAGTATAAGTTATCTTCTGGGTTTCATCCATTAACAGTTTTCGCCTATTTGGTTAACATTAATTCACTTCATTGTGTAATTGTGTGATTGTGTAAAAAAATCCCATCTCTACAATGAAGGAGACTGGAACAACCGAACTGGCTTTACTGTCCAATAACCTGCCGGAACCGTACATCAGTTGTTGTCCAACTGAGTCACGCACAGAGACGGGGGATTGGCTGAGCTCGGCGTGCTCCAATATGCCTGCACCCAATTACTCCTCTCCAATTGATAATTACAGGATGTTGGGTGAGTAATTTGCAATTTTCGCATTGTTTACTTCTCAGAATCTATTTTCTGCATTGTTTCTAGGGGCTTTCGTATTTATTTACTTACTAGTAACAGTCCTTTTGACTTAGTACCTATAATAAACGGCTTGCACACAAAATAGATCATTTCCCCTCAAGTCCGTTTATCCGGCTAAACCCTCATTCAATTTTTCACGGATTATGCATAATCCCGAACGGACGCGAATCAAGCTGTAACCGTAATTGTTTGTGGCTTTATCACCTTTTTGGGAAGAGTGTTGTGACTCAACGAGAAGTTTTTAAGTAGACCCTGTGGTGGCTTAGTTAACACCAAAATACAACTCTGCCAGTTGACAGCCTGTAACAACCCAATAGAAGAAACAACTTAAGTTACAGCGAATACAATTTTTTACGTTAGATCACCCAGGTCGGCCGTCAACTGTAATCGAAAATCGATGACATTCGACACTAACTCGCCCTCTCACGTCGAATGTTCACTTCAACCCTTTGGTATTGCCTTTTAATACACTTAGCTTTGAATGGTATGCGTTTATAATAGTACACCACTAGTAAGGAAAAAGTAGTGTCACAGAACAGGCACGTCCCTCAATCTACGATACTCCGCACTCTGTCTCAAATCAATGTAGTTGGTTACTATTAAGTCGTTCTCTTTTAGACGGATGTCTGCAGGAAATATAAAGAAATCACGTCGTACTGTCTTTGTTTCGGAATCTAATCGACGCATTGGACTGGCTACTCCAGGCAGCATTGAGCGACTGAAATATCTTGAAGCCTTAGTGAACGAACTGTGCGTAACGAAGTCAATTAACTGCAAACAGCAGGTACAATTTGGCCTTGTTAATGACTTTCAGATCGTTGCTAACCTTGGCAATTTCGCTCACGACCCCCGTAATTGTTCTCAGCTCCTGAGTTTAGATATACCCTCTATTTTTCTTGAAATAGTCAGGGAACACCTTCACATAACGAAAACATCCGGTTTGTACTTTTCTACAACTTTTTTATTCCATTTACGTATTACGCTATAGGAAATCAAAAAGAGGTGTCACAGTCTACTCGCTTGGTATCCCTCGCAGTTGCGGGCTTGTGCAATTTAGCCACAAGTTCCCATAAACTTTGTGCAACTCTCTGCCACCAACACAGCGTTATTTCACCCCTATTCGACTGTCTGGCATCTTCCGTAGTCGACGCCGAGACTGTTGTCAATTGCCTGGTCATATTTGTGCATCTCTGCGCCCGTCATACCCACTCTTTGGAGGCGTCCTGCCGGTTTTACGAACCACCCGATCTCCCGTCCTCTTTCTACTCCAGCATCCGCTCCCACTTCCACGCAGTTGTCGAAAAGTCGCAGGCTCTTGTCAATCCAACCTCAGAGTTAGTTGACCCTCGACTCCGCGTAATTGCGCAAATCTTCTTGACTGACTGCTGCAATATTGCGCCCTAGCATGGCATTCCCACGCTCTGGCCTACTGCTACGCGCTCGTCTTATCCCCTCAAGCTACACTCCCAAACGACTTTGTTATGCGTCTAAAAAGTGCACACAGGATTTTCAACATCCACCCAGCATCGCCGCGGTAAGTCGTCTACATTTCTGGGCATTGAGTGCTCTACTTTCTAGACTACCTCTTGCAATTCACACCAGTTGAAGTCGGTTCTTGTTGTCCCCATTAACAACTCCTTCATTCAACGAACACCCGCCTTTGACACATGTAAGTGCTGTTTAAGTTCTGTGGATTTTGTCACGGCTGATTGAGAGGAAACTTTTGGTTGTAAAGTCCAGCCCCTCTGTCTGCCTTCACAGACCAACCAGCCAAGATTGCGGCCCCACCCATGGCAGGTGTTGGCATCTTGCCAAAACCGCTCGCCAGAGGGAAGTCGCTCGCACGCCTCGTGGGTGTCTGCGCTGCCCTCTCCAAAGCACGCCTCACCGGCCTGGTTGTGTCGACGGCCCTGGCCGGCTGCGCCCTCGCCGCGCCCACTCCCTTCGCCTGCGAGGCCTTCCTCTCCCACCCGGCTGCCTCTCTTCTTGCTCTCGGTGTCGGCACTGCCCTCACCTCGGCTGCCGCCAACGCCATCAATCAGGTGAGTGGCGCCCTCTTGACTTGGTGGGTATGTGCGCGCTAATCGATTGTGCAGCTTCTACGAATCGCATTTCATGGCTGTGTAGCATTTTCTGCGTTGCACCAAAAAAACGGAGCCGGAAACAACGCGTCTTGCTTAAAACGACACCAAACGGGGCGGGAAATTCATTGGACCATGGTGAACATATGGGACACCACAGGATGCGTTTTGCCCGTAACCAAGACTCCACACTCAGATAAACGGTACCCCAGGTCTGTTATCGCGTGAAAACCGCGTTTCCTAGTCACCTGTTCATCATTTTCGACCAGCTGTCGTGTTGGGTCGATTGATTTTACCGCTGACACCTTTTGACTGTGGGCTTCAGCGTTGTGTTAGGGTCGGGAGGACGACGGGAGTCTGAGAAAGGGTGGGAGGTGTGTGTGGGCACACGACTGCCAGTCTTATTCACAGTTCCTTTTCTGCTTGTCTTTGTGTTTAGATCATGGAAGTGCCTTTCGACAGTATGATGAAGCGCACACAGACGCGACCGCTTGTCCGAAAGTCCATTAGGTGAGTTTGCCCGAATCCCACTTGTTTGTTGCTGGTGAATGCGAGTACATGGGCTGTTTACGTTCGAACTTGATTAACTGTTAAAGTATGTTTTCAGATTCCTGTACATTCCTCGTCCAGGTGTTGTTTAAATCCGCAAACCAATCACGGTAACCTAGAAAACGCATATTTTCCCACAAAACCACGAGGATTGAAGTGTTTTGTTCGGGCACACCGGTTGTATTATATTATTTAAATGGTCTGTTTATGGTAGACGCAGTTATTTGCCAACCACACGCGAATCTCTTTCCCAACGTCATTTACGTAGGGGGTTACTATGGCAACCATTGCTTTTAACCGCCCCCGCGGTTCAATATAGACACGGTAAATACGGTAAACTTGCGTAAATTTATTGCCTTATCATCAATTATGAGACAATGAATGCTCGTTTGGAGGTCTAAACTTCAACATCGTGCATTTCTCAAGGTCGCCAGCTCCGAGCGTAACCTCAAATTTTAGTGGTTAGTGTTCACGTGACAGTTTGCCACACTTGAAAACGCACGCAGATTGGTGCACTGCGTGTAAACGACTCTGGCAAGCCTTCGGCGTTGTCTTGCCAACCCAAAGTACTTGCTAGTGTGTTATCTAGTGTTGTCCATAGCGCGTTACCGACTATACTTGTGTGGCCAGCTACACCCAACTAAATCCATACCTCTCCTGGGCATTTGGAGGATTGGCGTTGTACGACAAAAGGTAATTGGGAAATTTCACGGTTTTTGGAGCGGGTTCACGGTAACCCCTGAAACCGTAACCTGGGCACATCGTTTTTTATTGGATTGCAAGCTGCACAGTTGTGCGTGGCATCGGCAACACGTTGAGCTCTTTCCTTGTTCTAACAACACCCAATTACGCTAGCCTTAATTCGCCTGCTCTAAGCGTCTGAACCAGGCCACTAGAACAACCAATCAGAGGCCCTCCTCCGGTGTTGTGCTTTTTAGTCCGGTTGGCGCGTGCGTTTTCGCCAGCACCTCCGCAGTGGTGGGTCTGGGGCTGCTCCACGCCGCGACGAACCCCCTGGTGGCGAGTCTGGCCGCCGGCAACCTCCTCCTCTACACCTGCGTCTACACGCCGCTCAAACGCGTCTCCCAGGTGAACACGTGGGTGGGCTCGGTGGTCGGAGCGATACCCCCCCTCATGGGCTGGGCAGCCGCCACCGGCTCCCTCGAGTGGGGTAAATTGCCCTTTGGCGCACTGCCTCCTCATACTAGTCCGCTTTCAAGGGCGTTGTCACCAGGCTGCACACCTACTGTGACAATACTAGGTGTATGGCGTAATTTGTACTAATTTTGCAGCAAATTTATTGAATGCGAACAACGAAATTAATCCAGGGAATATGGTTCATCGTCTTGTATGGCTTCGCGACATCTCGCAGGTAAGGAACGAGTGACGTCGCGAAGGGAACTTGCAGGCTTTGAGACAATTAAGCCATAGACGAATCCACTAAACAGTGCTGCTGCATTAATCGATACATGGTTGCCGGAAGGGGTCAAATTTGGTTAATATGCCGCGTGTGGCAGAACCCTCCATCCCCAGTTCAGAAGGTCTTTTGAGTCGCTAAGCGAGCAACGTGTGGTGGTCGAGCGTTGTCAAACAGCGGCAGTGTGACTTGCCTGCTTCCTTCCTCACTCTTTACCCAGTTGTCGGCCGTAGCTTTCCGCAGTCACTGTCTGACGACTCGTTTCAAGGAGTTCGTAACAGAGTACACCACCAGATACACAGGAGATCCTTCTTCAGGTAGATGTCTTGTTGTGGCGTCGATGTACTGGGTTGCTCAGCATCCACCCGCGACACCTTTCTACGTTTGGGATTCTCGCAAAAAGCATACTTTTCATCACCCGTCACAATTGTCCACAAGAACTTCATTCACTGCTTGCCCGCCGGCTGGCAAGCGGTGAAAGGCATGTGTTCAAACGTTGGCCTAGGTTGTGTTCGATCCCAAGTTGTTGTCTTTCTCCAAAACGTTTGTACCAATAATTTCACGTTTCACAAGATGCAACACTGGCAACCCGAACACCACAAACCGATTCCCCCCGTGCTTTAGAGGCACATTTTCCCTTTTAGAATCCGTAGAAAATGTGCTAGCGAATGTGATGTTGATCAGTTGACATCATAAACTCTGTTACTTGCAGAGGCTATGTAACTCCACATATACTTGTCGTTCGGTGTTCTGAAACCTTGCGTCTGATCCCTTCAAGACCACAAAAGACCGCGAAAGCATTTCAAATTTAAGCGTAATTTTAGGTCGTACACCTAATGCGACATGCGTGTGTCGTTGTTGTGACCAGGTTCCTTGATATTGGCCTCCCTGCTCTACGCCTGGCAGTTCCCACACTTCATGGCCCTGTCGTGGCTGTTGCGAGAGGACTACGCGCGCGCCGGCTACGTGATGACGGCGAACGTGAATCCTGGCAGGGCGAAGCGCACCGCCCTGCGCCACTCCGTGGGCAGCGCGGTGGTGTGCCTCGCGGGCGCCGGCTGCAGCGCCGTCAGCCTCGGGCCCTGGGCGGGCTGGTCCCTCGGTCTGGGCTCGTTACCGTTCAACGCCGCGCTCATCTACTACGCCCTGGAGTTCTACCGCGCGCCGTCCGGTGTCAAGTCGGTGACCGCGGCGCGACGCCTCTTCCGCGCCTCCCTCATCCACCTCCCCGCCGTGATGGCCGCCATGCTCATCTGCAGCCACTGGAGCGCTGCTCCGCTCATGTGACTGGCCTTACCTTTTTGCTTCTCCTCTTGCCTCTTTCTAGTTGAACTGCTCAGGGCCTTTTTTTAGAAGACTTGCTAGTCCCTTTATTAAGTAAAACCAGGTGTTTGGATTGCTCTTAAAGCTTAATTAAAGGCAAATTTCTTAACGCTTTGCAAGCTGGTTTAGGAAGAGCGGGGGATTTTTAGATTTTGAGAGCCCTGAAAGGGTCACAGGGGACCTAAGTAGAAGCCATGATGTTTATCCAATGTAGTACCATTAACTGTCATAGTCGGGGAGGTCTGAATACGGCAAACTTTTGTGTGGCGTCCACCAGTTCTGTCTAAGGACGCAGGGCGAGAGGATAGAGCAAGCTGGGAGTAGGGCTACGGCGTGTCATGGAACGGTACTCGTCGAGTGTAATCCTGGCGCGACGTTTGTGCCTGAATGCCCGAGTGGCAACACCAGCACTACGGAATCCTACGGAGGGGCTCATTGTGGTTTTGGAAAAAAGTAATTGGACGAGGAAAGTGGGGCCGTAGGCATGCTGAAGTGTTAATTTGACGATGGAAATAGAACGACTTGGTCCTCTAAGCCAACCCTGACCACGAGCATTTTGTGTATAAACAAATTACTAATTGATAATCAGTGCCAAGCATACCCCAAGTTCATCAAATTACGCATATTTCTAGGTGTTTTCAAAAAAATAAGCAAAAACAGGATGCTGATAACCATCCCCAATCATATCAATTAACACCAAGAGGATGTGGCTAAGCGAACGTGGATATTTGAACATGCTACCAAGGATATAATGGTGATATCAATCACGAAGCACCATCAGTTGTGACAGATTAGGCAACCCTATCTAAGAACACAGCCTGCATGATTTAGGCGGACATACAGGCAAAAATTGCGATTTCCGCATTCGAAGAATAAAAGCAGTTGAGCGATTAAGAAATAGCAAATGCATATAGGACAAATGTAATGTAAGAAAGAGCAATACACTTAGTCGGTCCTGTCTTTTCGACCACTGCCGCTTTTCTTTTCTTTTTTTCGCCTCTTTCGCCTCATCTCATCATCAAAGTCGATACCACCTCCGGGAGACTCTACAGAGGATGGTCCACCTGCGGACATGAAGGAGAAATCCTCCGTAGAGCGACGAACGGCCGCTGGTGGCGGGGTGGCAAAGTACCCAGAGGTGGACTTTGGTGGTGCTGCTGCAGCGGCATTTTGCGAAGGGGGCGGTGGGGGGCCTGAGTGTGGGGCAACAGCAGCAGCTGCTGACGCAACGGGTGGGTGTTGGTGATGCTGATTGCGAAGGAGAAGGGCAGTGGCTGCCGAGGGGCCAACGGGTGTTGCCGAAGCAACTCCTCCGGAGGTGGCCCGATGCACATCTCTTCGGCGCTTGCGAGTGGGAGGAATGGCGGGTGCACGATCGTGGGCACCGGTCGTTGGGTCGACCGCTCCAACACCGCTACTATTGTTTGCTGGAGCTGCCATAAAGAGGGCCATGTATTCTTTGGGAAGGGGGCCATGGTGAAGACGAACAGCTGCATCAAGCTGACTTGCAGGAAAGGGTGTCAGCTCTTTTCCGCGAATGGGAGGTCGCTCAATAAGACCCTATGGAAGAAAATGACGCATGCGACAACTTACAGTAAGTCCACTATCGTCGACAGAAGCCGGCATATTGACGTTGCCTGATAAGTTTGGGAGAAAGCCAGAGAGTTCATCCTTAAGGTTGCCGCGAAAAAACTTCTGGTATGCTGTTTTGAGGCCGTAATGCTCGATGAGGTTTTTGGCGCCAGTGAGGGGAGCGTCCGGTGTCGCCCAATCTGAGTCTAACAGATAAAAGGGTTCGCATTGTGCAACAGATCGATTATGTCCACTTCCGACAATTTTGATTTTGTTTATCCATGTTTGAGAAGGTGGCTGATTTATAGGCGAGCTAGACATGAAGGACATTGCGGTAGGCTAAGCCGTAAAGCCGCCTGCAATTTGAAAAGGGTCGCCCTTGCGATAATGATTTAAACATCAGTTTAAAGCAATCAAAGCAATCCTGTGTCTCTTTTTCCTCGACACCCATAAACATTTTTTCCTTGTATACTGCTGATGATTCTATGCACAAAAAACGATCGATTAAAACTCAATAATCCCCAACAAGGCAATTTTAAAGTCAGATAATCATAAATTATCTGCGCTTTCATTCAGCATTACTTTTATAACATAGCGGCTAATGTAAAAAAATGCCAAACGTAAATAAAATTATGGGATATCTTTTTTAAAAATATGTCGTCTTTTATATTTATGGAAAAAATGCATTCTGGCATTTTTTTCCGTTACCACTTTATCCACTTTTAGATTCAAAACACGTCAATTTTCCACTCAAAAGTTGTTTATGCATTTACTAGAGTTGTTTCAGACTCCTATTAGTTATTATACAGAAAAGTGTTGCATTTAAAGTAAATGGTTGGCGTACTGCTTTTGCAATTTCGGTTGTCTGCATCCTTAAACCTCATTATTCCCTTGTATACTGTCATATGATATTACGTGCAATTCCACTTGAACTTGGCGAAACCACTATATATCTTTTAAGCGAAGCCATATAAATTTACCGAATGACAATTTTAATAGTGGGCCACACGGAATTGAGCCATTTTTTGCGGCAGTAAATAAAAATTTTCTCACTGCTTAATAATTTTCCCACTATCAGTTTTTATAAATTTATGAAGTGTGTACGGCCATTTCGTCCACGGATTATTTGATTTAATCGAGTTTTTGCAACATTTGTTCAATGTTTCTAATAGTAAGTCAAATTTACTTGTATGTGTTACCCCATACTATTGAAGGGCTGTGATTTGGATTTTATACAAGACATACAGGTCTCCCTTCAATGGTTAACTTTCACAACCATTCTTTGAAGAGATATACTATTGTATCACGGACTCCCTCGTAGTGAATAGGTATTGGCTACAACATGTGGGCACATTCAAAAAGCAATTTTAGGAAATAATGCCTGAACATCTCTACACTCACTAACATAAATCGTGAACATACCTGTCAGATAATCTCACAGAATCAGTGTCCAATAGCAGATGGTAAACAGGGGTGAAAACCACAGGGCTCACGGTTTCACCCAGAGATAATTTTAGCATGAGAAAATCTCCATTGCCCAGACCCTCGGATCGAATAACAAAATATTGAAGTAGTGTACAGAGGTGTCTATTTACAAAATGGCAGATTAGCATCAGTCTACTTCAGGGCATGTTCCCTTGCGGTTCCATATTGGTAGTAATGTGGAGCCAATTCAAGTAGCCAGTCAGGTTGGATAGCACTGACACCGGAAATGCACGTGCCCAGCGACTCCGCGGGATTCGACGGCGTGGCGTCAGCACTGAGGTCTGCCGAGAGGTGGACACGGGTGAAGAGAAGCCACTTGGGCCAGCGTGCTGTTGCTCCATACAGCACACTGCTTGGGTGAAGCCGCAGCGCATGATCGCCTCTCACCGTCAGGTAGTACGTTCCTGAGGGCGCGAGAAAGGCCACCTTAAACGAAAATACAACCCACATTTGGCCTCCAACAAACACACACTGCAAGCCTCTCTTTTTTTTACAAGATTTCGCACCTGTGTGAAGAATCCACGAAGAAGGGCACGAAGAATCGGAAGCGAGTTTCCCGGTGGTTCGGCAGCCACCCACGGGAGCTTGGCGCGCTTCAGCACACCGGCGATCTTGTCGCGAATGTAGAGAGCGTGTTGGAGGCCCCTCGCGTTCAGCCCCACCGACTGGCACCAGCGCTTCACGTCGGCGACACTTTCACCTCCCTCAACTTTCATCTCATAGGCAGTGAAGGCATTGAGTTCGGTCAGATGGTCGCCAGACAGAGTGCCGAAGAGCGTCCGCTTGGTACGATCTGCCGTCTTTTTGTAGTTCGGACTCGCCACAAATACGTGCTGCAACTGCATTAGAGAGACGATTGCGGCAATTTCTCGTGTGCAGCCTTCTTCCACAGCACCCAAAAGAGCAGCAGCTGCGGCAGGGTCCCCAACACCGCAAGAGGAACACAGACTAGCTAACTGAGCCCCCTTGGGCACGGTGAGCCTAAACCCGTCAGTCAATGAGAGCGCGCCCAGTGAAACCAGTCGCTCAGCTGCCTGAGCTAAATGCCGCACAGGAGGCTTGGGTGGTAGCCAATCAAATTGAGCCAGTTTGTCCACGCCGAGGGACTTGAGTCGTAGAAGGGCAGCGGAAAGGTCACACCTCTGACTCTCCGGCGGGGTGAACCGAGGTAGGATGCTTCGATAGGCCTCCTCAGTGTACAGGCGATAGACCTGGCCCGAAAAAGAGATGCAGAAAGGGTTGGGATAAAGTTTGCCCAAGGACAAACAGCCAGAGAGGAAACAGCGCGCCTCACCTCCCCAACACGAACGCGCCCGGCTCTGCCCGCGCGCTGATTTGCCGAGGCCTTAGACACCGGCACCGTGACGAGAGCCTCAAGGGCGTTTTGTGGATTGTAGGCCCGCAGACGGGCGTAGCCACAGTCGACGACGTAGGCGATGCCCGGGATGGTGACACTGGCCTCGGCAACATTAGTCGCCACAACCACCTTTCGGCACACGCGCACGGGACGATCGAAAACGCGGAGTTGTTCGTGGGCCGGCAGGCCGCCGTACAAAGGAAGGGTTCGCAGAGGTGGATAACGAACTGCGTTGCGAGAAGCGGCCTTCGACTGGAGAAAGCGCTCCTTCCTCTCGCGGTATTCTTCGATTATTTCGCCAACCAGACGATTGACCTCGTCCTGACCTGTGGAAACGCAAGGTAGACTCAACATCCAGCTTACCAAAAAGACCTTAACACGAATCTTGACTTACTGGTTAAAAAGACGAGGATGTCAGCCCCGAGTGGGCGAGTTTCGTGTAACTTAAAGACGGTTTTTCGTGCTTCTGTCACGTAGCATGGCGTAGGATCCTGTAGGTAGAATATTTTAACAGGATACTGCCTTCCTTCCACATGCAAGTGAGACACTGGAGTTAGTTTGCTTTTCACCGATTCACCATCATCTTTCAAGTGCAAGTCTTTGAAATATTCAATAAAACTATTAAGTAACTCAGACAGTGAATTGGATCGCTTACTTTTGTGCTTCAAGCGTTGCTGATGAAACAACCACGCGTAAATCATCAAGGCGTTTGCGCAATACTTTCTTGACCAGGCCAAGCAGCAAATCCACTTGTAGTGAGCGTTCGTGAACCTCGTCCAGCATTATAACCCGATAGTCCTTCAGCATTGGGTCTCTAGTCATTTCTTGAATAAGCATTCCATCGGTCATGTAGAGGATTGAGGTTTTTCCGGGTTTGAAACAATTTTCGAAACGAATGAGGTAACCAACCTCATTCCCCAGCTTGCAGTCCTTTTCCTCTGCTACACGGGCAGCTAGAGTGATTGCTGCAACTCTCCGAGGTTGCGTAACGGCCATGTACTTCGAACTTTTGCGAAGCCATCCGGCTTCATATACGTATTGCGGAAGTTGTGTTGATTTGCCACTACCAGTTTCACCCGTTACCACGACGACCCTAAAAAACATACCACGCAGGTTAAATACATTACGTTACATTATGTAGAAATCTCCAAAAGAAATTTTACCTTGAGGTTTCCAATAAATAGAGGAAGTGACTTCGCCACCTAAAGGTTGGCAAACTTTGGCGTTGCTGGTCGACCTGTTGCACTCCGGAGACGTCGGCAACCACTGCACCTTCTGGAAACTCATCAATCTCTTCAGTAGCCACCAAGTTTTCTTCACCAGGCTTCAAGAAACGAGCACGCTTGGGAGGAATTGCCATAGTTGGTCCAAGTCGATAACGCCCAAATAAAACACACTGGAATCATACAAAGCTTTCTCGATCCCAATTGGTTGATAGTCAAGGTTGTCAAATCACTTCAAGACATTTGCCACAAGTTGCTTACTAGCAGCAAAATGATTTGACATAGTGCAACGTTAATTTTTTTTCAATTTGCTTAGGATTGTGAGTTTGTGTCAAATAATTTTACTTAATTTTAGATGGATAATTGGCACATGTAATCACCTTCATTTTGCCTCTCGTTAATTGGCTACAAGAACTGTATGGGTCTGCGGTGATATTTTTGTGAATTGCAGTGATTTACTGTGCTGGGTCGATTTTCATTGCACGGAGAAGTAAATAGAGATATAGAGTACTTTTGCAGCTAATGACATGGGCTATCCAAACATACCTCTGAAAAATAATGCATATTTGCGTGCTATGGGCCTGTTATGCATCATTTGCATTTATTAAAACTAAATTTATTATCTGCCATCCTCTGAACTAGGCAGGAAGTGGCAAACTCGCTTCGGAGCATATTTACTAGTTAGTAGACGTGCAGCATGTAAAACCATTTCACCTCACTTGAAGTTTCTGGACTGATTTCTAGAATACATTATCGTTTTTGACTTCTTGAAGTTATTTAGCCCAATTTACTGAATTCGCGGTGACGTAATTGCCCAAATCTTATTTCCTACTATGGTCTCCATTCAGACCTGTGGTTTGTTGCTATCGGTTGTCTAAAGTGTTATGGTTTGATATGTCCAGTATAGAAATGCTGATTTGTTAACATTGTCTGCGGAAAATGTGTCAGCCTTTGTCCTTAAATGCGCAACTTCTTTCGGCGGTTTGCCGTTTCTTACTTTAATTTTCTTTTCTACTTAGTCTACAGTGCGATTGAACAATTATGTCAGCTGTCTGGCGAACCAAGCTAAGAATTCATTCGCCACGTCGTCATTTTGCATCAGTCTCACCACACAACAGCCAGCATCACTGTCGTGAACTCGTGAAGTGAGCATCTCTGCAGATTTGTTCACTTGCTATGTAGGAAAGCCGACTACTACAATTATCTCTGCACTCTGCTTTTGCCTCAACCTCAACAAAGGTTCGCGTTTGCACTTCGCTCGCTCAATGTAGAAGTTTCGCTTGTAAGTTGCCTCTTTCTCATGATCGCCTAGTGTTCTTATTGCTACCTAGATTCGCACCACTGCTAAAGTGCTGCCAATAATGGTGCCGCCGAGTTTTCAATAGTTTTTCCTTTATTTGTACGCGTGTTTGTGTCCTCGTCGTGTAGTTCTAATTAAGTAATCGATGGTATATAAGTAGGTGGCAGTTTGACATGTTAGATCTTTTGCAGATCAGAGACCGTGCACCGACCGACGCAGTGGCAAGTTTGCGCTACCAGTACTGGCTCGATTCAATCAGCACAATCTTCACCCAAAGTCAGCCGAAGTACCCATCCCCCGTTGAGCAAGAACTCTGCTGGGTTTGTTGACGCCCACACCCCCTCGTCTTACCCTCTTTCCTTAGGCGATCGATCGCTTTCCCGGCGTCTCACGCCATTGGATAGTTAATCTCGTTCAGTCGAGGGTAAAACCACGTGGATTTGCTCATTTCAATCTAATAAAATTTAGTGGAAGCGTGCAGGTGGAGTGCCTTTTCGAGATTGCGCTGAATTAGAACACTACGCCGAAGCCACTAACGCGCCAATTCACTACTCACTCGCTGAGGCCTTCAGTAATGCTATTTTCGTTGCTGATGGATGCTTTTTTGTAGACATCAAATCGATAGAATTGGATCACGCTCTCTCACACATGTCGAAAGCCCAGGGGATACTCACTCACCTGCGCAGTGTAGTGCCACTTGCTAAACAGCACCGAATTTTGCTGGTTCCGACTGATGTTTTGGTCGAGGCAAGTCTAGTGCTCTAATTTAGGTGTCCTAGTTCATATCAATTCGTACCAGTGCTACTAATACTATATCAGTAGGATGAAATATTCGAAATATCTTGCAGCACAAGATCCCGGCGGAGATATTTCTTCGACTATGCTCCACGGGCATTGACTCGCCGCCAGCCCTGGAGGATGCGGATGCGCGAGTGGAGCAGCTGCGGGACGTCTGCCACGACATCGCCTCCCTCGCTCACCGACACGCCTCCAAGGCGGCAATCCAGGGGCAGGAGGTGCTTGCCAGGGGAAAGCAGACCGCCGCAGCATTGCTGATGTTGCCGCTGGTGCACGTGTGCGCCCTCCTGTCGAACTTTGCCTCGTGCAACTTCGATTTGCGACACCCCCGTCTGGTCGCCCGACGGGACGGTCTGATGCCCCTCAGAATCGCTTGGTGTGCCTTGCGTGGGAAGATCGCTTCCCCACCCAAGGCATGATCGCCGTTATGTACATATACGTGTCTTTTGAATGGCTGAAAATAGAACTTTTTTTTGTAATCAATGTTGTCCAATCAGGTGGCTTTTGGTAGTAGGGCCTCCGTGGAGTTGGTTTCGTCGATAGGTTCTGTAGAATACCCGAGCCCTAATAGGAAAAAGACAGGTACAACGGAACAGGCTTTATTGACCAGTCACAAGCCAGAACCACACTTCAGGGTCTTCCATCTGAGTCCACCACGCTGGCCACGCCGCTCATTATATACTGCTCCCCATTCGTGCCTTTCTTTGGTTGGCTGCTTATCTTCCTCACGTGCCATTGGATCGTAGAGGGACTGAGGATTAGCTGAAATCAGCGTGGTCCAGTATGTCTGCGCCCTTATGCGTTGCTACAATCCGCTCTGAATTCCCGATTTCTAGTTGTCCAAGAATGATTTTTTGGCGCATTCAATAGAAAATTTACAATCGGTTCCCGGCACTGTTTCTCTAGGTTACTTGTCATGCAAATTTTTAGGAAAAGTAATTTGATTTATTCACAAAAATCTTTAACAACCGACAATATTCACTTTCCTGTCAATAAGGTGTCTTTGTCTTGATGAAATAAATGAGATTGTGTTCTCATTTATGGGTGGTTGAGGAAAATTCCTAAGTAATCGATCTTAATAGCAGATGCCATGGGTAGTTGATTTTAATCTTTCTACTGATATAAAATGAGTAACAAATGAGTAGCCTCTAGCAGATGCCAAAATTTGGGAAAAATCGCCCCGCAACATTTTCAAAGTGGCGTTAGCTACATTGTCACATTTTAAGTAAGCTTGGCAATATTTGTGAAATTACATGCGCAATCAGCACCAGAGTCGTTGCTGAACCCTATCGATTTTAGGAGACACAAAAATTGGTCGCGGGAATGAAACATTATCTCGTATTTTGCTTTAATTGTTGTAATCTGACGTGATAGCAATTAAATTTCATTCTCAGAACGATGGCCTTGGTTGCAGCATTCAAATATGTCCACATTTGGTTTATTCTTGAAGGGGCTGATTTTTCACATTAAACTAATCCTTACGGCAACATCAAACAATATAAAGTCCGCACCAAAATCTGTACGGAAGCAATAATTTGTAAAAGTATTTTCTTGGTTTAGCACTGTGTTAGTGAAAGTACGCAACTTATGGACCACGTGACGCATTGCCACGTCATGCTGGAATTAAAACAGATGCCAAAATCAATAGCTCACGTGCGAGGGTTACCGCACAGACCCGCGTCTCCACGCTTTTTGACGTTTCCCTCTTAAGTTCCCCCTCTTTATTTTCCAAATGCGGGAAATTCTCTACCTCATGGTTGGCCAATGCGGCAACCAAATGGGCGCAAAGGTAAGCGGAACATGCTTTGTCTAAGTGTCCATTTTGTTGTAGTTCTGGGAGGTGATCGCGGACGAGCACGGAATCGGACCAGACGGATTCTACCGCGGCGACTCCGACCTCCAGATCGAGCGCATCCACGTGTACTTCACGGAGGCGGCTGCCGGTCGAATGGTGCCACGCACCATCCTCGCTGACCTTGAGCCCGGGACCCTAGACACCATCCGATCTGGTCCGTACGGGTGCCTCTTCAGGCCAGACAACTTCGCGTTCGGCAGTGCCGGGGCTGGCAACAATTGGGCCAAAGGCCACTACACGGACGGCGCTGAACTAATCGAAAACATCATGGACATTGTCCACAAGGAATGCGAGGCCTGCGACTGCCTCCAGGGCTTCCAGGTCGTGCACTCGATGGGTGGTGGAACCGGCGCCGGAATGGGGAGTCTGCTTGTGAGCAAAATCCGCGAGAACTACCCCGATCGCATAATGTGCACCTTCTCCTGCTACCCATCGCCCAAGGTAGGCTCAGCTCTGTGATTGGCTGAAGCTGTTTTGATTCTGATTGGCCAGGTAGTAGCTCCTCGAATTCTGATTGGGTGGTTGGTGCCATGACGGTGTGCGCTTTTCCAAATTACAGATATCCGGTGTGGTAGTTGAGCCATACAACGCCATACTTGCAGCACACCAGCTAATCCAATTGGCCGAGCAGACATTTGTCATTGATAACGAGGCTCTGCATGATATTTGCTCCCACACCCTAAAAATCTGCGATCCGACCTACGGCGACTTGAACCACTTGGTTAGCACCACCATGTCGGGCATCACGACGTCCTTGAGGTTTCCCGGTCAGCTGAATTCTGATCTGCGGAAACTCGGCTACAACCTGATCCCCTTCCCTCGGATGCATTTCTTCGTGCCCGGATTCGCACCACTGACCTCTCGCCTCTCCCAATCCTATCGCCAGTTGTCCGTCCGCGATCTCACCTCGCAGGCCTTCGATCGACGCAACCTCATGGCCGCGTGCAAACCCCTCATGGGCAAGTACCTCACCGTGGCAACCATATTTCGAGGTCGTCTGTCGATTAGAGAGGTTACGCGCGAGATGTTCGCGGTGCGCTGCAAGCACTCGCCCTATTTCGTGGACTGGATCCCGAATAACGTCAAAACCGCGATCTGCGACGTTCCACCGCGGGGCATGAAGATGGCCGTCACCTTTGTGGGCAACACTACGGCCATTCAGGAGATCTTCGACCGGCTGGGGGAGCAGTTCTTGCATATGCTGAAGCGAAAAGCCTTCCTCCACTGGTACATCTCTGAGGGCATGGAAGAGGCGGAGTTTACAGAAGCCATTGAGGACGTCACCGCGTTGATCGGCGAATATCAGCAATTAGAGGGCTAATAGCTGCATTGTGTGTACACTTTTGGTGTCTTCTTTTTACGTCTGCTTGCGTGTCCTACCGTGGAATAAATTTGATTTCAGCATTCACTTTGTGAAGTGCATCGTATTGAGTAGTGTGTTTATTTTTAAAAATTTGTAGGTGTCGAACGTCGTTGTCGAGCCCTACAACGCCACCCTAGCTGGGCAATTTCTGACGGAGTTCGCAGACATGACTTTTGTAATCGATAATGAAGCACTCTATGATATTTGCTACCGCATTTTAAAGTTGCAAAATCCGACATACGGCGACTTAAACCACTTAGTTTCCTCCGCTATGGCCGGGGTAACGGCGTGTCTGCGGTTCCCCGGCCAGCTGAACGCAGATCTCCGAAAATTGTGCACGAACCTTGTTCCGTCGCCTCGACTGCACTTCGTCATCCCTGCCTACGCGCCGCTGTCGTCGCGATTCGCCCAGACCTACCGAAGCTACAACGTCCACGACCTGACCAGTCAGATTTTCGACATCAACAACCTCATGACGGCATGTGACCCTCGCCACGGCAAGTACATCACTGTCGCGAGCATCTTCCGTGGACATCTTTCCATCAAGGAGTTGGATGAGGCGATGCTCAACATCCATAACAAGAACTCGACATTCTTCGTCGACTGGATACCCAACAACGTGAAGACGGCGGTCTGCGATGTGCCGCCGCGCGGCTTGCGGATGGCAGTCACGTTCATCGGCAACAACACGGCCATCCAGGAGGTCTTCCAGCGCATCGGCGACCAGTTCATGACGATGCTGCGTCGCAAAGCCTTCCTCCACTGGTACACCAGTGAAGGCATGGACGAATCAGAATTTAGCGAAGCCTATGCTGCAATGGCCGATTTAATTAGCGAATACCAGCAAATGGAGTGATTACTTTGCTTTTGTCAATGCGTTTTTTTGGCAACTTTTTTTGAAAGAAAACTTTTCTTTTTTTTACCACCGTCTTTTGAGGTGTCGAGGATGTGGGTAAAAGGTCGTAATTTTGTTGCTTGTAGGTGTCAGAGGTGGTGGTTGAACCATACAACGCGGTTCTTTCACAGAGCCTCCTAATTGACTTGTCCGATGAGTCGTTCACCCTCGACAACGAGGCTCTCTATGAGATTTGCTTCCGCACCCTGAAGATCCAGAATCCGACGCTAGGCGATATGAATCACCTGGTGTCCGCGACGATGTCCGGTGTAACGACGTGTCTCCGGTTTCCCGGCCAACTGAATGCCGACCTGCGAAAGTTGGGCACCAATTTGATACCGTTCCCACGCCTCCACTTCTTTGTGCCCGGATTCGCTCCACTGACCAATCGATACGCCCAGCCCTACAGGACCTACACCGTCCACGACCTGACACTGCAGATGTTCGACGCGAAGAATATGATGTCCGCGTGCGATCCGCGCCACGGGAAGTACCTCACCGTGGCCGGGATGTTCCGTGGACGTCTGTCGGTCAAGGAGGTCGAAGAGGAGATGTCGAGCGTGCAAAGCAAGAACTCGGCATACTTCGTGGAATGGATCCCCAACAACATCAAGACGGCCATCTGCGATGTGCCACCTAGAGGCATGACCATGGCAGCCACATTCATCGGAAACAACACGGCAGTTCAGGAGACCTTCAAGCGCATCACCGACCAGTTCACCATCATGTTCAAGAAGAAGGCCTTCGTCCACTGGTACACCGGCGAAGGCATGGACGAGGGAGAATTCGACGAGGCCTACTCAAACGTCACCGATCTCATTGGGGAGTATCAACAGTTCGAAAGTGACTAGTCACCACGTGGATAATTTACTTTGTTCGTGCAAGAGAGGCTTGCAGATGTGTTGTACACAAAACTACCTCGAAACAGACGTGCTATGTTTACGTGCACATTCCTCGATTCCGACGGAAAATTGTGTTTGTGACCTCGAAACAGCTGAGAATTTTCAGCCAATCGCCTTGAATTCTGGCGTCTCTTAGTGCGCCGATTTCAAATTGTTAGTTCAAAAACGCGATTCACTGAGTGAAGGTGCTGTCACCTCAAGACAGCTCATCCGTAACCCTTCTAGATTGTTGACAAGAAAGTTATTTTGGTTTTCAGAGATGGTGGTGCCTTGCTTGAGGGGTAAGCTACTGAATCTCAGGACAAGAAAGTCGTGGAAAGTAGGAGTGGTTTGAGTAATTCATGTTTGTCGACTATGAACTCACCCAAATTCGATCTGTTGAATTTGACGATGGCGCAATCACGTCGTGGTAGCGTTACCGTGGAATCAAACGTAACCCACACAAAAACTGCAAAAAACATCGCAAACTTGTGGGATTGCAGTTGACTCAACCAATCAGTATTCACGATGCGCATCTAAGGCGCACTCAAGTGGTCCTTTTTGCAACAAACTTTCCATGGGACATCAAAAAACAGAGTAAAAGCTTGTTTGACTGACTAAAACAGCATTTAGAGTTGTTTAACGTCAAAAATCGTCCTCCTGGCGGCACTTAAATTAAACAGTAATTTAAAAATAAAAGGAATCAAGCCTGAAACGCCATGTATGCGTTGTTTTACTCGGACGGAAGAATTTGATTAGTTGCGCAATTTTCAGCTGATCGTTCAAACAATGTGCTTAGTTAGTGCAAAGGAAGCGGTGTGTAGAATACTCGAGCCCTAGTAGGAAGAAGACTGTTACAACAGAACAGGCTTTATTGACCAATCACAAGCCAGAACCACACGTCAGGCGCCGTTCATCCGAGTCCACCACGCTGGCCACGCCGCTCATTATATTCTGCTCCCCATTCGTGTTTTTCTCTGGTTGGCTGCTCATCTTCCTCGAATGCCACTGGAACGAAGAGGGACAGAGGATTGGCTGAGGCCAGTGTGGTCCAACATGTCTGCGCCCTCAGACGTCACCACAGGTGCTTGGGTAGGTGATTGGAACGTGGTTATTCCGCACGTGGTGAATCATGCGAACCCTGTGCATTCCCAGAGATGTGTGATCTGCTAGTTAGCGTGAAGGTCTTAACCTTCAAAGAGCATTTCAGTGTCCTTGGCAATAAGACGCGATGAGGCGAATAAGTGGAACGCCAAGGAATAGCCAAAAATGTGGACTACCGTCGTGGGTTTACGTCTGACAATAGCCTAGACGGCTTCTGGAAACTGCTGGTTTTTAACTACACACCAAGAAAACTGATCTGATGTGTTAATGGTGCCGTAGGGGCCTAAATTAGCACTACCGCGGAACCCTATCGATAACAGCCGGTCACAACCCAAGAAGAGAGAAGACAAAGAGTCGAAAGGGAACACGACTGTTTATTCGCGTCACGCCAGTCAAGTTGAGTCGAGTAAAATCGATACGCGTGCGTAACAGGCGACCGCTAACAAGAGCCAATAAGAAATAGGGTGAGTCATCGACACAGTCGGGCAAGCATTCACGCAGCACTTACGCGCGCGGTAGCCGTCTGTCCACCAGAGTGCATTCACGAAAAAAAATCGATTGATTTGTGTTCGCTCACGAATGCTAAGTGTGCTGGCTTGGTGGTCGCCAGAGTACAATCGTGTATTTCATAGAATGAGTCGCTGACCGGTGTCAAACTGCAAATACAAATCACATTTGTGCTAATTTTTTTGCCTCACCATTTCAGCGAAAGTAACTTAGACGTTGAAAAAGTTAGACGGGTAGTCTTTCCAGAATGTTCTACACGTAGATGGAGAAATGTCACTCTCGTGAACAGCCACAGCACATTGTTTTCGAGGTGCTAATCACTGACCTGAGTAAAAGTTGATCTACACAATCTGCGCCTTACTTATTAATAATCAGGCAGTGATATGGACAAAGAAAAACTGGATAAAAAACGTGAGTTTAGCAGGAAATGAGCAATCTTTCCACAATGCCAAAGTGGCATCAAGAGACTCCCGTACACGCTATGTGATTGAGGTTGTGGACCGAAGTGTTGCTGGTTTACAACGAAACTTGACCAAAAATTTGGGGTTTACGATAAGGTCGCGATGTTGCGGCAACCTGCTAACTAGCAACTCACTAAACTTTAAAAAAAACACGATAAATGTCTTAAACTTCCAAGATCAGTTGGATAATCACTCGTAGTTGCAGACAACATCGACATCAAAAAGGAGCCAATCAACTATGAGCGTTCGAACAATTGGCCAACCACATTCTAGCATTTCGTGCTACCTATAAATTTTGGCCTTGACGATGACGTCATAACATGGGCGAACGATTAGCAGTCATACGGTTAATCTATTGCACTGTAAAAATCACATCTTTCGATGAAGATGGCGACGTTTCAGGTGGTGCAGTTGGTGGATATTTGAGAAAACGAAGAGACCATATGGTACCCATCAATCCTACCACAAATTCTCCTTCACAATCTTCTGTAGGCCCTTTCGTGTGTCTAAAGCATCCATGGAGATTGTCAGAGAGAAAAAAATTCATTGTTTAATGGCAAACAAGCAGTAAATAGAAAGAATTCGAAGCCACGATGATTAGATCTGTTGTTCGGGGTACCCCGGCCAAAAGATGTTCCAGAAGATGGCAAATATGAGGAGTGCGAGGGAGATGGAGAGGGACACCCAGAAGAGCACGCGTTCCCACGGTTTCTCCCGCAAGTTCCGCAAAATCGGGATGCCCACCAGCAGACCGGCTAGGAATCCGGCGATGTGGGCCGAGACGCTGACATGCAGATTGGCGTTCGACAGACCAAATCGTTCGTACAGCGCGATGCCAAAATCGACGCCACAAAACACCACTATGAGACAGACCTGGAAATTAATGAAGGTTATTACAGTGACCAATCAACATTCAGTAGCTTGGAAGGCTCGCCCATCATTGGTCAACTTGGTAGCCAATCAAATCAATAGCACATTAAAATGCGGCTGAGCCAATGGATGGTTACGATGTCGGTTCGTAGAACGTATTATTAACTACGTTGAAGTCTGCGGACAGAAATAAATTTACTTAATTTAGGGAAAACAATTAAAATGACATGAATGTATTCTTCTTGATGAGTTGCTTAAAATGAAAAGCAGCAGGCGAGCACTGCTGGCAGTCGTAAGCGGACGCAAATTAATCGATTTTCGTGAGTGCTACGTGCGTTCAGGGATCGATATTTGGCGAGGCCATGCAAACGCACTTGTTATTCTGGACACGCACCACACACCGCTGCTGCATCAATAACTTAGCTGATCTACGTGCCACCTGCTTTTTCGACTCCTTCTCTCGATCCGGGCCTTGTCTGTGTAAATCGCCGGCCCTGGTGTGGTTCCGCAAAACCGTGGAGGTATGACGATTTATCAGAAATCAAGTTATAGAAATTTAACTCTATCAATGATTCGAGTGAACAATTAACGAACGTAGAAATGGTTTCATTGTTTTTAGGCGCTCCGTTTTTTATTCCTTTTGACCGCCAGTTTCCATAAATGCGTCACTGGCCAACTACAACCGTACCCTAGTTACTCCTGACGAGATGATGGCAAGCGGTGAGGTCGAGGCGTAGAAGTCGTGCTTTAGTTCTTCCCAGTTGATGACGACAAGAGCGAGGTGAGCGCCGACCAGGGCGTAGGCACCCCCACTGGACCCCGCGAGGACAGCAAAGGGGTCCCAGACGGAGCAGGCGAGGGAGCCGGCCAGTACCCCCGCGAGGTAGACGGGGGCCACACGCCAGAGCTTGTGAACCCACTCCACCAGGCAACCGAGTACCAGCGTGACGAAACTGTTAAACACGATGTGCCATATTCCCTGCAAGACAAAGTTCGGTGATTGGTTAACGCACTGGGTAAGACTACGAAGCAATTTGATTGGTCAGTTTTGTTCAACTTATATCAAGTTGCAGACCGTGGTCACAAACATGCCCGTCTCAATTACAAGTCCAGGCATTCACAAAAATGTTTGTGGATCTTTCCGAATTCTTCTGGAGCTGTTTTTGCTCCTAGAATGAAGACCTCAGTACCAGACCTTATCGAAATGTCACTTTTGGAACGAAAAGCGTGATGATGGCAAGCAGAGAGAACAGTTCATTTGTTTGTTGGTCGTGTAATAAATTCCCCAACAGTGTTGGACTAGTCGACATTATTTGATCAGTTTTGGTAACTTCGGTATATCCGAATTTTAGTTCCTAAAATTTCATTGGTTAATTTCGAATCCCGCTGCAGGTGTGTGTGTGGCGTTTGTGCGACTCACCTGATGAATGAACATGTAGGTTAAGTAGCGCCAGACTTCGCGCCGTCGCCTAGGATCGAAGTAGAGAGGTGAAAAGTAGGGGAAACCGGTCGCCCAGGACATGACATTTTCGGGCTCTGCTTCCGCCCGCCGATTCAACTCCACCGCGTAGTAAATGAAAACAGCCAGCTGTGACAAAAAAAGAAAGAAATGAAAAATGTTATTGGTCGGTATATCGGTATAACTCATACAACACATGATCACAGTATGAGTTATCGTGACTGTGATTGGTTAATATGCATTTTCTGTATTCAAATCACTCTGATTGGCCCACTCCCGTTTGAATCCGTTTCTCGTCTTAACGACTGTCAAGGTCATTATAAAGTATACACTCCGAGGCAATGCTTGGATTAGGGTAATGCGTTAGGCATAAAAGGTCATTCATTCACATTTAAAATCGATATTTGCAACTAATTACGTCGAGTCTGCTAGATCAGTAACAACCAATCAGAAACATCGTACCTCGGTAATTGTAAGCTTCATGAGAAAGTATTGTAAAAGATCGAAGGAACAAAACTGATTCCTGACGCTCCATCGATCGGTACCATCAGCCTTGATACCAATGACTTTGAATCAAGCAAGACTAATTCTTCCGTGAACTGACTGACATGGCGTCTCAGTGACACAACGACTAGGCCGACATTGCATGTAAGTTCGTTACGAAGCAATGTTTTGTACGAAAATGTGCAACCAAGCGACATCTCTAGAGCTTCAACAGACAATCGACAGCCTCAACCAGCATGAGTTCCACGATTTCTGAATTCAACAAGCGTTTTCTACGTGGAAATTAATGCAAGCAGACGACGCTGTGGCGAGCAGCTAGCCAGCACAGTTAGCAAGCACGAGCGAACACAAATCAATCGATTTTTTGTGGACAGACAGGCACCGCGCGTGAGTGATAAGTGTGTGCTTGCCCGACTGTATCGATGACTCACCCTCTTTGTTATTGGCTCTTGTTAGCAGTCGCCGGTAACGCACGCGTATTGATGCGCACACAGAAGTTAGTTACTCGATTTTACTCGACTTTACTTGACTGGCGTGACGCGAATAAACAGTCGTGATCTTTTTCAGCTCTGCCTTCTCTCTTCTCGAGTTGCGACCGGCTGTTATTAACAGGGATTTGCTAATTTAGGCCCCTACAAGGCCTTTGCCGGTGTGAGCAGCTGGTCCGTTGTCCAACTCAAACATTGGAACCAATCAGAGATTAGCAATTAATTCTGACGTTCGCCATACGGTTTTGCGTGGCTGGCGTCAGTGTTTGGAACTCACCTGGACAAGGACAATTAGAGGAATGAAGATTGGAGGCGGCACGCAGTTGTAGGCGTCCAAGTAGCTCTGTGGAATGTACTCTTCGTCCATAATAGTCGGCGGCACCGAGTCATCGGCAGTCCGACTGACGCCAGCACCACGCGGCGTCTTCGTGGTTGGCCAAACTCCATCTGGCTCCAGCTTGAAGTGGCCTCTACCCCCGGCGGAACCAGTTATCGCGCTGGGGAGTCGTTCCTGATCTGCTTCCACGTCCACAGCCGCGCCATGACGACCCTGGGCATCGAGGGCCTGCAGGTGCTTGACGGCGCGTTCGCGAGCCGCCTGCAGTCGAAGACCCGGATTCCCGGCAAGCAGGGCTCGCAATGCAAAACGCTTCCACGGGTTCAGATCCTTGTAGCGTAGTCGCACCAATGCCGATCGGAATTCCTGTGTTAAGGGGTTCAAACCGGCATTCGTGAAGCCTCCAAATCAATACAGGAGTGGCACACACAGCATTTATGTTGTTGCGGGTCCCAGCATGTGGTCTTGAACCACGCCGGGGCCCCGGAATTAATTCTGGCCCGATTACGTTACCCCAATACCCGAGATGAAGACAAGACGGGAGAGAGGACGTGGACACAACCGTTTACTTCAGAGCTCAACCACGTTGGTGTCGTTGTGTCGTGTGTATTTATAGATCAGATGTGTGAGTCATACATGCGCTAACATTGAGACCTAGTTGTGGGGATAATCCAAGATAAATATCCATGTGAATGAGGAGGGAGTTGAGGATCCACGAGGCTGGCGACATGCTGCGAAAAGGGGAACCCGGTGTCGGAGGTGGAGCGACCGGATCAAGGAAGTGTGAATAAACACGATTCCCAACAATGTCCTTTTGGTAACAGTGTTATCTTAAAAGTCACCATTTTGCAAAAAACTCTAGTTTCTGTGGTGTTTAGTGGGGTTTTATTAACGGTTTAGGTATCGCCATGAATAGATCATAAATAGAATGCGGTCCGCTGTAATGCGTCGCTTAAGAATAAGTGTAAAAGCTGCATTTTTGCAAGTACTCTCCTTTTTTCTAGTCTGCTTTCAAAAATTCCGCCCTTTCTATAATCAATAGCTGCAATTTAATTGGACGGAATCGTTTGGACTCAATTTAACGCGAACCAGCCTTCCATACCATGCAACCCTTCCTTGGTTACTGAAGTTGTTTTAAAATGAGCAAAGGCTAGCATTTCAAGGAAACGCTTATTGGCTAGTTTTGAGAAAACGCTTGATTTATTTAAAACGGACCTCTCCAAGCATAGACGATGGAAATCAATGGTGCTAAATTCGACACGCCATCTAATTGGCAGAGAGGTGTGTCATTAACCCATATACGCATTCTTTCACGTGACATGAGAAGTTGTTCACTGGATCCAAAATTTCGTATGTATTTTTGTTTTGCTGTTCCGATGTGCCACTGAACGCGCCGTCTGAACTTGTTCGTGCAGTCTGTTCCGCCAAAAAACGTTTTTCTTGAGTACGCCTTCTCCGACAATCAAATCCATATATCAGACTTTTCGTTTAGATAAGTCTTGATGGCTCCCAATCCACTGATGTGCTTGCCGAGGTAACAAAGAGTCTCGAGCATTGACATTTTCAAAAAAAAATATTCTTTTTTGTGCAAAGGCACTTCCTTCATGAACCTGACCCGACAACCAATCAAATCGTGCGGAGTGACTCCAACTACAAATAGCAAGCGTGTTTTACGGGCTTCAAATGTAAATCGTTTTGTCGATTTTCAATGATTTTGAAAAAAGAGTTCTTAACGATTTTTGATTAATTGATTTCGTTTAAACCAACTCCATAAGACTCTTACCTCAAATGTAATTATTCCATCCCTGTTAGCATCCATGTAGAGAATGAGGTCATTCCTGCGGTCGCGAGGCAAACCGTAGCCATGGTACTGGAATCGCGAGAGCAGCTCGTTGCAGGGGATGCCGCCGATGCGTTCGAAGGGTTCAAACATCGGCCGGAAGGTTCGTTCCACCCACTCACGATACTCTTCCTCCGTTAGGGTCTCGACTGTGTAGTCGTAACCGGCGGCCGCGTGAAGTCCCACAGTCTCGGATTCCATGCCGTCCACTCTTAGCACAAAAAGTTCTTTTTCAAGCCAAAAGTACACGCGTTCATTAAAATTCTACTTTCTTGAATAGAACACAAAACTATCGACTGTGTTTTAGTCTATGTGTGTGCAAAATACCTCCAGGCTTTTGTGAAACAAGCTCCAAGTACTTTAACGAAAACACCTGGTGCCAAAATATTTTTGGCTAAAAAATATTGGCTCTCATTGGATCGCTGTGTGTATTTATGTGTCTGCAGTATTAGTAATTTGAACAAGTCTTAACATTGGCTCAATCGTGGTTACGTGCAACTAAGTAGTATATATTCTAAATTTATTTGACTTAGCAACCCCTTCAAAACGTACCACAATTTCGGCGAGACGACGTGTTATCTGAGAACACGCCATCTTCAATCAAGTGACGTGCTTGGATAAATGCTATTGGCCAGTTGTGTTGGAGAAGTGCAGCCGACTGACCAATCACATTTCTCCAACTCTGAAAGGGCGTCAACTTTGGCTGTTTTGACGCACGTTAGATGCTAATTATTCACACTAAGCATACCACACACACCCCGGACGACAAGAAGATAAATTACTGTTGTGATTGGTAGGGCATAATCGTTCTCACCACACACACACACACGCATGGCCCCAACCCGTAGGAATTTCTCAAAATTGGCTTTCGGCTTTCCGAGTTGCAATTAACGTTGAGGTCACAAATAGTATGCAAACTTGTGATTAACGATACTCACAACTACATAACTCTGAAAGCTTTCTTTGCGCAATTCGCTTTACCAATCAATTACTTGCAATGGTGAGCGACGTTCTCTATTGGCTAATACCAGATAGTGATTTGGGTTATTGATTTTTCCTTTTGTTTAAACTCATCATATTTTTTGTTGACATTGCGAGAATGGGAGTGGTTTAACTTGTTGCCCGAATGCGTTTGCTCCTCAAGACTCTGCGGATTCATGAAAAATTGGTTTTGATTACCAGAATCTCCGGTATTAAGATCACAACTAATCAAAGTGAAACCGTTTATCACTTTCTCGAAAGGATAAATGTACTTATTTCTAACAGCATAGAAGACATGGTCATTGATTCTCTGTTGATTTCAAACTACGTATAAATGGCATCCAATTAAACAAGGCTTCGTTACCAGACAGTTGGGGTTTGGGAAGAGCCGTGATCCCTAGATTATTTATCTGTTGCAAGCGAGCCAGAATTCATTGAATAACCGAATTCCAAGAGCTTTTCACAGAGCGAACCACCTCGTTTATCGATCGCACTATAATCAATCTACCTCATTCATCGTCTCTTAGCGGTCGCCTGTCTTCCCGGAAATGCTAACCTCATTCAATGCGTGGGTAAAGGTGATCAGCTAGAAGAACTTTCCTGGCCTAAGCACCCAGGCATGAATATTACTGGCTCGAACAAAATATTCTCACACTTAGTCGACTTTGGGAATTCTAGAGAATCAGACCCAGATGCCGGCTTCTGATTGGCCAAGTCAGGGCCACATCCCTCAGCGCAAGCCAGCCAGCCACGGACGGCCATTGTAACATTGACAAAACAAACAAAAGTTATAGAATTTATAAAATTGACGTTTTGACTGCTTTACATGTACAATACGTTTATCTGGTAGGCGTAAAAACAACCACAGATGGGTCATCGATTTGTAATCCACAAAATTAGCAGCTACTACTTATTTCGCACTTCAGTAGGTAGGACACGGATGAGGACGATGTTAGCGCCTCGGATAAAGAGCTGCTGCTGACAGTACGTGCGAACACTACACGCGGTTTCGGACGGATTGAAGCCACTCGAGTCGTCGAACTGCACACCGACCCCCTTTGGCGGATCCAGGGAGTACAGCGGGGAGGTGCAGGCGTCCATGTCCACCTCATGCGACGCCTCGTCGCCGCCAACGCACACATTCCACAATTCGTCAGAGGCCCCTGCGTCGGTTGGTAGACCTACAACATGCAGTAATCGCGTCGGTGTGCTAAAATTGGTGTATGTGGGTGTGTGGCGATTCTTTTATCACCAAATTATTGGTTTACTTCAACAAGATTCGCTCGCTTTCACCAGAGTCGAATCCTGTCTGGATAGCACTGCTCCACCGTGATTGGTTGCCACTCCTCTTTCTGCCGTTTTATTGGTTGACCATACTACAACGTGGTTGGTTAATATGACGCAGGTAATCAAATTGAGCATTTTGGTGCCAATCAGAACCAGTTGCATTAAAAAACCTTGGTTACACTGATTTTCCCAAAAAAATAGGAACAAAGACGTACTCTGCGAAGCTTCCTGTGCGCGTAGGGCAATTTTTCCCTGTTGTTTTCTGATCTGTCTTTGCATCTTCCGACGTTGCCGTCCAGGTCCGGATGACTAAGAAAAAGAAACATATTTCTGCTACTTACTGTTTTATAAGTAGGAGTAAAAAATGCCTAGGTTAATGAGAATGGGATATGACTTGTGTCGCTACTTAAATGTAAATAAGTAGCAACATGAACAAATACTGACCAACTTACACTTCGAAGCTTCTGGCTGGTGTTGATTTTATACTCTGTGACATTGGCAAGGACCTAAAGCAAAGAAAGTTGAGAGAGAGAGCGACAAGAAATCAATAGCTAATCTATCAAAATAAGCACGATTTACTTAATCAATTTCAACTAAGTGACTAAAAATCGGTTGCTGGCATATGGTCCTGTGACGTCAGTGGCCATCGATTGGAACACACAAGCAGAATGACCTTGGAATTTTAGCGGGCCAGCCAATGGCTAACACGAAAGAAAGCGATTGGATAAAGCACGAGAAGTGATCAAAAGACGACATTCGTCGACAATATACAGTGCTGAATCGACGCACGGTAGTAGCTGGCTACGTTTTATACAAACAAGTGCTCTCCTGCTAATCTGATAACCCGACGCAAATCAACGCTATCTCACCAGATTCCAATATCGATCGAAGGCCACGAGGCGTCCAATGAGGATGGCCCGGATCTCGCGCATGCCCCGCGTCACCACGTAGAGGGTCGAGGCCTCACGCATCGCTCGCATGAGTCGCTCCATCGGCCCAAGCGTCCCCGAGCCGCCCCCATCCAGATTCCTTTCCAGTGCTCGAAAAGAAAGTTAAAAGTGCCCTGGTAGTCGCCACGGTTTGCGTAAATTCACCGATAATCTGCGTCCTTATCGCCATGACAACCACCCATGGCCTACAGATCGCGGTCTGTTTACACCAAGGTCAACATCACCGACCACCAAATTTGAGTATAAGCGCGGTGAAATCGAATCTTGAAAAGTGTGTTACACCGCAACCGTATTGTCTGAGACCAACACGAGCTGGCGATGCAGTGATAAATTGACGTGTGTGCACCACACAACTGCGTAAACAAGCCTCAAGAATGGCTGGAATACAAATTTGTCGCGTGATACGACAGCGCCAACTCGGAATAAACCAGTTCGATGAAGACGTGTAGATTGCAGTCCATCGACACAATGCTCTCTAGTTGTGAACCATCACGTTCAAGTCGAGAGCTTTGGCAAAACTGCGTTAGTAAGAACTGTAAGGCCTCACAGACTTAGTCATTGGCAAGTTATTTGAAAGCTGGCTGCATCAAACCAACGCCACAGAGCAACTGGTCAAGTTTGCCTGTTTCCACCACTTGACATGAGAACAAAGCCTGTTTCGTCCAATGGGCGCCCAAAGGAGCCACAAATGCCACTGATTGGAATCTAGTGAGTTGAGTTCAACTTACGATTCCAATAATCGATAACGGTGCGGAATTTCAACTTATGATTCCAAAACTCGATAACGGCGCGGAATTTCAACTTACTATTCCAAAAATCGATAATGGTACGGAATTTATCCTTCCTGCGCGTGGTTGCTGGAGTTGACGAAGGAGGCGTCGGCGCCTCGGGCATGTTTGTCAGATCTGCTAAATACGCTCGACCATGTTCTGGCATCTAGAAACAGTTGTTGAAAAACTAGAAAACCATGAAAGTGGCGCATACAATCAAGAAAATTAAACATTCATAGAGGCATCCGTGCTGATCGCCAAATTGAATGAAAATAAACCGTGGAACGGAGCGTAACAGACAAAAGGTATAATCTCGGTTTGACTTCTGCTCAAGATAGAAAGAAATTGCGCAAATTTCTGACTTGATTTTAAATCAGAACAAAAGAGGAAAGTAAGACAAGTGAAATTTAAGTTTACCAAAAAACGCTAACAATTGTTTCGAGAGAAAGCCCCAGAAATTGACTACAACGTCACTAGACTGCAAATGCCTCGTTAGAGTCGTGACATCACCAACATACAAAGCACTCCCTTGCGAAATCAGACTGAATAACACCCAGAAATCGTTATAGAGGCAGGTGCATGGCCCTCCAATGTGCATGCGTTGGAAAATTACGCAGTTTTTTTTTCTGTACAAAGGAACACAAGGTTACCGTAACCGCTTACAGCGGGGTTGGAGTCAAAATGGAACGCAAATCAGGGAAAGCATGTGAACACGCTAAAATTATCAACAGCCAACAAGATATTGCAAAGAGTAACGACATGAACGCCGAACAGGCTTGTAGATAGTCAGCACCAATTTGTCCTTAGAATATTGCGAATGAGGGTCTCGTGGGACTGGATTTAACTCGCAGAGTGATCGCCATGGTTTGCGCGTCTGAAACTGGTTTTCAAACAGATAATAAAAAAAAACTACGAGTAAGTGGGAGATTAAAAAAAGGAGCTATAGGGAATGACCATGAGGTACCTTGTGAAGACAACCACACATAAAAAGGACACATAAATGACACCTTACGAACGAAATAGTTTGATGCAGCACCCCACATTGTTGTTCAAGTAAAAGAAGAGCGAGACGTTGATAAATCGCATATATTATTATAACAAGATATTAGCTACACAATTGGCAAAGCGGAAGAACAATTACTGGCAGCAGCAGCAGCGTTATTTCACTTCATTTCTTCGACAGCCAAATCGCAGGATTTATCGGCCCATCCGTAACGCCAGCGTTCGAGCACCTTGGAGCAGTCGAAGAGAGGTTTGCCTGTCTTTGCGTTGACAAGGTTGTGCTGCATGCACAGCCACCCGCTAAGGGCCTGTCGGCTTCTTACATCAGGCTTGTGCTTGTCGATATCTGCGCACAAAATAGCACAATTTACGAAAACACTTCGAGAGGCATCAAGAAGGCTACTGGCATTGACTTGCTTTTCTTGAAGTCAGCGGCGCAATACTTGCACGGGAAGAACTTGGCGAAGTCGTCGAAAAAACGCTCCATCGACTGCATTTCTTCAGTCGTCGGCTTGTTGGGATAGTAGGCAGCCATTGTGTGCAAAAGTGTCCATGTTGCACGGCCAAGACCAGTCTTATCAACAGGGCAACCTGTGAACAACAAAAATGTTTCATCCAAGTTCACGATCATTGCGTCAGAAAACCGAAGTTCCATTTGTTAAATCGTACTTAAGGTCTTGCAAATGCATGTTAGTTGTCTAGCCAACTCTAAGAACTCGAACCGGTTGCAATGTTTTAGCATTCAACAGGGGTTCTCAAAACAAGGTGTGGAAAACTAGGGCAAATTTAATGCAAAATTATAAGGCCATTAAAAGCATCATATAACCACCGCCAAATGCTTAAATTTAATATCACTAAGCTAGATTTTTATAGGCTTGATACCTTTAGGATCCAAAAAATACGGTGAGGCTTGGCGCGACTCAGGCTTCAATTTTTTAAACGTAGACAAATCAACGCACGCACGACAGAACGATGGTCTTGATGGGTTATAAAAGTCCTTTTCTTCCTCTTCGCGAGTTAAATCATCAAGTCTAGCTTGTCTAGACATTACCAAAAAGACAGAATGCCAAAAACGGAGTAAGCGACAAGGACAGACACTCTACATTATAACCTTGACCACGTATAACCATTCATCTGTAAAAAGCTTAAAATTAATTAAATTAGTACAATCATTTATTTTATTTAAAGCATATTTAGATTAAGCAAATAAGCCCTCAAATTTTTAAATATTTGCTGCAGCTTCTACTCATAATTTTTACGAACCCTTTATCGCATTTTTAGGGACAAATTATACTATTTTCATTTTAACGAATAAAATGCAGCCAAAAGTAGCTACTGTGCTTACTTTTAATAGAACGTATTTAAATTAACAAAAAAATGCTTACCTCTATTTTTCAAACTTTGTCTAACTGTAATGACTAAAATATGATAACATGACGCTGCTTCTTAAGCCCGAGCAATATTACTTCTATGACAGCGTACCTCTTTCAGATTAAAAAATCGTGTCAGAAATCACTGTTTAAGTAGCTATGTGTAATAATTTTGCTTGCCATTCCAGATATTCCCATCTATCATGCATAATGGCCGCAATTATCTACTCATATCCGCCTCCTCCACTATCGACGGTGAGGGCTTTGCATCTAGTTTTGGCACACTTGAGCTCTTTTTTCTTTTTAGACCATTTTGGCTCACATGTCTTTAAGGTATACCCCATCTCAACATAAAATAACCTAGTTTCCCCATCATCTTCCAATTTAAAGACAATATTTTTCACTTGCTTCCAATAGTAAAGCAGTAGTTTTTTTGATCTTTAGACAAGGATCACACAAGAATAATCGTTAAACCACACTTTTTTAAGCTACTGTTAGTCTCTGGCTTAAATCACCTAAAATTTTCCCTTTTATATTATCATAAAAATCCTCTGTGATTATTAGGCCATAATCTCACAATGAAATTTCAAAGGATTAAAGAGCTAGACGGCTCGCAAGAAAGAGGTCCAAGCATAATTTAATTGGTGTAAATAAGCTAGGGGCTCCAATTCAAGGTTGACTGGCGATAACTTAAAGGATCGAGGCACGTTTTAGTATAATGTCGGCAACCATAAATCGTCAGGAAAGTAGGTTAGCGAAAGCACAATCCTCATGGTCATGTAAAAGCAACCTTACTCACAAAAAAAAATTTCGATTTTTCACACTTGGCCTTTTTCGAATCGGTCTCGTATTCACCCAGAAGGTGTAGAGTGTCTTCTCAGAAAAGGCCACGAGGAAACGTTTCTGGCCACATAATCATAGATTTGATGCTCTCCTTGTTTAGATACGTCAATCAACACCTACACATCTACATCCCAGACTGTTTTAGAAAACACTTTACAGGAATACTTACAAAGGTGGACAACTTCCTAAAAACATTTTTAGCGGCACAGGTCAATATCAAACAGGGACTCCCCAAATGGTGTCGCCGACTTCATTCAATGCTGTGGCATTGCATTTAATATAGATAAATGCAATTTTTTAATTGATGATGAATGGCTAAATAAAACAGACTAATCGATCTTTTCTACCGTGACCATAAAGAACATTTACCTGAACAGATTACATTACAAATTCATTTAGTTTAGTAGTTATTCCCCTTTTTCGCAATCTCCCACGAACGCTGACGCCACATTTAATAATAGTGAATATTTACCTTCAAATATGTTATCCCGCCCTGCATTACCTTTTCTTCCAGCTATGAAAAGCAAAAAATGCCTTTAGGAATGCTAGACACACAAGATTCATGCCAGCACGAACAGTCAGTTAATCTGCTTTAATAATACTTTACTTATCAAAAGTACTTAAAAAAAAGAACCTCACACGGACTTTTAGGTAGCTATGCAGTAAGTCTCTACCAACACAAATCGCATTTCGCCTTCTACAACCAACAATGCAATTAGGCTTTTTTGCCCTATTAATAAAATTATTTTCATAAGTCTTTTATCATATGACAACAATAAATGTGTCGGTTAGCAATTATGTAACTTCAAATTTATTTTCCTCACTACGCTTTCTTAAATCAGACATTAAGATTCCACAATTCCAGTGTAGACGGTAATTTGTCCCTGCATGACTATGACATAATATTCAAGCTGTGAAAACATACCGTATATGAATTTTAATCCCAAAATTTAAATAATGCATAGATCTTGCAAGTATTTTGTTCAAAAAGATTCATGTTCGTGTTTTAATTCGCTAAAACCAGTGCGAATATTTTGAGGTACGAGTTGTTTTTCCTGGGGTTGGAGTTAGGATACGGGCAATGTAAGGGTCGTTTCTTTTCTTTTTAAGTTTTTTTGGCTACTTTCCTTAATCTTTATCTTCTCTGACGTAAAAAACTTTATTTCGTGGTACGGTGGTTCCCTTATCCTTTCGCGAAATTACTAATATTATTGTGTTTTCTTTTACAACATAAACCTAGACTTAATCGTGACGTGATTTTCATTTTTTTTGTTTTACAAAACAAACGTAGACCCTGTTTGAATTGGAGTCTACATTAGGTGGCTTTCGACTCGAGTTTCCAAATGGGGTAAAAATTCAACCAATGTTGCGAAACTAAGTCCCCCCTATTGTACATATACATGAGTATGAGAAATGGTATTGCAGTTCACTAGCGTATTGCTGTTTCGGACCCAGTTAGTTTGCCAAATTTAGCGCCTGGATAGCGAAACCCAGGATGATGATGATAAACACAGTTATTTTGTCACATATTGTGTTGTTAAATGTGTCTGCAGGGTACTTGTAAATCAAAGTCAGTATGAAGTAGTGGTGAGTGGCAAATTTTAATTGGCCTCTGTTCATACGTTTCCGCTGACCGTCCACTAGAAAGTCAGTTGACGGCCCTCAATCCTTACCGTCGATATTTTCCCGCCATAATTTGGTTCCGCTAAAATCAGTCGCATTGTGCAAATCAGTCTGACTGCCCCTATGTAACTCGTTCATACACTTAGTAATAGTTAGTTTAGTAATGCATTTTCACATCTGTGTATAAATCCATTTTGAGCACGTCATACGTTATTTGTATAAAGTAAACGTGTTAATTAATCCGAAAAACTGATGACGTTTATCTATAGAGTAATTTAGACCTGACAATACTTCTGATCTTTAATGCGATAAACATGGATTAAAGTAGCCTTCTTCCACCTGCTTTTTGTGCAAAACACCAGTTAGTAATTACGAATATTTTGACATGATTTCTGTCCCATCTGTTTGCAGTCCCGAATGGATGCGAATTCTCGGGATGACGTGGTACTCACACTGACACAGGATGATGATGCCTTGGTACACGAGCAGGTCCGTCGACGCCGCCTAGCCCTCATCTGTCACTTTTCTGCGCGTTCCATCGCCCTACTTTTTTACCTTTTCTGCTCATGGTTCACCACCGCCTTCATCGCACCCGTCGTTATTCTCCTAACCCTCTTTGCTGTCGACTTTTGGCTCGTGAAAAACGTGAGTGGTCGCCTCCTTGTTGGCCTCCGTTGGTGGAATTCAATCGATACAGAAACCGGCGCTTCCAAGTGGGTATTTGAGTCGGCACCTAAAGATAACCCAGGTGGCGTGCCCCTGAGCACTCGAGAGCAAGCTAGAAAGAAGTCGGCCGCGCGACTATTTTGGCTTGGACTCCTAGTCTTTCCGCTGATTTGGGCCATCCTCGTCCTCGTGGCGGTGTTTTCCCTGAAACTGGCGTGGTGTTTAGTGGCTCTGTCGGCACTCTTCGCTTGCTCCGTGAATGCCTATGGATATCTGAGATGTCGATTCAAAAGTACGCCGATTCTCGGTGGGGAGTCCTCATCGTCGTCGTCGTCACTGAGGGGCATTCTCTCCGCTTCTCTGGCGAAATCCGTCATCTCTGACCTCTGGTCCGGGGGGGACGAGGGACAAAGGACACAGCCACAACCACAAAGTACTTTGACTTCTGTTGTTTGATTTAAATCCACTGTTAAGACTCTTTCATGGGACTGCACCTTACTCTTGTGCGGCCTGTATGTTTATGAATTATTTTGCATTATTACCTCCAAACCGATTTTTGGTAAAAGGATACTAACCAAGCCCTTATCGTAAACTTTCGTACGCTCTCCGCAGTAACATTGGCGCCTAGAAAACAATATGATTTGCCATAGGTGTTGTTAATTTTATTTAATTTTATGTGGACTCTAGGTCTCCGTTGCACATCCCTACGCGTGTGGGTAGAGGTGTACTCGATTACTAAGTGCGTTCACCGCAGCCTGGAGCATGCGCTGGACCCAAACTTGTTTTTTTCTCACACTTCCTCAACCCAAACGCCCTCAATTCCACAGTATCCACTTAAACATCAAGCGTATGCGCTAGGTGCGGGGTGTTAGCACGTTGAAGTCTGAGTTTCATGGGAAGACGAGAGGTTAACGTGGGTGGATGTGGTCCTGCCAATGTTAAATCCCCAGTTGCCTGTTCAGCTGAGGTTTCATTTTTCTCTAACCGCTGATGAACACGTTTGTACGGTGATTAAAGCCGCCTGTTTGCGTATCAAGTCACGTTCTAGTGGAAGTAATGCCACACACAGAACTTTAATCTTTGTGGCCTAATAGCACTAAGTGTGATTTTCGATCTCGCTCCACTCATAGTATCAAGATGTAATGCCGTACACAAGGATTCGCTTCACAATCAGGCCAAAGCCTGTTTTGTGAAGCGTCAGGTGAAGCGTAATAGTATCAACATCTGTGGTTAGCACGGACAAGGTAAATATGCCCATCGATGAAAGATTTGGGAAAATGAAAATATATTTATCGAGAATTAGTTGATATGTAGTCACCCTCATTGAATCGAGTCCAAAAATCAAGCAGGAAGTTTGACTAGAGTGTGGCATAACAGAAGCATAATTTGAGGGTGGAGAAGAAGGAGTGTTCATGGGTTTACGTATCCGTGAGGACGAAGCCCAGAAAATTGCAACTGATCGAGTTCATTGCACCATACGATCCGAAACTGCAGTATGGTTCAACTGTTAGTTTTGGTGAACTCTCTTTGGTGGTAGGCCAATGATCGCCATGATCATGTCCTGTTTGAACTCCGAAGTACTTTTTTAGCATCTGTGGATGTGAATTGAGGTAAATCTTTGCGTTGAATAGTCCCCATTTCGACTTGGAGGCTTTCTTGGTGATGTGGCCCTTCAAACGTGTCGGGCAATCAATGCTACGTTTACTCTCACCTCTTCGGCATAGTTTTACAGCATTATATTCTACTTTACCGCTAAAAATGCGCTAAATCTAGTCAGTGCTGGCAAAGTCACAAAACGCGCCAGCGGCGAACCTATCTAAGGGAAGAGACGGACTACTTTTAAGTCCGCACTAGAGGTATGGCCCGAACAAACACACGGAGTATGGTATCGGACGAAGACTGGAAACTTCTTGAAGAATCTATTCGGAGAGGGATCACGAGAGGAATAGAGGAAAAAGGGGGTGTAGTGAATCGGTCGTCGCAGCCTCACACACATCCCCCTTTTCACGGCGCGCCCGTCAGTCACTGGGACCGCCTGCTCATCAACACGTCTACGTGACCATTCAGACTCCTGTATTTCTACTAGTACACTCAACTGTATCAACTATCAAAACACCACTTGGTTGAGCTGTCAAGTAAACGGTTGTGCCTTTTCCACTCCGATCTTCTTTATTTTCGCGGGAACGCAGGGTAGCGTATACGGCCTAGACTGTCGCAGTGGCCCCGGCGCGGTTCAAGACAACATGCCGGGGCCCTCGACAAGGGTCAACTTGGCGAGACACGCCAAGATCCATAATCTAACTTCTGGGCTGGCCAGGCATGAACAGAGTTCGAGGGCGAGGAAGGTGACGTGCGTGACAGAGCCCCCTCCCTGTTCTGACGAGCACTGATCTCCGTGCTGTTGACGTGATGGAGTGCCGTGAGGAATTTCGACGGTGTGGTGGACTGGAATGTCTGCCTCCGGTATCGTCTTCTGTATCAATGTTGCAAGTTGTGTCTAATCCGGAGTTGAGGCGATTGAAGTGTACTGTAAGAGGAAAGGCGATTGGATTAGCGACGGGGCAGGTGGGGTAGTTGTTGTTAGTGAGTGACTGGACGACCACGAAGGGGCCTGGGTAGGGGAAGGGTTGGTGAATCCAGACTGCGTTCCCTGGTTGATAGGAAGCTTCGTGAGCCGTGCAATCGTAGAAGAGTTTTTTGGCGTGTTTGGCAGGAGTGTTCAGGTGTTGTCGAGCGAGTGCATGCCTACAAGTTGTGTGACATATTCGTTGGGAATAGGTAGTGTTGGTTATCGGCATGGGATCTGTAAGTGGAAGACGCTTTGGAGTTCGCGACAGAAAGTCAGAAGAGCAGGGGAATATCCGGTTAACGTAGTGTAACAGATTTTTTACAAGTTGCGTGACAACATTTTTCCTTCACCGCAAAAAATGTGGCGAACTTAGTCGGTTCCCACAACATCATTACTTTCAAATGTTCCAACGCTGTTCATGTTTCGATGGAGAAGTTAAGTAAAAAATGCATCTCTGTTATTTTTACAAACTTTGTAAATACGCTTGCATTAATTATGCTCAATTGTATAAACATCTTTACTGTTGCAAGTTAAAATAAAATGCGTTTTTGCTGATTTCAGCTAACAAAGTATTCAAGCTTCTACAGCAACAGCATCAACATGGCGTTGCTGTATTTATTCATTTTACATGACAACAGGACAAAGTCTTCTGCACAAATTTGGCAAACGGTTCCACTGCGATAAACGGCATTAATATCACATTCAAAGCCATGTTCAGCATTTTGATTGCGTTTGTTATTCGAATAGATTTCATTTTTTTAATTGGATTTGGCTTAACCTCATTCCTCCTTCCAACAACGTGTGAGGCTACTTCAGTAAGCGGTTGTAGGTGCGTCGACATGTGTCCGTCAACATGGCAAGTGATGAATATGGAATAATTGGGGTTGACCTGATCACAACTACTGTGGCAACTTATATTCAATAAGGCCTAATAAATGATGTCGCATTTCGTAATTTAATTAAGCTGCTAGCGACAATTTTGCACAAAGAAGGCCTGCTAATGGTCGTAATCACGGTAGCAATGAGTGCGTGGCGTGGTGCCTTAGAATTATCCACGTATTCTCCTTTTAGAGAAAAGATTCATTGCTGGTTTTAGTTGAAACGCACGACAAGTGTGCTGAATCTATTCAAAACTCCTGATTTTTGACATTTTTTGCAGATTTGTGTAGTGAAGAGAAATAAGCACACAAATTCAGCACAAATGTGTGAAAGGAGTGAGATTCGGCCACGGAGTTAGGGACAACCTTGTTTGCCGTGTTTAATCAACTGATGTAGGTTTACAAGTGACACTTTGGAATTTTGTGAAATGTCGATAGTCTACATATCTTTATGGAAATTAATAGCTCGCATTTTGCATCAGCATCAAATGTAGCCGGATTTTGAACATTGGAGAATCTTTTAAATCAATTTGACCAAACAAAGCATGCCGATGCGATTTCCGCGCCTCAAACACACGGAAGTGAATGATATCATTGGTGGTCTTGGCACCAAAATATGAATATTAAAAACTAAGCATGCAGTAAGGCATGCATTCAAGCCTGAAATGGCTCGGTCATGCGATTGAGAAGGACAATGTTTGCAATTATTAATTCTAGGTGACCAAATTGGATTGCGACAGCTGCGAGACAGAGCTACAGGCATCAGTTCGTAGGCCCGAAAGTGTCATCGCGTGCGTTATGTGAGAACGTTCGCACCTGTGCAGTCACAGCTCAAAGGTTTAAAATGGCGTGAATTACAAATGTGAAAATATCGAGACCTAAGTGAACGTTACCACATGTAGCGACGATCCCAAATGAACATTGGCGCTAATCGGGTGTGAGTTGACGATTCGCTCGGCTGACGACCAGCTGTGAAAAGGGGCAGCAGTGCGTCGACCCAGTTAACGAGAGTGATTCAATGCCATTCACAACAGCGTTAAAAGACTACCGCACTATCACCTCTTGACCCGGCGCGTCATCACGATTCCGTATCACGAGATCGCCAGTCAGCTCTGCTACATCGTAGTTATCGTCCCCATCCGTTTGTTCATCGGGTGGAAGTGGAGGGCATTAGGTTCCCGAGCCGGCGATTTGAAAGTGGCTGACGCCAGCGTCAACTCCGACGACACCCACAAATTGTCATACTCAGAAGCCCACTGCATCCACGCTATCATCTCGTGTCAATGACACCACAACACGACCAGCACCTGCATTTCAACCATAACTGCATCCGCATAATTTCATCAATGACAATTCCCAATTCACACACTAACATATACATATATATGTACACATATATTAAATATTTACAATGTTGCAATTGCAGTGTGTTGGAGTGGCTTAGAGACCACACCACGCACAGGAACTTCACAAACAATACATCCTTTCACCTGTGACGCTTGAACTCAAGTTTGTTCACAGATGCGCGATTGGCGGTGCCTTTGCGTCCGACCTTGTGCTTAGGGTTCCTATTCCGCTACAAGGAAAACACAGCAGTAAGCACAAAAACGTGTGATTTCTACACCAACACTTCCCCCACGTCAGAATCAAACCAAAGTTTTAAACTACTGTATGACAGCCTGATCTCACGCCACTAATACCCATCCACAACAAGTCTTTCGAAAGCAAAAACGAGCGCCAAGTGGAGTCCACAACCAACACACAGTAACAATAACACAAAGTGGCAGGAAAACAGTAGAGAAATCGTGGATTCAATGGTCTTACCCTACGTCCTCGCTTTCCCTTCCGCTTTTCATACACGGGAAGGTGGCAGTTCTGTGCCTACACGTGCAATCAACTACAACGTGAATAACCTACTGGAGTTATGTAATTATGCATGGCAAAATAAAATTCGTCCGGATTCCGTTGCAATGCCTTACGCTTCAGCTCCCGGATTTGATTTCGTCTCAATTCCTCGTTTCTAAAACATAAAACACCTCAGACATCAACAAACCTGGCACGAAGTATAAAATCCTTTTTTTTCGGCAAAGGTCCCAAATGCGATCGCGCAGCTGGCTAAGTTAAGGCACAACAATCAATAACAACGAGGACGTACTTGGGACCTCTCCTTGTGCAATCGTGCATTGCGTTTCTGTACATTCTTGAACGACGCAAACGGCATCACCACCACACCAACTTCTAAACTGCAATGAAATGAACTTGAATCTCAGCTACAATTCTATTGGTTTTTTGCTCTGACCTAATATTGACTTAAGTCGACATAACAAATTATTTTGGAAATGTTCGATATCTGATTATTTTTAACGCTTTTTTCCTTTTTTTGCCTAAGACATGTTAGTAAAATTTTATTAATAAGGCTTGCAAATGACGTTGATTGAAAAGTCTTTTTCTGACATCTGAGGTAACTCGATTATGCTGAGGTAACTTCTGACGTGAAGATGGCTTTTTATTATGAAGTGGGTTTTTTAAAGCGAAAATAATTTAACCGCAATTATCTGCCATCGCCGTCATCTGTCCTATCTTGACAGAGGGGTCAGCGTTACAAAGATTAAAGTGGTGATGAATTTTTCTTATTTTCGACCTGAATAATTGTAAATCGTTCATCTTAGCCTGCCTAATACACAACACAGTATGCTTCAAAATACTTGTTTTCGCTTATTTGAACACATTTTTCTTCGTCCCCCAGAATGTCTTTTTAATCGTACTGAATGTTATTCATGTAACTAGTTGTAGGTATTTTTCAAGGTCCATCTACTTTTCTTTTTTCATTTAGCAAATTTTTCGTGCAATTTTGCGTTTACTTTTACACCTCTTCGTGCACAATTCGATTCCAAATAATCAATGAATATTTGCCCATTAAAGTTGGTGCAGTTTAGGCCATTCCTCCACCAACTTTAAGCCCTTTTTCTTATAGTTTAATTTGATTTCACCTGCTACGTTGGTCGTCAATGCCACCACATTCTCCTCTCCTAGTATTCTGTCCTGCGATCTCTCTCACTCTCAGCGACTAAATTTGCCCCAGTCTGTAGCAGCAGCCTGCGTAGTAATTGCCCCTTCAACCTCTTCACTGACAGGAATGCACAACTCTCGTGTACTAGGATCGCTTTTAACCCTAGTGAATAATTTAACAAGGCAATTACCCCGCCGTCGCCGCCGCCACCACCACCACCTAACATCACTCGGGCATTTTCGATAGCCAACTTTTGCCTTTCTAATTAAGATAATTTTCTGTGCTTTGTTTACGCTGAGCTTAAGACGATTTCACATAAATTTCGATTACTTCTCAAGCAAAGGTTGGTTGCCTGTTACTGAGGTGCATTTCTAGGCATTGCATTTACCAAGGTTTAGGTTTATGTCACCTGCCACAACTGTGCTGTCGTCGCCTTCTCTCCCTCTTTCTTTCCTAAAGCGCCTGAACGTACTTTAGATTTCTCCATTTGTTTTGGGGGAGATTGCTGCTATGATCGTCCCATCGACAGCAATAAACAAGTCTCGTTTGGGAAAGCATTTAACGGGAGTGGGCACACTTGAGCTGCTTATGTGGAGGTGGGGAATTTATTTTCACACTGCAATGCCTTCCTCGCATGGTTCCTTTCATTTTCATCCACTTCTCTCGACTGCATATTCGCTAATAAGGAACACAATTTTATTTATAAAGTGCGTCTTTTAGTGTTTGCAGTGTTTTCGGGCTGTTCCTCTCCAACCACGTCTTTCAGAGCAACATTAAGACCACCTGGACAATGTTTTGCCGCAACACATCCCAGGCTTCATGGCCGAACCCATGCAACTGCGTCGATCGATTACGGGAGACAATGGGCAAACTGAAAACCACTCAGCCTCTTTCGCTGTCCATCATTCCCATCACCCCGGTAGAGTTGTCCTCTTGCCAGGATGGTTTCATCAGGCGCAATGAAACCGCGTAAGCCCCTTTAGCCCACCTACGATGGACCAGTCAGTGGACAATATGACCGATGACTCCGTAAATCTTGACAGCATCAAGCTAGTTTCTCTCGACACGGAGACGCCAACGAACGACGGATACCGGACAGCCGCGACTAGCGCCCACATCTACCTTTAGTAACTGAATCCCCTCATCATTACTCACTTTGGCAAACACGTCCAGTGGTGTGATGGGCACCACATCCGAGCAGGAATTCAATAGTTTTAACCCCTCAGACGCACACTTCATAAAAAATTGCCCATTGCTTCCTTTTACCAAGCAGGAGAGCATTGGCGATCAGTGAGCGAACACAGCTAGTAAGCGTGAGTGATCACGAAATAATCGATCTGCTTGTGTGCATTTCGCGTAGCTGTGTTTGTTCAGAGATCCATATTAACTGATCCTATATAAACTGATGGCTTTTTCAAGTTTCACAGGACACCACTTTTCACGACTCAAGCGACGAGTACCCTTTTGTTCTTTTCCTGCCATTTCCCTGCAACACCATGCCGCAAAGTGTTCCTGGCTTGGGGGTAGCGCCGTGTCTTCCTGTGTGCATTTTTTTGTCAAGTTAATGGCTTCCTTTGGACTCATCAGGGTTCCAAACGCAGGCAAGTCCAGCCTGCTTCAAGCAGTCTCTGAAAATGAGGCGAAAACCGCTTCCTACCCTTTCACAACACCTCGGCCTCAAATTGCGACGGTTAGATACCTCGATCATCGAAAGGTGATGATGGCAGATTTGCCAGGCGGGATTTGGCCGCATCTTCCATTCTCTCTTTTTAACATCTTTTTTCGGTGACTGGAATTTAGCCTTAAGCTTTGAAACAAAATGCGTAAGGAATTGTTGCATTTACCTGGTCGCAGTTCTTTTGCCACGGCATTTGACTGCAAGTTAGCTTCATCGAGAACAATGTGGCACTAGTGCATTCAGTTCCATAAGGACATCCCTCCACCTAGTATTGTCCGGCAATAATTTGAACGTTCTGATTATTTCGATGTCGGTTCATGGTACCTTGTTTTACCACAAATTTATACCAAGCTCAAAAGCGTTAGATCACACTCAGTCGACACCTTCTACCTATCTATCTTGCTGTTTGCTATTTCAGATACCTCCTTGAAGGTCGAAATTCACCATCTACACTCACCACACACAACCGCTGTTCCTTGTCAACCGTTGGGCTTCGATCGTTTATCCTCAAGGAAGGCACGACAATTGGATTACATCACAGTCATAGGGAAACTATCGATTCCTCCCCCCACCCCACTCCCCTTTCACAAGACCTTGGCCTCGATCATGCCATGATTACGATGACAGGCGTGCCAGGCGAAATTTGGCGTGCCTTGTGTTTGGCGGTTCGCCCATTTATTGCTCAGATGTGTGAAACAGCGTGAGTCAAGTGTGAATGCGATCACGTCTAGCCACAATCCCGAATGATCGTTCGCGCTAATCGGGCGTGAGTTGACGATTCGCTCGGCTGACGATCTGGTGTGAAATGGGAGCAACAGTGTGTCGACCGGATTAACGAGTGTGAATCAACATAACAGCGTTAAGGAACTACCATCGAGAACAACATGGCACTAGCACATTCATGTCCACAAGGATATCTCTCAATATGGCATCGTCAGGCACTAATTTGGACGTTTGGATTATTTCGAAATCCAGGCAAACTTCGAGACCAAAGAAGTCGACAGGGAATCGCTTCAATCCGTTTCAGAGCACCTTGATTTCCTTAACACAAATTCAAGCCACTCTGCATTTCACTCCAAATGGAACAGTTCTTTTCAGAGATCGGTACGGTTGGAAGCTGTGTTGACTTTAGACGGGCTTGAAGCATTGGCGTTTCGGCTTAGAGTATTTCAAGGTAGCCTGGGAAACACGCAAAGTACACCCTCTACTCGTCGGCGTTTAGTGTATGCGTTCGCGTCTGTGTAGTCATTTCTCAAATGAGTGAAACAGCGAAGCCTAAGTGACAATTCACAATAAACGCGCGCGCTAATCGAGTTTGAATTGAGAATCAGCCAAGCTGATAACATGCTATGAAAAGGAGAAAGGGTGTCCGTGCTACATCGTGGTTCCCGTCCTCATCGCCGCGACTCCTTCAACCCCTCGCCTTCGCCTTCCTCGTCACCATCATCGGCTTCGGCACCTACGTGAACCTGTACGCGTTCGCGTCTGTGTAGTCATTCCTCAAATGAGTGAAATAGCTAAGCCTAGGTGACAATTCACAATAAACGCCCGCGCTAATCGAGTGTGAATTGAGAATCAGCTAAGCTGATAACATGCCGAGATTGCCGGTCAGCTGTGCTACATCGTGGTTCCCGTCCTCATCGGTATGTTCCTCAAGTGAAAGTGGAAGGCAATAGGTACCCGGGCCGCGCAACTCCTCCAAACCTCGCCTTCGCCTTCCTCGTCACCATCATCGGCTTCGGCACCTACGTGAACCTACCCATCTACCGCCTCATGGGCGAGTACCCACTGCTGTTTCCGACTGCAGCAGCGCTCCCGTGGATCGGCTTCCTCCTGTCGGGCTTCTTCGCCTTCATCTGCCGACGCACCCGGGCGGAGATCCTCACCATCGCAATTGAGACGGGCATCCAGAACATCGGCATCGCCATGCTTGTTCTGCTCTACTCCATGCCTCAGCCCGAGGGCGACATCGGCGCCGTGATGCCGCTCGTCGTCTCCCTCTTCACACCCATCCCCCTGATAATTGCCTACATCGGGCTGCTCATCAAAGAGGGCAAATGCACACGCTGCTGCAAAAAACCGAACAGTCGCGAAGACAAGGCGAGTGAGGAACAAGGCGAACCCCTGCGGCCGGCTGACAACGACGTCGAGGTGGCCGACGCCGACGTCAACTCCGACGACATCCGCAAATTGTCATACTCTAAAGACCACATCATCCAGACTATCATTTCGTAGAAACGACACCACAGCACGATGCAGCTGCATTTCGATCATAACTGGATTTGTATTTTCTCATCAATGAAAATGCTCTCTATGAACATATGCACATATTTACAATGTTGGGATTGTAATGCGCTAGTGTCATGAAGACGAAGCCTATGTACACTTCACAAATACATACACAAAGGTAGCAACGAGGTTCAAGTTTAAAAAAGTACTGAGGAATTCTTAAAGCACCATACAAGAGCAGAAAGTTAAATAAGTAAGCAAAGCGACTTGGCAAACAATCCACCAATTCATTTGTAACGCTTGAATTCGAACTTGTACACAGGTGCGCGGTTAGCGGTGCCCTTGCGTTCCAACTTGCGTTTAAGGTGCATATTTCGCTACAAGGAAAAACACACCATCAATTACACGAACCTGTGAATTCTGCAGGAACAATTAGCCTACATCAGGATCCTACTATAGTTCTGATTTATCTGCCAGACACATCTCACAACGGGTGATGCAGACAATCGGCATTAATATCCACTCCCATGGACAACCTACTAGGCCACAAACCTCTTTTACAGCTCAAACTTCACAAAATATCTTTTCAAAGGCAAAAACGTGAGCCGAGGAGTCCACAACCAGCACACAGTAACAATAGTACAACGTGGCAGGAAGACAGTAACGAAAACGTGCATTCAATGGCATTACCATTAGTGTTTGCTTTGCCTCGCGCTTTTCAATGAGGACCTTCAACTCTTCAGCACGCTTCAGTCGGGCCGAAAGCTCCTGGTAACCGGCTGCTTGCAACTCCGTTAGCTCTTCGCAATCGCGGCTAGCCGAACTAGTCGATGCTTGCGCCTGCGAGGCAGCTGCAATGAGGGATGCTTTGACGGCACGCGCCTCCTTCACAGATTCCACAAAAATAGTCCTCTTCGGCTTCATCCGTCTGCTCGTTACAGAGGGGTCAGCAGGAAGCAGACTAAAGCGCGACTCCAGTTCGCGTATCTTCGACCTCTCTATTTGCAATTCATTCCGAAGATACAAAATATCACGCGATAGCAATTCAGTCAGTTCTGCATCGCTGTATTCCTTTTTGTCCACTAGTGGAATGTGACCTCTCTCTGCCTAACAGTCAATTCAACTACAATACTAATAACCCACTGAAAGTGTTGAATTATGCATAGCAAAATAAAACTCGTCTTCGTTCTTATCCAACGCTTTGCGCTTCAAATCACGAAGTCGATTTCGTTTAGCTTCATCGTCTCTACAACATCATCACACCTAAAACAGCTCCAAACCTTGCGCGAAGAATAAAATCTTTCTTTTTGGGCAGAGGTCCTAATTTCGAACGAGCAGCCGGCTACATTTAAGCAATACAAACAATAACAACAAGGGCGTACTTGCGACCTCTCTTTATGCAACCGTGCATTGCGTTTCTGTATATTCTTGAATGAAGCAAACGGCATGACTACCACACCAAATTCAAAAATGCCGTACTCAAATGAACCTGAATCTCACCCACAATTCTATTGGTTTGTTTCTCCGACCTACTATTGACTTACCTTGATGTAACAAATTAATTTCCTAATGCACAAGATCTAAATGTCATTTAAGTTTGCATCTTATCTTAAAAAATTATAAATTATAAGTCAGTAAGTAATGCTGGAAAATACCGCTCTTTTAAAAGTTCCATTCTTACTTCTAAGTCAACTTACAGTGAATCATTTTGATTTCTTGGCCCATTCCGCGTCACAAAGTTTGAAACAGAAGTGATCTCTGTTTAAAAACGTCTCTGTCATATCGTTGTATGTGCTTTAACAATTTTGCTGGGTAGTTTTCGGTGTAAAGATGGCTGCTCATCGTAAATTAAGGATTGTTTAAAAACGAATGCATTCTCACCGCAGTCAGCATTTATCGATTTTGCTCGATATAAACTGAGCATTCCACAGCATCAATGTGGCCAACGAACGAAAACTTGATTTGCAAGCAGACAACGGCCTAAATAAGGATTTCATACATATAATCCTAAATCGAGTAAAATTACTGGATTGAAATCTTCCTCTGATCAGTTTCATTGTTAACTTGTTGGGCTTGACAAAAGTAGAGTGGCGTGACAAATTGGGCTTGACTGACTTCGTGAACCAAATTCACCGTGCATTGGCCTCCAAACAAAAGAAACCGTCAGGTGTGCCTTGGCATCTGCGTCGGCTGTTTCCCAAGTTACTGCGCTGCGGGTAAACAAGGGACCCTATTATGCCCTGCTTCCAAAATACCACAATTTCATCAACCAACTCACCAACAAATTCAAATTTATCACTCCGTCTCTCACAAAATCTCATATTCACAAAATGTCTGTTTCGACGTTATTCGCTTTGTTCGAATTCGCGCAAATGCAGCGTTTCTTCCACCATGTGTTGTGTGGTTTGCATTTTGCATATACGTTTGCTGACGATGTTAGTGATGCTCGTAAGGATTAAAAACAGCATCCAAAACGCACGAATGTTCCATTACAAAAAATTAACGAATGTGGTTTGATGATCAACTTGTCAAAGTGCGCATTCGGAGTCCAAGAACTCGACTCTTTTGGACTCAATGCGCCTACCAAAGAGTTAACGCCTTCCGATACTAAAACAAAGAAGACTCAATAATTTTCAGAACTGAAGTCCATTAATCAGCTGCAAAGTTTATTCTGGGTACCGCCAATTTTCATCGTCGATGGGTTCCCGGGCAATTTTTTCACTAACCTCTCTGCTCAACGTTTATTCTAAAGCATTGACCATCACTGGCGAGGTTCGCAAAACTTTTAAGCCTACAAAGGAGGCTTTACCTAGGAAAACCACTCCCATTTACCCGCCTCTTCGACGGCTTGTACGGTCTTATAGCAAACTGTCAACGGAGGAGCTTAGTCGTTAGCTCGCCACTTTTCCAAGTTCAAAAGCATTACTTCACATTCAGTCGACACCTTCTACCTATCCATCTTGCTGTTTGCCATTTCAGACGCTTCCTTAAAGGTCACAATTCACCATCTACACATACCACACACAACCACTGTAATTTGTCAACCATTGGGCTCCACTCGATTATCTTCAGGAGTGTCCCAACACTTGGGTTGCATCACACAGCTTTAGGCAAACATGCATTTCCTTCTCCCCCTCTCCTTTCACAACACCTCGGCCTCGAATTACAACGGTTTAATTCCCTATTCATTCAATGTTTACTATGTTACTCCTGCCAGGTAAAATTTGGCGTGTCTTGTGTGTGGCTGTTCTTCTATTTTTTGCTTAGATGCGTAAAACAGCATGAGTCAAATGTGAATGCCATCACATGAAACCGCAATCCAGAATGACCGTGAGTTGACGATTTGCTCGACTGCCAACATGCTGTGAAAAGGAGGAGTAGTGTGTCGACCGTATTAACCAGTGTGAATCAACGCTATTCTGCAAGTTGCTTTAATGCATCATGGAGTCTTTCTGTGCTTCAATTTAATCAAAATGGTTGATTTTAAGCCCTACTTTGGTAGTTTCCGAAGTGGACTACGTAGAAGTTAGCAGACAATGTGCATCATGTTATGAGTCACAATAAACTCTGACACGTGATCCAGATTACGCCATCAAAGGCAACCCACTGCAGCTGAAATAGTGGAAGAACCTGTGAAACTCCTTTTTAATTTGCAAATGTGTGAAATTTTAAACACGGCTAAAATGCATCATTAACTGCACTGCCTTCTTGCATAATGAATTATTGTGAGCTATGCATTTGAAGTGCCCTGATTTGCAAGGGATCCACTGCTAAATGCAACTAGTCCGATATTATTCAAATTAGCCTCAGTGTTTTTCGTAGATTTAAACCACTAGTGACGTTGATTGTTTCTTTTTGTTTAAAAAGGCCACGTGTCAGGTGCTATTGGATGTGAAGACTTCTTTAGCTATTTAAATATTCACGCTTCGCGTGGATTCAAAGAAGAAAAGACACTATGCACTTTGGAAAAAATTTACGATTGGTTGTGCCAAAGTGTGCCTGTGTGTGTTGGCGTCCGAAAGCATGCGATTGGTGAATGTCGCACACTAGACGACCCGAGTGTACACACACAAACGCAATGCACTCGTCGTCTCAATTTGTACAAAATCGAGGCACTAATTTCTCTCCTTTGATCAGTGGCTTGGTCTGAAGAGAAAGTGTAGTAGCTTGAGTTTTAGCACTACCTTACAACCCTCTAGTTAAATGTTCGTAGCAACCCGAGAATGCAGTAAAGAGAGGCGACAGTGGACGCGACCGTTTGATAGCGTCACGCCAACCAAGTGTGTGCATGAGTAAGTAACCAATAAAAAGAGGATGAGTCATTGTCACCGTCAGGTCAGTAAATGGGTTCACTCAGGCGCGATCGCTGTTAATCAGCCACAAAGTGACAATAAGGCGGTAAAAATACGAGTAATTATTTCAACCCTTAAAATTGCTGAGTGTTTGTTGCTGCAACCGAAGTAACATGATCACAAGGCGGCCGCTAATCCGATTGAATTGCGTTTGGCGCCAATTCAAAGTTAGCAAACCCGGTAAAAACCGCGGCTCGTCGATTGCCTCTGCGGCGCCTCGAAAAGTCAACACTCAATAACTCTCTTTTTTTGAAGACTTGAGAGCTCAGTGGGTTTGGTTGATCGCAGGAAAGAAATTAAAACGTTCGGAGCAAACTTAATCATCCAATCAACGTTGTGAACTCTTCACCAATGACCGCTCGCAAAGATCTTTTACTACTGACAGCATTAATTAGAAATGTTGAAAATTTACACTTAAATCTGTATCATATTGCTATTTTTTAGCAAATTTGAGCCATCGGATGAAGTTAAAAAATCCTACTAACTAGGAGCTGTTCCCGTTGTGTACTCATTGTTTTGTTAAATGAGCCGCGGCAATTCATGTAAATTACACTAAAATGTTTCACAACGATTAAAATAGACATTTGTAGTAAGCTTCAGAGTGTGCTGACAGTTGGCCAATGATATGCAGAAACAAAGCAAAGACGGGGCATTTTAGGTGCAAATGCGAATTAAGAAATTCTTCAGACTTGAGAACTATCTCGCAGTCATTCGGCCATCTTTAAGCCGTCAGCAGGGTTGCGTTTTTTTACAGGGATACACACGAAGTGTCGTTCATGCTTAGGCTACACAATTTGGCGCTTTCTCACTGCCTTAAGAAGTGCAAATTCACGATATTTGAGGGGAGAAGTCTGTTTGGAATGCAGCCGGATTTGTCCAGCATTGGTCATTTCTGATAGGTTGGAAACAATCACCCGCTATTTGCTAATTACGGTTGTCATTCTTGTGAGAAAACGCTGAATTCGATCACACTCCCATCGATGCGTGAATGCTGAGCATCAGCTGTACGAAGATGCCTTCGAAAACGCCAGAAAAGGTGGAAGAGATGTCGAAATTGTTAATGTTGCTGCAAATCAACCCACGCACCACACATAGGCAAATGCCTTGCACTTGTTTAAATCCACCTACAACGTTTTTTTCGCATTAAACACCCGAATTTCAGCAAGGAAAACGGAAGCCCCAATAGTGTAAACACAGACGACGGTTTTGGTAGGCGGTGGCATCGACCATAACCGACAGCATTGATTTAGCAATGCAAACATCGCTGTGCGCCTTTAAAGCGACACACACACACACACACACGCACGCACCGATTGTACACACGTCCAGAGACGCAGCCTTCACCCCCTAAGTGTTTGTTTCACGGACTTTCAAAGACACCGCATTTCTCGAATATGTAGTCAGTAGATTCGATCTCCTTGTGACGACTAATTTCAGTTCACGAAACTCAGACCTGACAAGAACGACCGCTTTTGATCAGATGGACCTCGAAGCATCATCCAACCACAATTAAGTGTCCCTCTGTGCCTACTGCAATAACTCATCCTCCAAAAAATGATCGATGGTGCAGCAGCGAAAAATATCACCACTGCTTTTGCATAGCGCACCACCACCACCGCCACCGCCACCGCCACCGAGAATCGTCCGAGGGCGTTCAAAATATCGCCAAATGCCCAAATTGCCACATCAAAGGCCACACTACGCACCCGGACTATTTTTAAACCCACATTCTGTGTTCCCCACAAAAGCCAAGCACGAGGAGAGAGAGAGGGAGAGACAGAGGCGGGCATTGCAAAAGAAAGCATATATATTTCTGGCTTTACCAGGGTTAACAGAAGACTCGAAGCATCTGCATTGTCTTCAATTTCATCGTCTCACATTTTTCGCCGCTGGGATGCATGCATGCACGCACGCACGCACGCACACGCAACATCGAATAGACAGACACGGAGGGCACCTCTCTAAGTAGTCTATTCTAGTTCGCATAAAATGAGGTATAAGATGGTGGTGGGGGTGGGGTGGGGTGAGAGTGGCTTCGATTCAATGGTCTGTACACAAATGGTCTGACTCACAACGCTTCTAATCTGCACGGTCTAACTTTTTACACAAAAATCAGACGGTGGGAAAGACATGGGTGGGTGGAGGAGAAGGAAGAGGCGGAGGTGCGGTGTTCCAACAGACTCATTCCACCTTGGGAGAGGGAGGCTGTTGTTGCTGTTGTTGTTGAGGCAGTTGCGTTGATGGTGGATGAACGTAAAGCAAGGAATTAGTCGCGCTTTGTTGGTTGGTGGTGGCAGTGCTAGGAGAGTGGGTGAACAGGGGCACGCCACTGCTGCAACTCCCCGTCAGTCCACCACCGCCGCCGCCGCCGCTGCCACCTCTCGGTCGATATTTCCGTCTCCGCGCGGCCATCGCGCCTCGACCCGACGGTGAAATCGGAAACTCAGGGGGCCGCGGAGACAGAACACAGCCGTTGTTGCCACCGCCACCGCCGCCGCCGACGACAACGTCCATTCCAAGGTTCTTCTTCAACTTCGATGAGATGCTACAATTGAGCAGTCGGTCCGCGACGGCATTTTCGTCGAAATTCTCGTCTAGGTTTGTGGTCATCTTGTCACCTGAGGCGTTGGTCGAGGTGGGGAACAGGGACCGAGGCGACCGAAGATGGTGTTGCCTTGCGGAGGACCTCGAAGAAGATCGCGATCGCGTTGTAGTCCGTGGAAAGTTGGATACCGGGAGCGGTGGGGAGTCGATGTCACTGTGCTGCTGCTGCTGTTGCGGTGGAGGCAGTGGAGGCGCTTGTGCCGAACACCACGAACAAAACGGCGAGTCGGGCCGCGCGTTCATACAGGCGGCGTTGTTGTTGGCAACACCGGGACATAGGACATTGTCCAACTTCGTGTGGCTTGCAGATCGACGCACAGCGCCAGCAAGCCTACGAATTGGATAGGCTTGCTGTCCACCCAGAATAACCGAGGACGTGATGGCGCTGACGTTGCTGTTGCTGCAATTCCACCGCGCCGGCGAGTCACAACGGCGACGTCGGACGGAGTTGCAGTACACATTTTGACATGGAGGGGAGGAGATTCGGCCGCTGTTGCAGCGTGGCGCGGGCCGGGGGAAACGCGTAGACCCGTCAGCGCGCCATCCCATTGGCGGCGGCTGCTGCTGATTGGATGGCGGGGACATGGAACTCGGACAGCCACGGAACGCATTCGGCTGGGAAGGCGACCCCGACTTGGGCGTGTGGTCGCCGCCATTCTGTTGGTCGGACAAGGACGTCGATGAGATCAGCCGGGAGGCCTTCGAGGAGGAAATGGCCTTGACAAGAGCTTCGGGCTGGGGGTTCTCCGATGACGGAGTCAGCCCGCCACCCAAATCATCGCCGACAAAAGACGGTAGGTCCTGCGAGGACAGCCCGAGACCCGCCATTTGAGTCATTGAACCGCTATTCAGTCGACTAAGTCGAGACCCACCGGGGTACTTGTTGTGATTGGCTATACTCAAGGCCACGGCATGCGTTTCGCCAGCCACCGATTCACCACTAACATCGCCTGTACTGCGGTCGGCGAAATCGGAGGTGGAACCCAGCAGACAGGGCGGCATTCGCCGCTGTTGGTTCGCGAGAACTGAGGCAGATCGGTAGCGCGGAGGGCACGAGAGCGGCAGACTTGTGGCCCTGGGAAAGTCCTCCGTCCGTTGGTGGTGATTGTTGGTGTGACGCACCTCTAGATTGTGATCGCGACTCTTGCGCATTGAAAGCGGCAGCATAGCACCTCTGCCGACATCGGACACGGAGACCTTCGGTTTCTGCGAGCGGTGACGAGTGGAGGTGGGCAGACTCCCGACCGGGGCGGCGTCGAGGTTCTGCTTGAGCGCGGACGACCGACTGGTGGTCATTGAGGGCCGAGGCGCAGCTGCATTCGTGTCTCCGTGCTTGATGTAGTTGCTGCGCGCGTTCGACTGACGAGCGTGCGACTGTGCCCGCGAGGGCGACGTCGCAGATTTCTTCTGTGACGCGTAGAGGTGTCGAGCAACGTCTTCCACACCGTCCGCCAACTCCAGGTGCTGATCGGAGGTGCGATTGGCGAGTCGGCCTCGAGACCAACACGTCCCACCAGCTGGAGGATCGTTGGTCGTGGCAGTCACCTCAAAGTTGCCGCCGGCGTGGGTTGTGGCCGCGACCACCGCCCCACCAGCCGTCTCGACACAGCTCGGTCCTGATGGATTCATTCCGCCGGGACGCTGGACGGTGTTCTTGCAGGCACTGCTGCCAGCATCCTTGTTGGCAAGCTGCTTCTGCGTCTCAGCATCGGCCTCCCAGTCGAAGGGATCCGACTCGCGGATATTCCGACGAATCATTGCCTGCTGAATGAGCGAGCGGATCATTCCGTAGTCGGGACGGTCGGGGTAGGAGCAGGTCTCGATGTGGTCCAGGAAACCGCGGTACTCGCCTGGCAGACATCGTGCCAAAGACAGGTGATTGTACGACTGCTTGATTTGGCCAACCTGTGAAGGCAAATTAGGGCACAATGGATTAGGATACACATACACACACACACACCTCAGTATCGCGTCAAATTTTAACGACCCTACAGTAGCGGTTACTACTTTAAAAATGGTAACATCGATAGCGAAGAATTTAAAACGCCTTGGTCAAAGTGTCTTTAGTTTAGCGCAGTCTGATTAACACGCACTCGTGGATTGACGACGGGGCGAACTGAGAAACTGACATTTCGGTAAAATGCCCCAAGGCAGTTTAATTGCGCACGAAAGACGCCAAGTGGACTGGCTGGCTGGTTGTAGTAGACAGTCGCTGAAACTCGGAAACAAGACTGCAGCTTCGGTTAGCGATGTTGAGAAACCAGCAAATTGTGCCTACACGAACCCACAGAGTGGCCAACAAAAAAAACACGCAAGAACGAACGACAGTAAGGCGTCTCTAGCTGCGAATTTATTGCGAGTGCACGGCAACGACCGGTGGTAGAGAATGTGCGCATTTACAAGCGCTGCTAATGCTGCTGCTGGCCGCGAGAGAGATCGCGGAGGGGGAGGGGGAGGGTGAGAAAAGTGACAGCGGAGTCTGTCTGCGGTCGGTAACTCCTCACTTTCAAGAGCCGCAGCATGTCTGCGATATCGAGCAAGACGGACGTCCACTCCGCTAACCTAACGACGCCGCCGACTGCTGCGACTTGCCGAAATACAGTAGCCCGAGCAACAATGCAACAAAACACCCGACAAGACTCTCTATCGAGACGGAGTTAAAAAAAAGGGAAGTTGTAAGCGCTAAATATAGCGATGGGGCCAGGCACGCCCAGGTGAAAAGCACATTCCTGCGTGCCCCGTGCACGCAATCACACGCACACACACACACACACACACACACAGAGGAACGAGGTGGGAAGCAGACACTGGTGGAAGGCACGCGAACAAGGCGTGTTGGAGGGTGGGACGTGGGATCAGCATAAAGTACTACAAATGAACGGATGCCGCTACGAGATCAGACAACCCCATTGAGACACTTTCGAGGTCAAGCCAATGCCACACGCATACTCACTCACACACACACACGTATTACGCGGGTAGCCACCAACTGTATAGCTATGGCAACACATCCGGATGAATAATAAAAAAGGCTGGCCTTTCGTTGCTCAGGTGCGTAGCAGAGACGCGGGCGAGTGCATTACCTACTGTCGCCCCGTAAGCCCTCTCCAACCGATAACATCGGCGGGGGAGCGTCGCCGCAAACAGTCAACGACATGTCCCCCGAAGACACACGCACACACCAGCTCGACACTCGTGCAAGCATTTAAAGGAGAATCCGAAATACCGTGTCACCGAAGGACATGTTGCAGTGGACGTAGGGTGAAAGTACACTACATGGAAGGAAGGCGGCGGCAAGCTTATTTGACCCTACACTGACCCCTACGTGTCTAATCAACTGGTGGATTGCACGCACACGGAGCGAGTGGGTCACACCACGGCAACTGTCATGCGCGGCAAGGATTGAAAAAGCCTCCTCTTTCCGTTGGCAAATGCGATTCTGCAGGTTAACGGGCTTTGGCGGTTGCCGCGGCCAACTTGGAAAAGAGAAGAACCAGCCTACGCGTGGAGGGTGCATTTAAAGGACGCGGAAATCTCCCACATTGGCTGCTCGGCTCTTAATAACTAGCGCCAGCGCCAAAAGGCCTTGCAAAGCGGAATACATCGGTGTGTGCGGGGAGGCGGTGGCGGCGGCTTTTTGTGCGCCGCGGAGGTGGTTTTGGTTCATTTGGCAAAGCCACAAGTTGCTCCCGGTTCTGGTAAGACGTGCATTGAATCCTCCAGCGCATTCCCTCCACGGCGTTTGCCCTAGATCAGTTCAATGACAAGGCTTGCTCCGACGTGGCCCGACACATCTGGAAGCGCGCAATGAGACTGCATTGAACAAAACCATTGAGCCAATCCTGACCGCGGTGGACGCGAACAACATTCCGAGGTTAATGATGGCACGAATCGGACGAGATGGGGCACTTGGACCGATGGTACACTCATCCGCAACACCCAAATAATCGAGAAACAAACAATCCAACGAGTCGTGCGAGTGTGTGACCAAACAAACCGGCCTAAGGGTAATTAGCCGATGTGGGTATGGGTGTGAAAAAGGCGAGTCTCACGGGACGGACGCAAACACATGAGTGTATTCGCATAATGCACAAGTTCAATTAACATAATGATGACAGAGGCATGGCACCCATCGCGCTAGACGCCATCGTGAACCGAACCACGTCACACACACACACAAAAGGCACGCTGTACTGTGCAGAAGTTAGCAGAGCAGTAACCTGAAAACGCCAAGATCCAATGTTCACTTAACAAACCGCATCAAGTCTAGACGTGCCGCGGCTTGTCATCGCTGACTTACCTGTTCCTTGTCCTTGAGCCGCCGCCACGGCAACTGACCGGAGACGAACTCCACGAGCATGTAGAACATGGACCAGAGGTCGTCGTGGCGGCCCAGCTCGCGGTTGGCGTGGGCGTTGCGCGAGGCGTAGCGCACGGTGCCGCGGAAACCGGCGACAGGCCGCGCAGGTCGCACCTCGCCCTCCGAGTTGGTGTACTGGCGCGCGAGGCCAAAGTCCAGGAGGTAGAGGGTGCGCGCGTTCGACGGCAGACGTCCCATCGCGAAGTTGGAGGGCTTGATGTCGCGATGCAGGAAGCCCGAGTCGTGCACCGACTCGATGGCGTTGAGCATCTGCGCCGAGAGACGCACCACCGTGCTCAGCGAGAAGACGGCGCGTGGCATGCTTCGTCGAAGCTCCGCCAGGTTGCGACCCTTTGGGAGAGACACACACAACACATTAAGTGGCTCCACGGCCTTCAGTTGATCCTGCATACGGCCAGTTCAGACCACCGTTGAAGTGAATTACTTTGATAAAGAGCCTGCCACAAACAAGAGTGATGTGTACGCAGGACTGGTGGGGTTTAACTACCATCCACCCGAAGTCAGCCTCGCGAAAAGCCAGTAGCAGGTTGTCGGTAGATGTCTAGGTGAGATAGCCGGCCAGCCTCACGTATTACGATAAAACTAGCTCTAGCAAACGGGTAGTTTTCATGGGTAAACTAAACAATACACACGGAGGCTGTCTGGAAGCAAAACGGCCCTAGTGGCTTCGAGGTTAGACTTAAAAATGGCCGACGATGCTATGGAGGACTGTGTCAAGGAGGTGAAACATCGATAACGGTTGATTTCGGTGTAAAAGGACGACTGCGTTTGCCCCTTTCCCTCCTATCAGGGGTGGAGATTTCGGCGTGATCAAGTAAAACGCGTTGACAAGGCGACGACAGTTCGTGCGTATCCGCACTTGTGCCAGGGAAAAACGACGCATCGAAACTGCGAAAAAATAACCCCCTTCACGTGATAATTGCAGCTGCGGCATCCACCAGCAATTCCTCTGCCCCTGTCGCCACAGCCAGTCGAAAGCAGCGGGAGAAAATGCAAAAAGGGGGGTTTCGTGTGGAGTTGACGCCCGTGGCTGCGGATGTGTGCGTGTTCGCGGCACCTTTAAACGAGAAACCCCGATTTCGTAAAACAAACTACTACAGACGTGCAGTAATCAGCTCACCGAAGGCTTGGCGAACTGAGCATGAGTAGAATTGACTAGCGCAGGAGAACACGAGAGCAGTCTGTGAGTAGAGGAAGAAACGAGAACGTTAGACACCTTGCACGACACAGAACAGCCAGGAGCACTAGAAACTGTAGTGTTCATTTACCAATGTATCTTCTTGACACGCACGCACGCACACACACGCACGCACGCGCCAACAAGCACACTCACCGCGACATTTCGGACACGGCCCAGCTAGGCGGCCTTTTAATTACCCCCAGGGAAGTGCGGCAAAATATCGAGCGTGAACCAGAAGACGACCCGGGACACTGGTCTTCAAACGCCTTGCGCAGACCCAACACACGAATTAGATACACGACCCTAGGTACCGAGGGGGGAAGGCCACAGCACGACGCTCCAGCCACCGCGCTCACCCGACACGTCGCTTTCCGCAACGTGGGACGTGAAATCTTACATAATTTGCACGCACGCACACACACACACACTGGACTAATAGGTTTGACAATTGCGCCTCACAGTAATGAATGAGAAGAGCTTTGCGGCCAGTCAAGGAGAGGCTGCTTCCACAGAAAACTTGTGGCAAATTACCGCAGTTACATCGACAGCAGTGCCGAGGGACGGCTTGACTGCAAGCGCAACTGCTTAGCACACGTACATTGCCTGATTTTTGCTTGTACAAATTTCGTGTTTTAGGTGTCCCACCCCCCCCCCTAAGAGGATGCACTTCTTCCTCCTCCGCAACCACAGAGGAGGATTATCTGAAGACAAAACCTTGTAGGGTTTTGTTACTTAGTGACAGAAACCATGGTGTTGCTGCATGCCTTGTGTGGGGTGCGTTTCCGGTAAAATCAACGCCAACTTTCATACGGGTGAAGGAGGCCAAGTGACCAACGTTTTCCTTAATTCCAGAAAGGCGCCACACAAATATGCGGGCAGCCAACGATAAATCTTGTCCTGAATGAACTCCCAGTAATTAAACCAGCCACACAAGCGGAATCCTGCGCTCCATTCATCGTTCACCTTTGAGAAAATCGATCGAAAACCCAGAAAAACAAACGCGTTGTTTTGCAAGGACGCATTAATTTGCAGAAAACGCTGGACTCCAAGCAACAACCGACTCAAAAACACCATCACAATGTTATGAGGACAAATTACTGATTTACAATTGGACATTCTGGATGCAAAGTGCTACAGGTCAATGCAGCCAATGAAGTCCCTGTATTTGCAACCAACCACTAGCTCAACAAGGTCGAAACGTCCGCTGACTGTAAGGAGAATGAAGTGGGGCACAACAAGAGGGTAGTCGTGGGTGTACGCAAAATGACTCCATTCCGACATTTTACTTGCCCATTCGTCGGCAAGCTAAAACTTCAGCTGACCTAAGTCGGATTGATTGCAACTTGTGGAGTGCCTTGGCGACGCGAGGTACATTTTGTGACAGGCAGATCAAACGCCAGCGATTACATCAAAGCCCTGCCTATTCAACCCTGCAAAGGGTGTTTACATTGCAAGCTGTTTACACTTGAGCCACTTTAAAAAAAAACAAAATGAAACATTTCGGTCAACAACACACAAAACCATGACTTGGTGAAATTGCCTGCAGCGACTATGGCAAGACTAGAGAAGGAGCTTTAACCCCACACCTATGGGAACCGGTCCACAGACTTTGCACAATGGCGGGTTGCTCGCGTGCTGCGCCCAGAAATCGGCGTTTCTGGGGTCGTGACATCAAAGCACGCCAACCGCCTCCGACACCGGCAACCACGCGACCCCAGGGTGTGCTGCATTGCTCTGATAACCAGGCTTTCATGAGTAAACCTTAGTTCTGCAACTAGAAACAAGAAGAGGGGAATAGAGAGGAACGTGGCTACTTTACGCACTCACAACCCAAGAAGACTGTCGTGAACCGTGTTTGGTCAACTGCTTAATCCGATCGCTCCGCCTTCGGCACCCCGGGTTCCCCTTTTCGCAGCATGTCGCCAGCCACGCGAATCCTCAACTCCCCCTTCATTCACACGGACATTTATCTTGGATTAGCCTCACGCCTAGTTCTCAATGTTAGCGCATCTATGACTCACACATCTGAGGTATAAATACACACGCGCAAACCCCACACACGACACCAACGAGGTTGAGGTCTGAAGTAAACGGTTGTGTCCACGTCCTCTCCGGTCTTTTCCTTCATCGCAAGTATCAGGCAAGCGTAATCGGGCCGGGGTTAATTCCGTGGCCCCGGCGTGGTTCAAGGCCACATGCTGGGGCCCACAAGAATTGGTGACCCCGACGACAACAAGACCTTCACAAGGAAGGGAGGAGGTGAATTATTGACTACTGACCACTTGGTAGGATGATCGGTGACTACACATTAGACTGCGATTTCCTCAGAATATCTCACGCCGGCGATGGGTCATTGTGATTGCACAGAACAACACGTTTACACCAGCAATCAACTTCCCAGATGAGAGTACGCAATGAGGTGGTACCCAACAGAGCCCACGAGCATCGACATCATCGCCTGCCGTGGAAAAAACATCACTCGTTTTATTTGCAAAAGCTCACTACCGCTTCCTGGGCCACAGTCTAGACCCACAAGTATAGACTGACGACCGTCAATCAGCACTTTTGGCCTTATGCCTCGACTTGCGCTGACCAGGAGACGGGCTGACTTTCAGGTCATTGCGGAAGCCAGCGGATCTGTCGAACGGTGCCACTTGGGTAAGTGTGTGCACTTTAAATTAGGTGTGATTACGAGCGCCCACACAGCACACAAACACGACAGCAGCAGCAGCAGCAGCCAGACAAAAGCCGGACTGCGCGAGTGCGCCTACTTGAAGAAGGGAGGAAGCAGCTACTATAATTACCAAACCGACGGTATTCCCTTTCCCCCATCAACTCGCTTCGCGCGCTGAGCAAATCATTTTAATTAACTTGTGGGAATTAAATTTGCGGTTGGTGGTGTGGCGAGTAGCATTAACCACCGGAAAGCGACACCGTCCAGTGGTAATGCTCACACACACACACGCACCCACCGCAAACAAGGGTAGACAAGGAGCAACGAACCGTGCCTTCCTCAACCCATCGTAAACAAACAAGTCGTGGTTTGAAGCGGTGCCGCAAGTTCATTTAAGCGTGTGAATTTTCCTCTTTTTGGGGGGGGGTGGGGGGGTGAAATGACATACAACATGAACGAATCACGATTTCGGAGGTGACGCGTGAAAACTACCCAAGAACGGAAGGTGCACGAGTCGGACAGAAGAAAGGGTGATTTGAGGGACACATTTGACCAATTGCCACACGGGGAGAGAGAGAGAGAAAGAGAGCGAGAGTTCTAGACATGCACGAAGCATTTAAACACCCCAGCTAGAGCCTATCGGGCGTTTCGTCGCAGCTAAAGTACATTCACAAACGCCCCATTAACTTGGGCTTTAAAAAGATAATTAGGGGTGAACACTTGCGGATTTAAATAAACCAGACCAAAGGCATTCGGACATTACTTGAACTGGGTGACAAGCCAGAGAGAGAGAGAAAGAAACCATCGAATGTAAGCTTAAAGGGAAAAAAGAACAAACAAGCCAATGCACGTCGTCGAATACCTGCAGGGCAATTGTGCATGCTACAGCTGATTAAACTGTGGGCAAAAGGAGTGATATTACCGCAGACTACTACGTTCGCATTTAGCCCAAATGAGTTGTGACAGCAATGTAACACCCTTGAAAACCAAAGCGACTACGCAGTGGATGAGGCAGGTGTGAGTAAGACAGCACTTGATTACTATCGGTCAAGCCATTTCGATTGCGAAAGCCTTCAACAACATTTAGCGCACTGTCACATTAGCCTAAAGCCACGCTTAAACATAAACCGCTGCTTGAAATTCACTGTTGGCATGGCGACCACCATTCAACTGACACAAATCGCATAATCAAGGGGCGATCTCTGGGCACTTGAATAAACGGACGCAAGCAAAAGTAAATAAATCAAATAGGGCGCAGTTACTACGAAAGGCATGAGGCTATACAACAGAGAGGTATGCACGGTGACAATAAATTTCGTTGGCACTCCCATACAGCATGACAGGCGCAATTACAGGCGTTTAATCAAGCGCAGGACAATGACTGTTATGGATGTTTGATTGCGCAGAAGCGTGCGAAGTGTTTAACATCGAATACGAAGGAGCTAATTAGTCAGAAAGCAAGAAGTATAACTGAACACGTGACCTGGTACATGCTCATGTCCGACTGACAGTTTTCATTGATTAGAAACTAGAGACCACTTTATGTGTTATGGGGCGATGGAATTTACACAATAATAAATAAGAGGTTTTAAAAGTCACGGTCAATGGAATTTGAAAACTTGTTCATTTACAGGTGATACGTTGCATAAAACTAGAGAAAACAAAGGAATGGATAAATTCCAATCGCGAGACGAAATCATCTTCGGCAAGGGTTTGAAAAATTGAGTAAGCGGACGCACCCACTTGCTGATTTGGGAAGAGGGAGGTGGAATTAATAATTTCAGGCCCTGTTAAACATTCTACTTTGATTTTGATACAAATAAAAGCTAGAATCAACCGATCACAATGATTTGCAGCCATTGGAGGAGTGATATCGTGTTATATAAACTTACAAGAGAACAGATATGTTGAAATGGTTGAAAACAACAAATAAGCATGCGAGCACTTAAGTGTGTCATCCACGATGCCTCAAATGACAACCAGCCACAACAATGAACGTTAGAGAAACACAATGCGAGCAATTTGGGCGACTGCTGGTGCTTTGGGTGATGCTACGAAATTTACTTAAATAGTCTATGGTACGATAAATGAATGAAGTCATAGCAATTGTAGTTGAAACAAGTAGTCAACAGCAGGGGAAAACGTGACAGGAAGCATGACAGAAAACAAAGCATGCAAGTTTCATTAGCAATGGCCCATTCTGTAAGTCAAAACCGCAACTTTGGAAGGAAGCCTGAATTAAGGTGCCTAATAGTCGGGGAGGAGCATTTAAACAGACTAAACCAATGACTCGTGTTACACCACTAAAAAATCGACATTGACATAGAATGTTGCACAATATAGATGAAAGTAACGCTACAAATATTCGATGCAAAAAGACTAAAAAGCAAGAAGTGGGTAGACGTGGTCCAATAATTACGCCCAAAGCAAAAAAGATTTTTGAGCATCCAATATAGACGCACGGACAGGTTATATAGGATAGGAAATTATAAAACATTAAGAAACGTACTTGTAAAGACATCACAACATAGTTGTATTTTTCCGTACGTCCACAGCCAAGGAATTTGCAGAAATGCTCTTTATCTTGCAATTTTCGTAATACAGCGACCTCCATTTTCAGAACCTGCTTCGACTGCCGAGTAGATTCCAACTTTAGAGCAACCTTCTCTCGAGAGTTTTCTTCCTGAGCTTCGTAAATCTCACCAAAGCCACCACCACCTATCTTCTTTAGAACACGCCATCTATTCTTGATTATATGTCCTGACGATACCAAATCAGATTCCGTCACAGTCGAAATCATTCCAAAGACCATTCAATTAAATCGAGCGATTAACGGGACATAGCCAAAATGAACTCCGCCAACTTATGGCAAATAGCCGCGGAAAATAAATTCAGGGAATTCGCGATATCCGTTCTCAAGGTCCCAGCAAAATCTTGATTATCGCGCTTTAATCATTTCTGCTAATGGTGAAAAAATAAACAAGCCACGAATTAGTTCTTAAAGCCCCAGTAGGATTGCAACCAAAACGCAGTGAACAAATATAAGTGAATAATTTTATTTAAAAAGCATGCAATAATTTATGCCTTTTTTATTGCTTACATTCACCTCAATTAATAGTAATATATTTTAATGTCAAATGGTGTGAGCAGCTGAATTCATGTGCAAAAACCTTATCGCAAAATCATAGCAAAATAACAGTTTTCTTACTAAAGCGTCCAAAGTTCATATATTAACTAGGATGCTTAAAGCTCAGCATTTTAACCTTAAATACAAAGTCACGGTGAAAATAATTTTTTAATTCATTTTGGTGAGATGTGAAACAGCGCAATTTCGTCTTTAAGCACATTGCATTACATAACAATTACATAAAAACAGCCAAAACTGTAGTTGCATTATGACTTTGGCATTGATTTCGCATGAAACCTTTTTAAATCCAGTGAACAGAGCTGAACTCTTCTTACTTTGTTGCTAATATGCCTCCATAGTGCACTTTTGAGTATTGAAGCGGGAACTAGTTTTCCGCAGTGGTAGTGGATTTTAAAACCGTTCTTTAAGAAAGTTATTTAATTTTTTAGGTGGGTAAGGCCATAAATACCCTAATCCTGATTACTTATCCTGCAGTTACATGAAAAATATAGTGCTAATCAGTTTTATCATTATTCGAGTGATCTAATATATAGGTACTTAGAAATTGTGCTGAGAACAATATATCATAATTTCATTTTGCCAAGTAAAAAAATTACTTAAGAGCATATTTTAATTACTAATGTTTCAGGATTAATCTTTGTTTTGTTAGTTTTAATAATTTGAATATGTAGTCAAGGTCTCATTTTGCTTCTGCCGCTCCCTCGGTGTGTTGTCGGTTTAGCTTTGGCGTTATAATTTATTTCACTCCCTCCCAGTTATTGTTTTTTTTCTTACTCTGGTTTTTGTTGGTGTTGTAGATTAGCAATAATAGACTCACTGATAGCGAGTTTCTCTTTGACTAAGCACAGTTGTCTTATTAAAAGTGGCTTATTTTTGCTTTTTCCTGAAGCTGGCGTTTAGTTCGTAATTACTGATTTTCCGTATTTAGCACCCATTTAATTTTATGTCTACTTCCCTATTTGTTCCTAATTTGAGTCACACTCCCCGCAAAAATATCCGCTGTTGAACTCTGCTTTTAAACTTGGTCTCTCATTTCTCTTCGCCTTTATGACAATATTTTGATCTTGCGTCAGTAACCATTAAGTTTCCTTTCTCATGGTAGATTTCAGTGCGCTTTTGCCTATTTAATTTTTTAATATGATGTCATTGCTTGAAACCATTGCTTATGTGTTGAGTAAATGAATGATTCTTTACTATTCGTCTGCTGCCCTTTTACCTAAGGTGTATTCTGGTACTAACATTGTGCTTCTGTTGGCCTAATGAGGTTGTAGATTCTTTCATCTGCATTTTGCTACAGTTCTTATAATTTTCAATTTTTCGCGGCTTAATTTTGAACGTTAGATTGATTAGATTTTGGATCTATTTGAGTATCTGAAACTTCGACACGGTACTAGGAGTTTATTCTTCGTCTAAATTTACATTAATGTAAAGTTCTTGAAATCACAAATACGTTAATATGACACGAGTAATCCAAACCCAGTCAAGATTTGTTTGTCGTGACTCAATGAATATGACATGCTTTCTATTTCCATGGCATGGCTTAACTAATTGGGACAAGCGATTTCGCTGTTTGCAAATGACAGTATAGTTTGGATGGATTCAACAGTGTCTAGTCTCCTAGCCGTCATTGTTAGAGGAATCGGTTTGTGCGATTCTTTGCAAAGTGAAGCCATATTCATAGTAAGACTAGAATTTTTTTTAACCTGCAATTTATATTTTAAGCAAAGCCTTTCTAGATGTCTAAAAATTGATTCCTCTGTTTTTACCAAACCTTATTTTTAAATCTAGTTAATCTGGAAAATTGACAGCCTAAATGGGGAGTTCTTGAATATCAGTTTTTATATTAGTCATTGTTTCACGATATCATAAAACAATCACTACATGGGTAATTTTGTGCAACACTACCCGCTTCATATAATTGGACTTTGACATTGATGCGTTTTTTTTAACGCAAGCACGCATTCTCCTTATTCGATTCTGTGATTTTTCTAGTACGATCAATCGATAAGTGGACGTGAGAGTACCATAACCGCTGTCGGGCCACAGTAGGTCTCGCATTCCTGTTTCATGGAATTATCCAGTTTCGTTTTCAATGTATGTCAAATCTTCTCCTTGGAGAGCACTTCTGTATGTTTAGTCTTGTCGAGGATTAAGTAAACGTATTCAATATGTTCGCCTTGTCTTCGCTTGGCTATTTCTGCCCCCTATTTATCAATCCATTCGTGTCAATTCATAACTGTCGCCTTGTCTTTGCTTAGATATTTCTGCCTTCTAGACATCAGCCTATTTGCGTTAATTCATAACTGTCAGCTTGGAGAAGGGGATTAATGAGGTGGATTCTGTGCGTTATTGCGATTAAAATCTCATCGGACTGGGTGGCTCGTAAATAAGTAGCACTCAATTATGTAGCTCCAAGCTTCAATGAGACAGTTTTCACAGTCTTAATGTTGCCCCTGTGCCTCATTACATTTTACCGCTTTAAAGGCATGATGTCCGATTCCTTTGTCGACCACTTGACAGCTTCCGATGGCGAAAAGCTGTGTTCAATTGAAGCCAAAGCAGCCGTCAAAGAGACGGCCTTTGGCGTTCGTGACATCCGCATAGCCGAGGCGTTGCCCTTCAGCGACTCCCTCGCCTACCTCAACCTCACGACCCTGGAGGGCGAACGGCTCTGTGTGGAGATTAGCGTGGAGGGCTTCAGGCCTGTCGGTATTTTGTAAGATTCATTGTTATTTGTGCTTGCCGTCTCACAAATCACCCTCGCTGCCCCAGGTGACAGGCGTACAATGCTGTTTACCTTAATCATTAAAGCCTAGGCAAAAATGGGTCGCGATTGTTTACTTTAACATCTTTGTTGATGCCGCACGCGTAGAATTTGCGGCCTTAGATTGCCCTTTGCTGACCGGACTTCTGATTGGTCTCTTTGTTGTGCTAAAAAGCTACGACGATGTGATTGGTCCAGTACCCCCTCCACCGAGTCACGAGGGCGCGGGAAGCCATGTCGACGGGAGCGGGACTAAGGGGGACGAGGCCACACCCCAGCGGAGTCGGGAGGACGCAAAGCCCGCCGTGGCAGAGACCTACGAGACAATATACGCCCTGTTGTCAGCTCGCAGCGCTGGTTTCCGTCATCGTTTCTCCGAGAAGTTGGCCGAGCGCCTCGCAGAACTGCAATCGGAAACCAACTGAGGCATTTCCTTGTTGATGCTTTTACCACTTCCGGGCTATTTCTGTTGTTATGGTGTACAAAAGACCTACAGGGGCCCTTGTTAAATAGTACAGTCATTCCAATGTTTTTTGTGGTTGCTCCTGAAGTTGGGCTGGGAATAAGTCTCTCCTGTGTAGTCCTTAACACAAGTTACTTCCAAAAACTAACTATAAACCGTGAATTCCGAACACTGGTGAGACAAAGTTCCAGAACTTGATGCACCTTTTTTCCTAGAGTCGATGTCGAATGTGTGTTGAAGTGTGGCCATCCACCGCTCTGCAAACAAGTATGCCTGCTCAGCCCCCTATCCCAGCGTTCCCATTGGTTAGGTGTGGAACTGCGTGATTAAGTTCCTCTGTCTACGTCTGTAGCTTATAGGTGCACACGATATTGAAAACAGCACAATTGTATTGAGTCGTCCAATGAACAGTTGTGTCTCCGTTGTAGATGGTGTCATTCTGTTCGAGCGTCTAGGCTGTTGGCCTGGGTCTTAACTATTCATTTCCACAGCTGATGATCCTGGCGTGCTTAATTAGTTCATCACGGTGCCAAGAAATGTGATGGCCCTACCTTTCAATGTGTTCGACCTTCCACGAGCTAGACGTTGGGGTTATTCTGTGTTCCACGCCACGACAGAGATGTCTATTTCTCAGTCTCCTGACTCTCCCAGGTTTCAGGGCGAGATACATCCGCCTCGCCTGTCTCAACCGCATGCTCCGGCATATATTTCCTCATATTCAATTGTTCCCGCTTCTCTTATTCCTGTTTCATAATGTACCTTGATGCATCTCGACTGAACGCACGACGAATTCCGGCAGTTCATTTTGTAATCCGACTTAAATGTCTTCCACGGAGATTGTCAAATCCACATCCACAGTGTTTTTGAGCCATCAGTATCAGTGTTCTCCTTCGCTCGCAATGGAACATCGTTTAATTATGGCTAAATCATTTTGAAATAACACATTGTACTGAAGAATAAATACAAGGCCGCATAAATCCGTCACCAAGGTATAAGAGCACTTAAATTCTGTGTGTTGTCATTAACCGATAATAAGTGTGCAATTATTGCCTCATTTAACACGAAAACTAGCGACGTCATACGAAACAATATTGTAGTTTAAATTCATTCGTATCTACGAGATTGTTGATAATTACACACCCGCTTTGTAGTGGGGTAGGCTAATGTGTCAAATTACGGTAATTGGAATTTCTAGCTTCAATCACAGTGCTAATCAGCGCGCGTGTGGGTTTCAGCTCAATTCGAAATCGATTTTTTATCGATTAGCTGCCTTCCAACTCAAGCAATAAGCCTGAGTGTGTTTGCCGTAAATAACTTGTGTGTGAATGAGTGATGCTGCCATCCAAAATATAAAAAACAGAACACAAAAAGCACATTTAGTTCGTCACTTTTAGCAATGCGGATCAGGAACGAATTTTTCCACAAAGCTAATGTCATCAGCTGCCTATTGCTTTGCATCATGTCTCAATTTGTTCGGACCTAAATTTGTTAATAGGGCGTCAATCTAAACAGTGGTAATGCGTCAGTATTTACACATGGTGTGTGTAAAACGGTCGTAATCAAGGGCCCAAATGTACTATTTTAAGTATAAAAAATTATTAATGAATAGAGGATTTCACGCACGCTTATCAGGGAAAATGTGCGAATACGCCAAGTGTGTGATCCAGCGGGATGAGTTTACATGTCATAGAAGTTTATGCAAAATATAAAAGAGTACATTGTAAATTTCAGCCAATGCCAACTGCTGCTTGGTACATCTAAGTTGCTAAGGTAACTGAATATGTGTTTGATTGGTAAATGATTTGTGGCGGCGTTAATAGTGATCCCCCCGTCGTCTAGTCAGTGAGTCGCTGATCATGGGGACTCAGCGTTGGTTAATTTTGCCACCTGACGCGGTGATTTGGTTGCCATCACCCACTATCCTATCGTGTTACACACAAAACAAGTTAAAACGCACACACACACCTTCACTTACGACATCTTTCGATTGCATGAAATATTATTTAACAGCGTTTACGTCTGCTAGAGCGCAGAGTCGCACCAACACACACACACACACACCTACAAGCAGTGGGTGGGAATTTCACCACCTGCAAACGCCTTTTACCAGCACAAGACGCGCCAACAGTCAATCAGATCCAGTCGCGAAACCGCGCCAGTCCATTAAAACGGGCATTTTCGAGAAACCGTCTTGCAGAACAAGTTGGTCTGGCCACATGTCTGTCAGCACTTAACGATCATAAACATTTTGTGAAATTTCCACGACTTCGACAACCCTCGTGTTCTTTACCGTCCGGGGGGCAAGGTTACGGCCGGTTTAACAGTTAGTTTGGCCAAAACTATTGGCTGAATATTTTCAGTCTATCAATGAATGCAATTTTGAAAGCTGATGGTAAAATCAGATGACCGAACTCTAATTAATTTACAAATTTTATTGAGCGCATTTCACTAATGCGCACTGGTCCCCGAACCGATGTGTCAAACGTTTTACAGCTTCTTTTGGGTGCTGCTAGTCTTGGAGCATCCTATGATGTCTACCACTTGAAACACCCACGAAATTACAGTAGCGGGCAACATTCCAGTTATGCAATTTACCTAACTAGATGTCAGTTGGAATGTACCCGAAGTATGACCGTCGGTGTGCTAAATCTGCTTTCCAGTAATGCACGTGTTTGTGTCATTTGATTTGCGGTAACTTCGAATTCGCCCATCAGCTGCAAGCTTTCTTTTCAATCATGCCGCCGGCAAGCCAACCAATCATTGATCAGGTCAAATGAGCTACTGCTGATTGGGCATTCACGTAGACTAGCCCAATTACCCACTCGAGTGTGTCTTACAGCGGCGAGTCGAGCTATCTCCTGTCCGTCATTGTCTCCGAATGTTGAAATAGATGAACACCTGTTGCTTACTCACGCTAAAGTCCTACTTGGTGGCACATGAAGTGTACAGTCGCATCCGTCGCATCGTCTGCATGGTCTCTATTCCCAAGTAGTAACGGTCAGTCAATTGCCAGATTTGTAAGGCAGTGCAAGCAAACCACCACGCTGTTTAAGAAAAGTTTGATTAAAGTGTGTTTGCACAGGCTGCGTCGAAATGGAGCCAAATTGTTGAACTTTGGAACAATGCGCCCGTGATTGTCGCAGTGCTGACGCAAGTTGCCTCTGCAGATCTTAGGCTGCGGTTGAATTACTTTGTGAGTTGTCCATGAGGGCTTGGCAACGCTTGACTCATTATTGATCGCGATGGTGTAGGTTGTTTAAAATAATTGCGTCTAACGTGGACCTGCTGTTTCTTTCCGATTTTTCGTGCAAAGGAAAGGACTGACGATGCTCTTTAGGGGATAGAAAAATGGGGGACTTTCTCTGTGTATTCCAGCATCATTCGTGTGGTGTGAAAGTCGCAAATGCCTGGGCAAATCTCTGACTTTACGACCTCTAGACATCAATTAGGAGCAACTGCCGGGAACCCACTTACAAAAGGCTTCATTCTCGTTGCACAACATCACGCGTGGTGTTTTTTTGAGTGCAAACCTTTTTGTGTTGGTTTGAAAATTTGCCGGAACTTCATCAGTTGAGCACCAAGAACGCCCGCTTGAAACAGAAAATTCGTTACGATTTTCCTCGAGATTGATTTCCACAAAGACCGACGATTCTTGTCTTGATACCCTAGACTCTAGCCGTGTCTCTTTAGCCCAATTTGTAGCTTACTAGTTACTTGTCGTTCGTGTTTTGAATTAAAGGACAACAGAGAGTCAGAAAGTGCTGTTTTTTAATATCGCGTAGGTTTGTTTAAAGGTGGTCTTGATATTCTTTCAGAACACGCCAAATGTGTTTCTTTAAGTTCCACTCGCGCGATAAATCTGGCGTTTATTAACGTCCTCTTGATTTTCATGGGAGTTGGAACCTGTGTTCGACTGCATCCAGTTCTCCTGATGATCATCAGGTACCTTGTTTTTGGTCAGAATCCCCTGTCCAACCTGCTTCGACTTCAGTAATTGTCATCGGCGTGGATCCATCGCATTTGTGTTTGCAGTGCCAGCAACTAGGTTCAACGCAAAAACCCGTTGAACATCAGTTCGTGGACCATGGTTTCGCTACATCAGCATTGAATACCCATCTTCTTTTTTTCGACAGGTGTTTCGCAGCCCCTGCAAATTCAACAAAGTTTCAAGCGACAAAGACCCCAGCAATAATTCAAGCCCTAATGGATCTTCCAACAGGCTGTGGTGTGTGCAACAGCAACGGCTTGGATCCTAGCAGACACGAATGGCACCAAAGAAGATCCAGCCCTGACAAAAGTTGGATCAGGAAAACAAAGAGTTCCCGGGGATAACTTGACGAATGTTGCACATGACGATCGGTGTCTTCTGAAACTAGGCAAGAACTAATGCTTCATGGAGCTAGAAATGCCATTGGGAATTGGCCTTCCGTTCCGCTATCTAGCTGATCGACTCATGAAGTGAATCCTACTGATTCATGTCCACGAATCTGTTTGCTGTAGTCTGCGACATGCTGCCCCCACAATATTGATCAACAACGGCACGCACGCACGCACGCACTCACACAACAAAACTTGTCTGAGCAGTCCAGTAAGTGGTCGTGTCTGGCCGTCGCCTGTCTTCTCGCCTGTTCTGGTTCAGCACTCGCTTCTGAACCTCCACGTCCGCGGACATCACCAGCCCATTTCACTCGCGCCATGACCCCACACCAGGTCGGATATCACAACGCCACTTCAACGTGAAACTCTCGTATCGGTAGGTAGAAGTGCACAGGAAAGGACAAGTAATCAATGAAGGCGGCAATCACCGACTCTCCCCTGGTGCCTTTTTGTTGGAGATCCACGATTCCCCAAGATTGGTTTCTAATTCTATTTGCATTAATTTATTAACATTTGTTTTGTTACGCTTTTATCAAGTCAAGGTCAACCTTGACTTGAATTACTTTCGATTTCACTTCTTCTCTGCACCCGGCTGACGTGAATAAAGCTCTGTACTCGAGCTCTGGTCTTGTTCTGGCATTAGCCTGGGAAGGTCGGTTCTAGCTTTCAGCAAGCGATCTGGTACCGTTATTTGAGTGGTATTCTCTAGGTTTTACCCATCGCGAAAGCGTGTGTTGGGGCTTCGGCATGTGACCTTGAACCACACCGGTGCCTCCTTGCCTCGTTGTCGTGTGCATATTCAAAGTCGTGTATGACTAATGTGGTCCTTAACTAGCACAAGTTGGGTGAAGTAATTAAATTAGCCAGATGGGGATGGGGTTAAATCGGATCGTGTTGAAACGCGGCGAATAATCATCGCATTTGGGAGATGACTGATCCGCCTGGCGCTATTGTGCATTGCTATTAGTCGTTCGGGGTGACTTGCCGCCGCCTACACAGCCCCTTCTTCCACCAGCATGTCTGGCGTCGATCCCCAACTGCTCACTTTTGTTTGCATTCCACGTGCGCGTCGTCACCAGCGTCGGCTTGCTTATTCCGCCCACTCTGCCCATGAAATTGTCCACATGCTCTCGCATCCCAGTAAGCACTTGTGGCGTGCATGTTCACCACCTCTGCAAACACTGTCCAAAACACAGTTTTAAAGTTGTCCAATAAACGTCTTTGGCCCTAATTCCTTTAATATGACCACCACTTACGCCTAAAACTCAGCCCAATTCATCAGTTACTAAATATGGAAAGTTTCCCCATTAAAAACAGTAATAAATATCGTTATTGTTATCTGAATGGTTAATTGAGAGTCTCTCCAAACGGTAGACGCTGTGGAATACTCGATGGGGACTGCTTAAACAGAACAGGTTCAACTGACCAATCACAAGCCTGAATCGTCCGTTCATGTGCCACATTGGCTGAGACGCTCACTATATAGTGCTTCCCAGCGGACTAGCTGATCTCGGCGTGATCCAAACTTGTCTGCGACCTAGTATGGCCCTACTGTAGAATACCCAAGCTCTAGAAGGAAGAAGACTGTTACAACAGAACAGGCTTTATTGACCAATCACAAGCCAGAACCACACGTCGAACGCCGTCCATCCGAGTCCACCACGTTGGCTACGCTGCTCATTATATTCTGCTCCCCATTCGTGTCTTTCTCTGGTTGGCTGCTTATCTTCCTCGCATGCCACTGGAACGAAGAGGGACAAAGGATTGGCTGAGGCCAGCGCGGTCCAATACGTCTGCGCCCTAGTACGTTGCTACACTTCAACGCCATTGAAATACTGGGCCGAGGGCATTGATCTTGTCGAACATTGGGCCTCTCCTCCAACCCCGGTAGACGGACCTTTCCAGAGTTCTCCCTGACCCGATTTCACCATTTTTTACTTTGCATAGTTGGATGTCTTGCATTGTGTGTGACTGCACTGACCGCAGCCATCACCAGTAAGTAAAACCAATAGGAACACCGTTGTCGATCAACACGACCGGTGACAGCAGTGGCAACCGCCACGTGGACGTTTGACGTAAGAGGCTGTGGGAACATCACAGTCAGCCGTCTCCACGTCTGTACTCCTAGATGTTCTCGCATTTTATTTCCCCCAAGACGACAGTGGTCGTATCGATCACTTTTCGAACTAAACGTCAGCACCCATGCAACTTGCGTAGAAGCGTTTGGGAGGAACAGGCCTACGATTGGACTGCCAAGACTAATCCGTGTGCCTTGGAAGTCCAGGCAGACGGTGAAGCATTCCATTCCACTCGCGTTCAGTGACTTCAAGTTCGTTGAGCTGGTGCTGCCTTGTCCAATTGCCTAGTTAAAATAAAAACACCATTAGGTGGTGTGATAGTACTTTTTTTCCAACTGACGCTACATAATGGCCTAAAAGCGCAGTTGGCTGAACTGGCCTGGCGCGCTACGTGCCAGCACTCGGCTCTTCAAATGTCACTCTCTGGTCGCAATCAAAGTGCACCCACGTCTGACCTCGTGACTACACCCATCTCTCTCTCTCGCTCGCTCGCTCGCTGACCCTTGCTTGTGAACTCGGATTCACACGGTGTGTCTGGCAAACTGCTTTCTACCAACGTGACGACAATCTGTCCACGTTATTGAATCAGGCTAATTAAATTGGTTCTCTTTTTATGCAACTCCCAAGAAATCTGAGAGAATTCGATTCCACTTAGAATCTACAGTGAAAGATATCGTCGAACTCAGTTTACCAAACGGAAATAATGGTTTCAATCCATGTTTCAAAGGCAGTCACGGAATATTAGGCGAAATAGAGAGCTTTCTGCAGAATAATTATTGTAACATTGTAGAAGTCATTTTTGTAATGAACGCATTCGAAAAAATCAACGTTTAAGCATAATCTAAACTAGGGCATCCCATTAACGCAGAGTTCTATAAACCACTTATTTGAACCTGAAGGCTCACTGGATGCTCTCATTTTCATCATTATACATGTGATTGGGTGCCTTAATTCTACTAAGTAACTAGATATCTTTGCAAAGAAAGTCCAGTACTTTAATGCACCACAGGAACATTTATCGTGAAGAAACTGTTGGTTCTAGCACATATTACACTTAAGTAAAACTAACAGGCCATAAGATACTGCTGGTAGAGGTTCGCTTTCGTGTACTTTAAACATTCACTTACATAAATCCATTAGAAAAATCTTGCATAGGATACTCCTAGGAACGACTCGCTTAAAGTTGTAGTTAGTCGATTTCCCGAGTCCTATTTGCCTATTTTGAAGTCCTTTCAACTTTAGAAACTGCATTCATTTGAATAAAAAATAACAGCTGTCGATTTAAGTGAAAAATCGAGGTTCAGACCAGAACCAAGATAAATGGTAATGGCTTTAGCCAGTTTATGACGTAAACTCAATTTCAAATTTGGGAGAACCTAAATGGTGCTGCGAAGTGCTGTGGCAACCATACGCATTAGTGCAAAATCATTTGAAAATATGTAGTTTCGAAAACAATTGGAATGACACACTGTAGGATAGCAAAATCCTATTACCAACTGGAACACACGAATGATGACATTGCTTCTTTGGGTGTACTAAAGCGTCGTAGGTTTGTAAGAGCATTATTTCCTATGATCGATTATGCAAATTCCTTAATTTGAAATATTAAAGATAGGATTTTGCCTGATTGTTTAAGATCATTAAAATTAGATGACTAAATATAGAAAACACGACGAATACCAAATTCCGCCATCGTCTGTATTCTTAACATGCATGTGCATTGTGTTTTGCGTACACGTCAATGTTGTGCTTATTAAGTTAATAGCACATACCCAAAGAAATAAAAAATGACCGAAATAATTGTGACTGTAATTTTGAATCCTACATTTGTTTTTAACGTTGACACTGTCTAGTGCAATTCCTAATACTAGATTGCATTATTTATAACTAAAAATGAGGACTTCTTCACAGCACACATGATTCTAGTATTTTAATGAAAAATTAGGTTATGCAACGGGCTATCACGCGAAATTACCTTGAGAAAACCATTCCTGTCATTCAAACAAAACTCTACTTCAACTATTATTTCTATCATTAAATCATGGCTAATTAAACTTTGCAATACTTTTAACGCATAATTATGACTTTGAGACTCTAGACTAATTTTGGTAGCAATATTTACTCAACCCGCTCCATCCATAAGCCATTATTTGTGATGTTGATTTGCAATTGTGTAAAAAAAATGACTGAGCTGTTTCTTAATTATTGAATGTTTAACAATCCATTTTGCACAATATTTTACCAGTGAATGTTCTTGTTCCATCTAACACCATTCAAACATCATGCAAACACCATGCAACTTTCACATAAAATTAATCCAGTTGTTTGGTACGCTTTGTAAAGATGATGTCGCTCAGTACAAAGTTAACCTTTCAAAAAAGAAAATCTTTTACTGAAAATCTATTTTGCATACAAATTTGGTGCTTAAATGTTGGCTTTTCTTCTTATTTCAATCTTGAAAATGCTCTCGTTTAACTTTCCGTTTAAAGTTTAATTTACGGGACATATGCCCCCTCTTGTACGACATCATAAATATTTTATCCTGCACTTCTACTAAAGAAATCAAAAATTGCTTAATAAAACCAACAAATAAAATTCGTATAAGTCAGAATTCATGAACTTTTCTGAAATTTCTTTGTAAACATTTCCGTGTTGTCATTGAGTAACATTTTGCCCAGCCTCTGATAGTTGATTTAACAACTGGATTTCATTCAGTAGTGACAAAGTTGAGCATTTATATTAAGCAAAGCACTTCAACATGAACGCTGTCTAAGCCTTTTATGAGCTTACTGCACTTCAGTGCTATGAAGATTCATTTTTAATCTCTATCACTTTAGGCAATGGAATATTGCCTGTGTTGTTAGGGAAATTACCAGTCAAAACAAGATAGCTTGCTTGTATTTTGTCGTTTTAATTATGATTTAAAATTTTCCGATGAACTGTTCTTAGTTTTTTACATAGGTTTTTAAAAATATTGTTCTAACACATAGTTTCAACAAGTAGCTAAGCTTAAAAAATAACATGATTCCACGGAACGGCAGAGTGAGCCACTGTATGACGACGAATAATTCGGATTTAATTTGAACAAGAATTTTAGCTGGTTTAAGTTTAAAAAATGTTTATGAACGAACATTTATTTCATCTGCATCAAAAAAAGGACTAAAAATGTTTGTGCCATTTTAAGAAGCACTTTGCAGCTCATAACGAGAAACCATCTAATAAAGGTTAATGTGACATCAAATTTATGCCTTCAGAAAACATTTGCTAATTCAAAAAGCAAAGCTAATAATTCAACTATGCCTTATTCCATCATAACAGCTCGTGACGCAAGGGTGCTTTGTTCAATTTTTTCTACAAATTATTCATGGAAAACTACCGTCAACGTCATTTCGAACTAACACGAAAGTGCTTTTGTGCAAGTTAACAATTGTTGCTGCTACAGGAAGATGCCCAAAAGTTTATTACAGGCGTAGTAATCAATCCCAGTAAATCCAAATAATACAAGACGACCAAATTTCATTTCTATATTCTGTTCTTTGAGTTTAAAGGACAGTTATCCTGTTGTGTAAATAGGTAGTTTACATTCATCACAGCAAATTTTTCCAGTACCTTCCTTTATTTCCCGTGATGACCAGTTGAGTCGCTTGACTTCATTCCTGATTTTCTGCTGTGAACCGCTTATCCAAGCACCTGTCAAAATAAATCGTAGACACTCCACAGTATGCATGCCCTTGCACTAGCGCCAAATGTTCATGCTCACGACCCATTATGGTACCTCAATCGGGTGCAGACATATTGACTCACGCCACGTTTAACCAGCCAGGGATAATGGTGGATAAGAAGCGCTATAAATTTGGTGACAAGGCCAGTATGGTGGACTTGGGTAAGCGGCGCCTGACGGGAGTTTAAATCTATATATGAAGGCAGTTTGCCAAATCTCTGTCTTGAAGAAATCGAATTTCGCTAGCTGATTTCTTTCAGCAACTCACGTACCGGCATTTGTCAGGTGTTCTGGATAACTGACCGACGCCTCGCCACACAAAAGGGCTGCCTTTTGTCCCTACAATTAATTGGTTAGACGGCTAGACGTAAGCCCCTCATAAGGGCCTTCCACAATCCACTACAAGTTGGTTCATTTCTTGGAGGAAATTAAATTCTGCTCAGGCCTCAGGTACTGTGAGATGGACGAGCAGTGCCTGTCTCACTCAATTCTTCAAATGGTCAAAAAAAGTCAGCATAATCTTTCATTCATTCACTCTTGGAAACACATGCGTGATAAAAATTGGTTACAGAAATGTGCCTAGCTGCTGCTGCTGGATGCTAGTACTTGATTCCATTTATTTATAAATTTATTTAGAAAAATACTGTTAATTTTGAGTGTTTTGACGTCTCACTTTAATGCCTGTTTCAAATCCTAGTTCGCAGACATGTCTTTGTTTGTTTTTAAAGGCATCCATTTAGTTTATTCGATTTTAAACTCGTATATCTGCTACTGCAGTAAATAGGGCAATAGATTATCCACATCGTGTGTCTGGTCTCTTTGCATTAAACAGAAATTTCATGGCCAGTGATGAGTTATAACGATAATTTAGTCGCAGTAGTTAAAAGCGCTTTAGTCAATCAAGACGGAAAATCTGATTGGTCGACTATTGCAACAAGATTCTTTATCAACCAATCATGGAAGCTGAAACAATTTTTTTGAGTACACACGACGTTTGATGAGTTAATGCAGGGTCCTCAGTGCTTAAGTTGAATCGTTTAATTTTTTTAATGTCAAATAACCAGAAAAAACATGCCTCACACTCAAGACCGCCACCGAATAACGAGGTTGTCGTCAAGTAAAATTGTAATTTTTGGTAAAATGCTACACAGAAAAGCACAACTCAAGGTCCGCCAGGCACTAATTATTTTTTCCGTAGGCGTCTTCATCTTTTAGTGGGGTAATTGGAGCGCTTTTGCCTGCAAAACAGCCAATTATCACCAGAAGTATTCAAATGTAAAGATGATGCAAGTGCTGTTTCCTTTGTATTCATATGATCGCCCGGACTCGTTTAACGTTCCGGAGAACCCACGATGACCAAAGCCGCCAATCAAATTAAACCGCCAGATTTGAATTTACCACTGATGCGTACATGTTGACAACTATTACAATGCGCTTGATATTGGTGGACGAATGTCTGTACTTCTCAACCGATTTGGATAAATCAACGGATGAAATGACGCCACATCCAGTATACAAATCATCTCCATGTTTTAATTTCATGCCAACAGTTTTTTTCTGATATTTACACGCAATATTTGAGCAAAGGCTACCCGCATTTCCACAACAGCACCCCCGTGTTGCCGCCCACGTAGAGGAGCATGACTGACTTGAGGTCATAGGTGATCTCAAATCCGAACCCTTGACCAATCACAACCTGCCAGCCCATTCCAGCCTTCTGCTCGAACTGCTTCTTCACCATCTTCGCTGCGGCCTACAAGAGAAGGACGGAACCAATAAGGACACCAGTTGAGTAGTGCGCTTGGCAACCAGTGATTGGTGTTTGAACATGTAAAAGTACATTTTTGTCACAAAAAAATGCTTACTGCGTTGTCTTCTGGATACTTTTCGCACGCCGTAACGCATATTTCACTAGCTTCCGCCATCAACTCCTCGTTCATGTCGCAGTACTTCAAAGCGAAATAAAAAAATACTCCGTTAGCCCATTTGCGCGCACCACTAGCCCAACAGTTCAATCTGCCATAGCGGGCATTGCGAAAAGCCTTCAGAGGTGGATAATAGAACTTCCACTTTCACTAATACTCACAAATACTTTCAAATTTTCGAGTTACTGACTTTCAAGACTCGTGAGTAGCTAAGGTGAGGTTGTCGCAGAGAAAGCAAATTCGGAGGGGGGAGGGGTTAGGAGCCACACTGTCTAAGAACATCTCAGCACAATTAAACGATGAGCATGATGATGATGGTGATGAAATGGAGGATGTTGTTAAGGTTGAGACAATGATGCTGCTGAGCTGTTGAGGGATTTCATGATTGCATGCTAATTTATTAACACCCAACACGTTTCAAGAAGCTAAATAATGAGAGTTCAATTGCTAGAGTCAAACAACAGCTAAGAACAGTTCTTAAACCAAGAGGCAGCAATTTTTTTTTTATCACAGGCGTTTCCAACTGCATGACAAAACTCTTGTTGTTAGGACTAGAATCCATCAGTCAATGATCAAACTGACACGCAAACATTCTGAAAGGGACCGGTAATGGTTCTGAAGTGAATTTGAGGTGGAAAATCGTTTAATGAAACTGTAATGAATCGTGCAAACTCACCTATTCTAATCTCGATCATCGCATCCTCCGCCACACTGATCTCATTTCCACTCCGTCCCTATCGATCTTGCTAATACGCCTGCTCGTACACCCTTGTGCACGTACTTCCTCCACGATACCCACTTAAGCAACCTGATTTTTCAGCCATCTGTACTGTTTTAATTTTACCCAAACTGGATTGGTCAAGAGCCCCATTTAATGTGGCACGATTTCTTGTGGGCAGTGGTTCAGCAACTGAATAAACAGTTGCGTCTCTGGTCTAAACAGGGCTCATTTACACCCAGTTAGCTTCACGCGATGGCATTTCTTTCTCACTTTGGTTCCCAGAACGGTGCAGGATCCGTTTTAACCCAAATGAGGATTCCTGGACTGGACTGGGAATCCCATGAATTTGGCTGGTCACGGAGCATTAAAATAGCGACGAAATCACTTACAACCATTGGCTAGGTAAATTTCGATTGCCTTTTGACAGTACATGGTCGACCGAAGCCGTTTTAGCACATGCAGAGCACGGAACAGGATCTAGGACGAACTATTGGCTAACGTCTTCTTTCCACTTAAAAATCAGTGTCTGTAGAATAACCCTGACAAATATTGTTTTCCAGCCTTCCAATAAAGTCAAAATTGAAAGGTAATATAGGTTCGACAAAGCCAGTTTACTGTCTGACTGCTATGCACGACCCATAAGTTCATCTGTAGAAAATATTCATTTAAACGTCCACAAAACTATACCAAACTAACGAAAAGGGCTAAAACGCACTTGGAATTGATCTAAATAACGAATTTTATTGTTACGTACCATTCATTGTCTTTTTAATTCGTTCTAGGCGATTAGCAGCTTACAGGAGAACATCTCACATTCTATTTGAAATTATTTACGCGCCACCTAAAACGTCTTTTTGTGCAATAGCACAATCGCTTTTTACCACACTCATTACGACATTTTGAGTGGAACTAAATTGCATTTGAATCCACTCCAAACTGAAATGCCCTATTTTACGCCAGCTACAATACCGATTTCTATTTTAAAATAAATTTAACGCCAAGTTTGAGAACTCACATTCACAAGGGGGAAATTAGCGTCTCCCTTTTCATTACCGCCTGCGTCTCCATCTCCCTCAGGCTCCGCCATTTTCGGCTCTTCCTCGCTGTTTTTGCTGACTACCTGAACTACAAGCGAATCGATAATTTCTTGGCGCCATTTCATACGCTCGTCCAGGAAACTAAATTCCTATTGGTCCACCTACCGCCAACGAAATAACAGATAGCGATTACGATGCCGGGACAACACAATGCACACATAGCGGTATCCACAGCACACATGTCCAAGTATGGCAACTAGAGCCATCCCCATGAGCAAACAAAGCGTCGGACTAGTTAAGCCAGGCCATCATAAAAAGAACAGGAT